GTGGGCCCTGTACGCCGCTCGTCTCAGCGACCTACAACACCTGACTGCGTGACCCCAATGCCCCCTTAAGGAGCAGGTTTAATCGACATTTTTTTGAATGTCAGCCAAGAAGTCTTTGGCGCATTTCAGCGCTTCAGTTTTGGCAGCTTCGCGATCTTCCTTGAGACACCGGTCCTTGCCAAAGAACCAGAAGGGCTCCTGCCAGCTGGATGGGTTTGAGAAATTGTGACGGTGGGATTTGACATGTATGATTTGATCTACAAAAAATTATGTAAAACATTTTCAGAACATCAATCCTCCTCTTTGGATGGAGCCGAGAGATGGCCCGCAACCACTGACTGAAAAGCATCCCTCAAAGCAAACCACCGCCACTGCGATGGGCCCTCACGTGCGGGGCGAGGTCGGCGGGCAAAACTCTTGTCATCCCCTTCATGGCGTACCCGTTTGCGCTTGCTGGGGGCAGATGCACCTGAGGGGACATCATGAGTGCTGGAAGACGTGGCCTTTCGGCGTGGCCTCTTGCAATGGGATGATGGGGATGGGGCTTTTGCAGCCTCAAGACCTGGCTTCTTTCTGCCTTTCCCTTTAGGCTTGGCTGTCTTTGTGTCTTTTTCCTCCCCCGTTTCCTCGGCCTCACAGTCTTTAACATTGGTCCTCCTTTTCCTGCCGTTTCCATCGCCTTTCTCCTTTCCACGGCCTTTTCCCTTGCCACGGCCTTTTCCCTTTCCACTGCCTTTTCCCCTTCCCCGGCCTTTTCCCTTTGACCTCCGATTTCCTTTTCCCCTGCCCTTTTGTTTTCTGCGGCCCCGACCATTGTGAGGGCTGTCACCATTTTCCTGGTCCTCATCCAAAGCTTCAGGGGCTGCTGCGGGGAGGCTCTCTCGTGCAAACTGAGCGCGCCTGGTGAAATCCACCTGGGGCACTGCCACTGCGCTACCATGTGGGGAGTATAATTCTACTTGGTGACCTGTGGAACATGGAAATTAAAATTGCAAATGCATCTAACAGCCCCAAACCTTTTGGTCAAGAACATCAAAGTCGGCTGTGTCAGCAGGCTCGGCTGATGTTGCTGGCATGGAATCGTGAGACACTGGCACCATGTCCTTTGAATCTTCAGCTGCTTGGGAATCATGAATCTCAACAGGGCCACCGCCTTGGCCAAGTACTTCTCCGGAAGCTGCTGCTGCAGCAGCATCAGCATCGTAGGGCATGGTGTCCACAACATCCATTTGTCCTGCAGTGTAAGCTGGGCCCAAAACACCGGTAATTTCTCATTCAGTTCATGTTAAAGACATGTCTCCATGCACCTCTTTTTTACACATAATTCAAAATTGTCTAGCATATGCCGACTGATTCTCACGAGTTCAAATTTGGCATGCAGGTTTGGCCGCCAGCCTTTGGTCTGCGAGAGGCTGGAGGCAACTCTGGCAGCACGGTGGGCACGGAGCTTCTCCCTAGGGTGTGGGGGACGGATTCCCATAAAGAGTGATCCAATGAAGCAGGTCTATTGGAACAAGAATTGGACCAAGCATATTTCAAATGTTAATGCAATCAGGGCGCTTAAGCGCCGCCAAACGTTCCTCCATTGGTGAAGTGCCCGGGGTCTCTGCAGTCAACACTGGAGTTGGCTCCTAAAGGGACGCCATGACATGGACCCAGTGCAATAAGGCAGTTGAAACTGTTATGCGGTTACCATCCCTTTCCTCCGAAAAAAAACACATGATTTAATCAATTTGATCTGTATCCTTGGTTGGGTCGGCAGCCGCATCATGTGGCAAGCTGGAATTCTCAACAGTAGCAACTGGCTCCTGCCCTTCCACCACAACCTGCCCAATGCCTTCCCCTTCACCCTCAGCCTTGCCAGCCCCACCTTCCATATTTTCATTTTCACCGTCCCCATCAACCTCTGCATCACCCTCTGCATCACCCCCTGCATCATCCTCACCATCATCCCCGTCGGCATCACCGGGATCAGGATATGGATCCGACGACATGGAGATTCCCAACGAGGCGCCCCAATGGAACCGGAAGAAGCCGACAAAGAAGCGCAAATGAGGGTCCTCAGAAGATGCGTGGCTGTCATCCCAAGGGGGATGTGGTTTTAAATGTTAAACGATCTAAAATGCTTATAAAACTGGTGGTTTGAAGTTGGCAGGATTGAAAGACTATTGTTCTATACAGTTCTTGCCGGAGCAACAAATAGCGGCACCCTAACATACACATATATAAATATATATATATATATAATATATATTTAATATGTGTTGTAATATTATTTTTTTTAATAAATTATAATATTATATACATATAATATAGTGGATTGTATAATATATATATATATATATTATATATATATACTATGCTACAATTGGACCCATCCCTGTACAGAAGGATCTGGCTGGATTTGTTGGCGCTTCCGTTTTGGGACCGGGTCCCAAAATTTAAACAGTGGACCCTCCAAAATTGCAACCCGAGGTTCCCTGAAACTGGGGGTCTTGTTATTCTTCTTAGCTAATTTCTCGGCTTCTTTCCAGCGACGAATCAACAAGGACATGAAGCGCTTGACACTCCACGCATCTGCGTTGATAGACGAAGCCCTCTCCTGGCCATTTTCATCCGCGAGGATGTAGAACTGTTTGACCTTCAGGGATGTTTTGTTTAATGGGGCAATGCATGGCTGATCCTATATTCTATAAAGCCGTTCCACCACAATCCAAAATTGATAAAACCTGGCCTCGGCTTTGAGCCATGAAATGGGAGGTGACTTAGGATCGGGAATGGTAGGAGCCCAAATCTCGAAGGCATCAAACACGGCTTGCCTGTTGGGGGCCAAAGTCTCCATGGTGCAAATGTTTTCCTTTTTTTTTCCCCAAAGCAAAAGCTTCTTTCGGCTCCGGTAGATTCTCCTAACCACATCATTCTTCTCCCAACGGGTGGCCAACAGAGTTGTCTCCGGCCACAGCTCTTCATCGGCATCATCAACTGAGTCAGCCCGCAAGAGCTCTTCAGTTGGGCCCATGTTTTCTAAACCCAAGGGAAATCACCAAGCTTTGATCCAAATGCTAGGAGATAAGACACCAACAGGTTTTAAACAAGTATTCAATCAACTTCAACCCGACTTAGCCGCCGCATGGCCTCACAGTCCTCGCATAGATTGGCCAGAGAAAACCTGCAAAAAAGAGCAGGTGTGCATCAATGGGCCGAGGTTGGCTGGGGTCATTTGGGATTTGAATGTCATGATGTTGTGTGGTTGGATGGGCATAGCCATATTCCAAAATAATGCTTCCAAAAAACCGGATATGGTTATATGGATCTCGGGCCTCAGTGGAAAAGTTGAAGGATGCTTCCCGGCCATGACCTGCACCAAGGCGCCACATCATTGATTGGGGACATGGATGCCACTTGAAAAACCGATGCAGTAGTTGAACCCATTTTGAATTTAGTAAGGTTTCGCATTCCAATACATGTCCAAGCCCCAAAAACCCAAAGGCCTCCATTGAGAAGACCAGGTATGAATCACCATCAAGCCAAATGGCTGAAGATGGGGCAGAAATACAATTTCCGCCCGAAGATGTTTTTTGTTGGATTTGATGTGAGAAGACGCCTTTTCTCGAGAATACTTTTTTTTCAACCCTGTTGGTGGATACAGGTATATTAATAACTGGAATATCTCGGCAGTTGTTAAAGTAGATGGTTGCAACACTTCGCGGGTGTCTCTCTGACAATGGCGTATCCCCCCAAGAGGAGTTAGGGATCCCCATGTTCAGAAAAACCAGCGTCATTCGGTGATTGTCCATTGTCGTTGCATTTGTTTCCACAAAAAAACAAGTTCCACCAAGTGTTGCAATTCTTTACATGAAGACAAGTCGATCTTTCAACTTCGAGGTCTGAAACATGGGTAGAATCACAACAGGGAAGAGATGTCCTAGTCGTTCTTTCCATTTGGGATGTCCAATAAGGAACTCAGGAGACCACTGACAGGTATCTGCTCAAGAACTGGGGCTGTGGTTGATCTGCCAATTTTTACGGAAGGTCCCTTTTTTTGCTAAAGGTTGTTTTCTGTTTTGGGTATGTTTTTTGGATTTGTGTTCCCCTGCTTCTTTGCTTTTCTGCTTCTTTGCTTCTTTGCTTAGACTATGCTGCTATGTTCTGCTTCGCTGTTTTTCCACCCTTTTTTTTGCTTCTCAAACCGAAATAAACCCCAAGAAGCACAATATAAATACAAACCAACCCTAAATGAACCCAAAACGAACCCCCAAAAAGCTAAATAAAGTAACTCTAAGTAAATAAAAAAAACACCTAAAATCTGACCCTTACCCCAAATAAACCCTAAACCAACCCTAAATAGATCCTAAACCCACCCCAAATGAATCCAAGGCTAAAACCGCTGAACCAACCCTAAATGAAACAACTTAAATAGATCCTACATAGATCTTAAACCACGCCTAAAGAAACCGTAAACCAACCCTAAACCAGCCATACATAGATCCTTAACGAACCCTCAATAAACCCCAAATCAAACCTTAAAAAGAACAAAACCAACCCAAAAAAGAAACAACCCTGAACCAATCCAAAATGACCCCCAAAAACAAACCTAAACAAACCTTAAATGAATTCTCGTCTTAAAACACCATCCAACATGAAAAGTTTGAGCACCAAAATGTTGCAAATACCATAGAAAATGATAGGTTCGAACTCCAAAATGTTGCAATACCGCTGAAACGGCAGCTTCCAGTTCCAAAATGCTGCAAATTGCCGGAAAACGGACAGAACAGCAGATCATAGCAGATCAAAAACAAACGGAACCGGAAAACAAATATAATTCCAAACCCTTTTACGGTTACCCTCTGGTAAACTAACATAACTATTGAAAAATATGTGTATATGTATATATATATACATAATAGATTTAATAGGTAAAGCATCGATAAATGGAGCATGTTCATCAATGTTCCATAGCAAACTGTGAGTTTCCCTTGTGATCTCCCCCTTTTGATCAGGAAGGTGAAGACCAGCGAGGCGCCTCCCCGGCCCAAGCTGCTGAAGGACACCGGCAAGGAGGCGAAGGCAGCGGCGGCGGAGGCCAAGGCTGCGGCGGAGGAGAAGGCCATGGAGTTGATAAAGGAAAAGGAGAAGGAGATGCTGGGGATATCTGGGTGGATGGGAAATTTTATGGGAGATTGATGGATTTTTTGTTGCTATATCATGAACTATATGGAGATTTGGGACTAGGATGGCAATCATGGGATAGGGAAGATGTTAAGGATGCTCTGGGCGGGTTCCAAATGGCCAAGTTTTGTCAAATGAAACGGGTGGAAATGGGGCTGGGGGATGGGGAACACAAAGAATGGGAACAAGCTCGGGATAGAACCAATGGATAAGTCTGGGTTTGGTTGGTTCTGTTTGATTAATTTGTAGCTGTGAATGGGAGAGTATGTGTGGCTAAAGTTTATGGGTTCATGCAAGATATAAGTTGATAATATCAACATATATCAACTTAAAACTTTATAAATAGCCACCCTAAAAGTTCATAGTTCTTTAAGCCTATGTTTTCATTTTTCATGGTCATATCTGCCTAAAGTTTCTGTCTCCATGTTTTTTCAATCCCAACTTTTTGCGAAAACCAGATTTTCATCATGTCCACTTGGTGGTTCATCCCACTTAGTAAGTGGGTTATAACCCCAGTTATAAGTGGATTAACCCTATTTGTCCCATGTAAATCACTGGGGTTATAACCCACTTACGAGCCGTGGGATGAGCCACCAAGCAACAGTAGATTCGCTTCAGCTTAGACCAGGACCGTGGCTCGTTTGCTGCTGCAGACAGCTGGGAAGTTCAGCTGGATCAAGGTGTGGATGGGAAAAGCCATGGAAATCTGGTGCTGACTGGAACATTTATCCCATTAATTAAGTGATAAGTGTGATAGTAAATTAAGGTGATAATATACCATAACTATATATAACTATACTTTTCTGTCACCAATTGATGACTTTCCAGTTATAAATTGGTGATAATCCCATGAAAACTATAGGTATATCACCTAGAAAAACCATAGTGAAATTGGACTTATGTTCCACAATATCTTGGGAGATCTTCATCATCCCAACTGACTTGACTCCATCATTTTTCAGAGGGCTAGGTAGGTATACCACCAACCAGGAAATCTTCCCCCAAAAACCGGCCTTCCGGCCTGCAGGATGGGTCGCTTTCCGGCCGGGAAGCAAGTTCCGTGACGATCCAGGCGCAAGATTTCACAGATCTGATGCGCAGATTTCCCAACCCCCCAAAATATTGATACCCTCCAGTAATATGGCAATTTGAAAATCCTAAGGTGTGTCACTGGGAAAATCATCTGATAAATGTGGATGTGTCATTGCCATGATTACCGGAGAGTATGGGTTTATTTCATCATAGGATTCTATAGGATTCTATAGGATTCTATTGGATTCTATTGGATTCTATAGGATTCTATTGGATTCTATAGGATTCTATTGGATTTTATAGGATTCTATAAGATTCTCCAGGATTCTCTAGGATTCTCTGGGATTCTACAGGATTCTATAGGATTCTATATGTTGTTTTCAATCCTGTTTTAATTTTGGATCTGAGTTTATTCCACTTAAGTGGAGCCCAGCAGATGATCGCAAAGAAATAGAATCACTCTATCCATTGGGCTGAAAAGCAGGAGGTTTCCTGCAGGGGTACCAAAATTCATGGATGGTTTATTTCATGGAAACTCGATCTTTCCTATATGAACATGATAAAATGATATAAAATGATATAAAATGATGATAATGGAAACTCTGTCCTATTAAAATTTGGATGATTCTTGGGGGTACTGGTTAGTATCCCCCATTTTAGGAAAGCGAAACGAGGGGTAGATCCATGCCTCGGTTTCTTTCGCCAGGTTCTTCTCAGCGCATTTGTCATGGAAAGCTCCGTGGTGGCACGAAATCCAACCGTACCGTCCACGTAGCCGTCAAAATGGGGCAGTGTACCGCGATGATTTTGACTGATTTTGGGACTTTTACCAATTTTTATGTGTATACTTGGAGGGTCTAAATACCAGAAGGTATAGATCATCATTTTCACATTGATAGCACCACTCTTAGTGGTTAAATCTCATGTGTTCACTGTACCTTTGAGGGTCTAAATATATCACTTCAGATTGGATGCAAACCTCAAAGTTCAAGGTCCGAGTCTTGTTTACCAAGCTATTCCCCAGCTTCCATCCTTTACTCATGGCCAACTTCGCTGGATGAGGTTCTGGTATACCTTGGCTTTTGATGACAATGGCACCACTGGAAAGCAGAGACCTGGATAGACTTGGCACAACAGAAAAAGCCACCGAAGCCAACCGCCAACCCACCATAAATTAATGATGGTCAGTAAGGGAAGCCATCTAAAAAAATGTTTATACCAGGAAGTATCACGAGTTGCATAGTATTTACTAAATTATAAATATTATATATACATGTATTATGTGATATTATATGTGTAAAATCATTCCATGTCCTGGAGTCTAACATGAGTTGAGCCAGATTAACACCTGACACCAACGATCTCTTCGTGACCAAACATGCTATTTATGTGTTTCACTGCTGTCATTGATCCCCAGAAACAACGCTGCCGTGATGTCTAAGGCACTCAAAATAGAGAAGCATATTCCTTTCAGGAGATTTCTCAGTTCTCAACACTTTAAAGACAATGGCCTCAGCTTGACATGCACAAAGGCCTTTCACCCCTGCCACTGGGATGCGTGTTTCAGATGATTTGCCAGTTCATATATTCCACATTTGTCGGTTTGGGACACTTCATTTTGTAATATTCGCTTCTTAGTTCCATCCTGACTTTGAGATAAATGGATGTTCCATCTCCAATTTCGGTTCGCTCCCAGTTTCTCTGGGTCATTCGTGGCACCATATGGCACCCACGACGGTTGCTTAGGATCAACCATTGCACGGGCAAGACGCGGCCCTTGCGCCGCGTGGCCGGCTTTGCCGTGCCCGCAGCAGCACCTGCAGCTGCACCTGCAGCTGCACCTGCTGCGAGTGTCACTTGCTTCAAACGCCTGGGCATGTTTTAAGAATTTCACCATGATATTTGATATATATATATTTATAATATATATATATATATCATTATATATATAATTATATATATATATCAGTATATATATATTGGATACCCTCTCGTAAACTCACATAACTATGGAAAAGCACCATTCTTAAAATGGCCATTTTCAATAGCTATGTTAGTTTACCAGAGGGTAACAGATATGGTTGTGTCTGAGACTGAGGAATGGCTATGTTAGTGGGAAAATTGCTATTAATGAACCAGTGAGTGGAATGGCTTAGGATGAATGGCAAATATGGGATTGGATAGAATTACAATATAATTATTAGCTGGTGGAATTAATAGTGAAGATGGGATGTTTCATATGATTAACCTTTGATGATGTTAGGGAAAAATTGTGGAATGGATGATACATGCCCTTGAGTTCAGTTTGGGGTTTAGTGATAGATCTTATTCATCTGGATGACTCCTGCCCATTAAAACTTGTGGGAACTTTAAGAAACACCCCAAAATTATTATTCAGCAACCGGTTCTCAACATTGAGTCTGAAAATGGGCTACCCCGCAGTTCATCATACTTTATCCATAGTTCATCATGGTTTACCTCCTGGTAATTTGACTTAATTAACATGGCTTTGGAAAATACGCGAAAAAACCATCATGATTGACAAATTGATAGGTAAAGAATCTATATCTATAAACGAGCTATAGTTTCCATAGCAAACTGTGAAATTCACCGGGAGGGTATCATGGGTATCCATAGTTCATTATAGAAACCAGCATCCAGAGATCCTTAGTTCTTAGAAACATTTAGAAACCAATCTGCATTTTCATCTATCTTTATCAATCTTTATCCGTATAGTTCATAGAAAAACCACCAATTTTCCCATAGAAACCACCAATTTTTCCCATAGAAACCACCAATTTTCCCATAGAAACCACCAATTTTCCCATAGAAACCACCAATTTTCCCATAGAAACCACCAATTTTCCCATAGAAACCACCAATTTTCCCATAGAAACCACCAATTTTTCCCATAGAAACCACCAATTTTCCCATAGAAACCACCAATTTTCCCATAGAAACCACCAATTTTCCCATAGAAACCACCAATTTTCCCATAGAAACCACCAATTTTCCCATAGAAACCACCAATTTTCCCATAGAAACCACCAATTTTCCCATTGAAACCACCAATTTTCCCATAGAAACCACCAATTTTCCCATTGAAACCACCAATTTTCCCATTGAATCCCCAGATTTTCATCGATTTTCCCCATCCAAAGGTCCAGCTCGCCCTGCGAATTCTCGCCGAGGCCCCGTTCAACGAGGCCGAGGCCGGCCAGGCCGGGGCGGGCCGCGTCACGAAACATCCACCGCAAGCGGCCACAGCGACTCGGTAGAAATTTCAGTGGATTTATAGGGATGTATGATTTATATGTGATATTGCATCATATTCTGTGGATCAATAGGGATGATCAATATAGACACATCTTGTATCCATTTATATATATATATATATGTTATATCTTTATGTATATTTATAGGGATATATATATATATATATGTGTGTGTGATATAAGTGGATCAATATAGACCTCAATTATATATATATATATATGTGATCCACTTACCCTCTGGTAAATTAACATAGACCCTGAAAATAACCCATTTTCACATGTTTAATGGAAACTAATCTTCCAAGTCCTATTTGCCAGGGTCTATGTTAATTTACCAAAGGGTAAGTGGATCAATATAGTGGGATAGCGGATGATTTTTCATATTTTGTTCATGGTGGTTATATACTAAGATCAACGACCAGTATATACAATTGATAATTGGAAATGATGATTGGTTGTTTGGTTGTTTGTTTCTCGAACTCAGCGCTGGAGCGTTTCGAGGGCACAGAAGTTGGTTTAGTAAACTTCCAGGAGGTTCGGAGACTTTCCAAGCTGGTTTGTAAGTGGAATCATCCCGACATGGTTTTTCTTTCAGCCAGAATATATATATATATACAATTATTGACATTATACATACATATTACATGAATGGATTGAATGTATACATAATTTGCAAATATGTTTCTACAACATGGAAATGATAGGAATAAGCTTATATAACTTAAAACGTGTTTTTGTACCCAAGGATTTTTATTACCAAAACCTCGCCTCGGAACGTAACAAAAATGACATGGTGGTCAGTGTAGGTATCCCAATGGCATCCTGGCGTAGAATTTCAGGCTTCCAAAAAGCACCAAAAATGGAACATGGACCTGGAGTTTCCATATTCTATCTACTGAAGAGTGTGAGTGATTGCGCACACTATATGTAGAAACACGTGTATACCTATGGCACCCTTAACCCACTTTTGTTCGGTTGAAATCTAAAAACCTGGCTTTTGAAGATTGAAAAACCTGGTTTTCCAAATGTCTACCCGTAATTTGATCGTAATTTACCCGTAATTTCCTGTAATTTACTTGTGATTTCCCGTAACCAAATGGCTTGCTGCAAAAAACATGTTATTTTGAAAAAACAACTAGTCTTTATGGCAACCCAAAAAAAAGTAGGTTTTGGAAGCTGTAGGTATGTATATATATATATATGCATACTGTATTTGGGTGTTCAGGAAAATGGATTGAGATGGGAATTCGATGGGAATTGGGTGAAAACCAGGGATCTGAAATGAACAGCCATGTGCGTAGTCAGTATAGTTATATTCGTTGAGATACATTGATATTGAATGGAGTACACCCACATGATTAGTGGCTTGACTTAAACTGGTTATGAAGCGAGCCAACCATTGAAGAGGAACCATGCGATGCCATCCTTCTTTAACCTGCTCATGTCTTGGGACATGCGGGGAACAAATGAACCAAACATATCCAAACATGGGAATGTGTGACCAGCCAAGATGGGAGTTTGCCCCCCAATATAGTGGTTTGCCACCAAAGCGTGTGACTCGATCAATAGATATGCTTACAGCATGTGGATGACAGAAGGTCATGACTAAGGACTACTTATGTCCATTTACTAAGAACAGGGCGGGATACAATCCGCAGTCATTGCACAAACAATCAAAGTTGCTTAAGTTCTGGGCATCTTCCACCATCTCAATCGATTCTGAGGGTGCCATAGGGGCTCCCCTCAATCCTCAGTGTTTCTGTTTGGAGCCCACATGACCATGACTTGCTTTGCTGGCAACGAGGCTGGGAATGGCTTCCCAAACTTGCTGACATCAGCCAACGTGACATTTTGAAGAGGCCAACGCTACGCTCAGGCGGCGTCCGCACTTCATGAAATGAAATCGCGATTCGATTTTTCCGCGGTGAGTTTCGATCAGATCGGATGCAAAAAGTTTGAGCAGCAATGCACACCTGCAAACCCTGTCATTCGAAGATGTTTGCAGCAGCTTTTTAAAGGGTTGGTTATGCTGACATTGAGGCTGCCTTTTTGCCTTCAAATTTGTTTGAACATGGAGCAGATCTCATTGGAACAGATCGTGGAGAATGCTGCCGTTACGCTCGAGGCAGACAAAGCCCTCAAGCGTTTTTCCGCGCAAAAGGCGCTAGCCAGTCTATCCTTGAACATCCTTGCTGGTGTCCACACAAGCATGGACGCCCGTTCTAGTCTTTCAATCATGGAAGAGGCATTGGAACTTTTGACAATTTGTCTGGGGACCTGCATTTCAAAGATTGATGACCACATCAAAACTTCCCCGTCCACTGCTGTGTTTCATTGTCGGTTACATCGTAGTATTTTTCAAGTTTCTGGACACATCCTCAAAACTTCGGTAGAGACTCACATCCAAACAGCTTTCTAAGTGGTTTTGCAGAAACTGTGCATGCGAGCAATTCAAAAATGCATTGGTTTCGTGCATATCTTGTATAGTGTATATTAGTGTATAGTGTACTTACTTATTGACTCTCGAACATTCTTGATGTTGATCTTGATCAGCGCCCGGCGGGGCCTTCCCCCGCTCATTCAACCCATTGGGAGGTTTGGAATAATATGTTTCTCTAAACTTTTGAATGAGTTTTACATTTCTCATGTTTCATCAATATATTTGTTTACTTTTGGAAGTTTTTTTTGCACCGGTGCCAGTCCCAGAGGTGACAAGGGTGACAACCCTTTATATTGTTTCAAACCCTCGCTGTGTATGCACATTCTTTCATTGATTCCTGGTGATTTCGATACAGAAGATGCGAATCTTCTAACCGTTTGGAGAAATTCAGAACGAATTTGATTGGCCCATGTGTTTTTACAAATGCATGCAGAGTTTGCTCAAGATAATTGTTGATCTGGTTTTGGAGGGATATAACTTGTTGTTAGTTATTCCCACCGAAGCAATTGCCAGAACTGAATATATATATAGATATATAAGTTTCTTTAACATTATTTAGAACATATTGTTTTTGCATCCCATTAAATAGATTGATTGAACAAGTTAACTACAAGTAGTTACTTGTGCAGCAACTTCCAAAAGCATTAGTGACAAACCAGGGGCCAGCTCATGGAATCTCGGAACAACCGTGAACCACTGAGACACAGACTGGGAAGATCATGTTCCCGGAGAGTTCAAAATCTGCCAGATAGAAGTTTAATGAAGTTGATCCGTTTACCTTGGCTGTTATTGTCCCAAAATCTTGGCGTTCACACAAAAGCAGTCCCTCGGCCAAGAGTTCCTTGAAGGATTTCCGGCGACCTCCCGGCTGCAGGGTCGGGCTTGGCAGCCTTAGGCTCCAAGAACAGTCGCAGATGCGGTTGGTTCACCCATGGCTGGCATGGCTGAGCTGCTCAGTTGGAAGCTATCTGGATCAACTGGAGATTTTGGGAAATCTTGAGACCAATGCTGATGATCCAAGGTATGAGATCTGCATAGACCTGGGATCTTTGGTGGTGAACCAACTTGCACCTAGCTGTGGCTGGAAGCGCATCCAAGCTTTAGCCCATCATTTTCCTCCAATCGACGTAGGCAAAAAGACTCAGCCGTGGTCACGGGACGGAAGAAGATCTATGGGGGAACATCCCCAAATTTTGGTACACTCAAATTTTGGGAGTTGAAATTCCAAGGGAATTTTCTCCAGATCTCTTTGTTTAGTTCTGTGTGTTCCTGCAAAAACCATCCCTTCCGGGATGATCATTTTTAACAGGGTTAGCGGGTGGGCAGTAGCCACTTCATAAGATAGACTTTCGTTCACCGCTATGTTGACCACTGAAGTTTCCACACCAACATTTTGTACGCCATAACGCCAGAATATGAATAGAATGGCCCTTTTGTTCCAAGCACCACATTCATCGCGCCACTTGAAATTGGCACATAGCATTGCCAGTTTGATCATGTTTGATCACCTGTTGGCAAACATGTTGCAACCGGCCGGCTGTTCAAGCACCGGCCGCGCGTTGAGCAACGCGCTGGCCACAGGGGCTGCAACAGGTTGGCTTGAGAGGTACCAGTGGCTTGGTACCAAGGGGCCATGGGTGAATCGGTGAAGCCAGCGAGCAGAAAAAGTATTGAAAAAGTGAGGCACTGGTTGGTGGTTTGGAACATGGCTTTTATGACTTTCCATATACTAGGAATAATCATCCCAATTGACGAATATTTTTCAGAGGGGTTGAAACCACCAACCAGTAAAGGTGTCTTGCAAATTCTCTTTGTTGTCCCGATCATTTGGACTTGATTTCAAGGTACAGTATATACTCTTGAATACCAGCAATAGTTGAACCTGTACAAAAATATCAGATATTCAAATTCTCGCTGTGGGCAAGTTCAGCCTTGATTTGGAAGAGATTTCTCACTGCAATCTCTGGGTTCAGTTCCAGAGGATGCTCCTGTCAAGATGTGATTCCATTTCCCATAATGGAATATGCAGCATCGTCTCCCAAATCCATTCTCTGGGTTTGAAAATGTTTTCTCTTAAATGATTAGATTCATCTTTCCATGAGCTACTGATATCCCAATTGTTGCTTGCCTCTACTGCACACGCCACGTACCATTTTTGAAGTGTTTTTTTGGTTTATTGTATATCCCTGGTACAGTACAGTAGGCGTTTCAGAAACGGGGATATTTTCATGGCTCCATACAATCCCCATGACTGTGGTCCTGATATTTGTTGGGTACATTTCCCCATTTAAGTGTGTACCGCATCCATTGTTCGTGATGATTTCATTACAAAAATGCTCATGAGCTACACTCCAGCATCGCATACCATCTACAATCTTTTTGAGCCAGGAGGAAGCCGTTTAGAATTATTGGCTCTTGAAAAACATCTTTATCCGTAGTGAAGACTGACAAACCAGGGAAATTGATGATTAAAACAGGAACACCACACAAGAGTGTGACACCTTGACTTGCATATCGTAGGTATCCTAGGTGTATGCATGGTTATCGGTGTCAAGAAATGTCATTGAAGAAAAATCGCTGTCCGAATAGCACTGATCAACTTATGTATACATATATATATACATATATATATACGTATAACATACCTTCTTCCGAACGCTTATAGATATTCATAATTGTTCATAGGCATTCTACACTTTATGTATGGACGATTGGACACATCATCCCATGATCTCCCAAAATTTGTTTGGCAACTTGACACGATGCCTTTTGAGGTTGAGTAACATCACCTTCAGAACCCCGCAGATATTTCATACTGCATCAGATCAAAAAAACATTAATGTACAATAATATAATATATACATACCTTACAGAACTTAAGATGACAGTACCATTTACTGATACCGCAGAATATGACGCTATACATCACATGACGTTTTTACACCATTTATCAAAAACTGCGCCCACGCTGCTTCCATCAACATCATTTTTTTGTCATGAAAGTGGTGCCCCTCTCCCGTAGCAGAAAAGATTGTTGGTAAATAGGTATCCTATTAATTGTCCTATGGGTTAGTTACGCTTAGTTCATAATCTTTCATAATCTCCTACACTAAGCCTTCAGTTCATTGTCCTGTACATTAACCCATCAACAGGGGAGTTTCGAAGACTATACTTCCATGTGTTTGACATAGTTTAAACCCTTCTCAAAACACAACATCCCATTAAGACCCCGTAAAACATAATAAAACCCGATAAAAGCTTCTTAGATCATGTTAAATCCCATTCAGACAGATTCAGACCCCATAAATTCCCATAGAACCTTAAGATTAGCTGTGAAATCCGACATCCTAGGCATTCCATAAACATGGCATTGCTGGAGTCCTCGGCCAAACCTGCTGCGAAAAATCTGGACGCCCTGCCGACGCCTAGCCGACGCAGTCGACCCCCCTTGGGCCAGGCGATTGGGTCTGGAGCCGACTGGTGCCTTTCACCTGAACAGTGTGACCTAAAGCTCCATATTCGGGGGATTGTACTCATCAAAAGATATCAATATATATATATATAATGATTTATATATATATAATGATATATATATGTTATTATATATATATATATCTGTGTGTGTGTCGTTACATTATATATACACACTGGGGATTGTCTCCATTATGGGCTATGCGAGATCCATCAGATGGGGATGTAACCAAGCAAATGGTTAAGATCTAAATATTGGACTGAACTGGTGATGCAACTATGAAACATGGTGGTTTAAAATGTGTTTTTTTTTTACGATCCTTAAACTGGGAATATACAGCCAATATGATATGAAAAACGGCCCCCCCAAATGAAAGCCTGGTTTAGTATTGGATCCTTTGCTGTGAGATGCCCATGATGATCAAAACTTGGGGTGCAATCCTGGACAAACTTGGGTTGTAGACAAAGATAATAGGGATATAGTGGGGATATGATGGGGATATAATGGGACATGTATGAAGCAACAATATCGTGTATGTATGTATATATATATATTATTACATACATCAGTTGTGGCTATGGATGAAGAATTCAGAAAATCTGCAGACCCAGTGGCTGCAGCCTCCACGCTTCAGATGGCTGCACCCCGCCGGGGTGCCGCATTCGCGTCAAAGACGCTGTCAAACAGAGACTTGGCGGCAGCTGTCTGTGCGTGAAACTCATGCACGTCCTTGGCATTTATGGGTGTTCCTCAAAGAAGTTTCTTATCTCTAAACTTGATTTGTTGTTTGTCGTACCAAAGATTAAAGCTGGATTGAATGGAATCACGTTTCTGGACCAACCGTCACCTTGTTGATTGGAAAGGGAATGTTCAAGATCATCTAGATGTGCTAGAGTTGCAGCACACATTTGCAAATTTGGCATATTCCAAGTCACTTGATTGGCTTCTGCATCTTTCTAGGTGGTTCTTGTTTCGAAAGGCATGGACTGACGAAGATTCGCACAATACAGACAGATGCACATGCAATCGCTGGCTAACACCTACAGATGGCACTCTTTTGATTACTATAATTTAACATAATTTAACATTGTTATGGAAAATCAACATTTTTTAATGCCTTAAATAACAATCTATAAATGAGCAACTTTCAAGTTCACAATCTGCTCAGTTGAAAGAGTGGTGGATACTTTGGATATATGAGGATAAGCGTAAGTCCACCGCCATTCCCCTTTGGACCCGTTGAGGTAGTGGCCTCAAGTCCCAGTCCCAACTTGAGACCTGTTCCACCATTCAAGTATGATGTGATACACACGCATATATATATTATATATATTTGTAACAGCCAACATCTCGACACATCTTTCCATTGATTTCTTCCATTTCTCAACCCATACCGCCCTGCCCTAGCATCCCCGGCACAGGCCATCCAGGCCCCAGGCCCGGCCAGCAAAGCTCCCCACGTCCCGGTGCCGCCACCGTGGCCAGCGCAGGCCGCGCGATGCTGCAGCGCAGCGACCAGCGGCAGCCCAGCGCGCCCGGCGCGTTGGCGCCGGAGGAGCCGAAGGAGCCGAAGGAGCCGAAGGAGCCGAAGGAAAGGAACAGCAGGAGCTTCAAGACGTTTTCGGAAGGATGTGTGCCTGTACCATGGCGAGGGGATGGGTCAAGTTAAGTTACCTCTGACTTGGGGAGTAAGCATCCATTCAGCAGCTATACGGGTACCTAGGGTGCCGGGGTTTTGACGAAAATAGCCATGTGGAGAAAGGGGTGCGTGGTGGTGAGGAGACTCAGGATGATGACTGGGTATGTTCCGAGAAAGGTGCTTTACACTTGAAAGGTGGACCAGGTGGTGTGTCCATCCACTTACTTGCACCCCGGAGATCAGATTGTTTTTTCGGAGCTAGTTTGAACCTGCCCCAGCCATTGTAGCCCTGCATCAGCATTCTGACATTCCAACATAGAGGGTGCAGTATTTCATGATTTGGGATTGACTCGGAATTGGTATTAACATGTATTAACCATGTACCGACCAACGCCACTTGGCAGGCTGCAACCAAAAAAACACGCATTTCATGAGTTGGTTAAAATGATGAAGCCGCAAAACTGTTTGGGTAAAATATCAATTGATTGGTTTAAGGAAAACCTACAAGGAACCATTCTGGCCCATTGCCGAAGTTCAGGCAGATGCTGGGCACGGCTCCGGTCGAAGCACGTTGCTCCGGAAGAATCCACTGGATCCTTTCAACATTGAACGCTTTGCGGAGGCGCAAAAGGAGAGTCTTGGACGACTGATCTTCACTGATTGGTGGTTGTGAATCATACTCAACCATGGTTTAAACGTGTTTTTGGGATTAGATGGATATCCTACCAAAAGTTACAGTACACATTTAGCAAAGGAGCAACAGCCACATATAATGTGCATATATATATACACATCATTGTATGCATATATCATTATATGTGTATGTTTTATATATATATATGTTAGATTGTGATGATGATAGCGATGGTGATGATGATGATGATGATGATCATGATGATCATGATGATGATGATGATGATGCCAAATCATGGTGCCAGTTGACCATACAATCTGTTTGGAATGATTTTAAAGCACTACAGTAGCCAGTTCAGGATGTACTTGTGATGCTGTCCAGAAGTCCAACAGGCCATTAAATTCCGGATGGTCCTGTTTTGAATGTGGGGTTATGCTGGTTGGAAATCTTCATACTGAGTGTATATGCGTGTATTTAATATATAACATATAATATATGACATGTAACATATAATTACATATTACATATTATATATTATTTATTATATATTGAATATTATATATTACATATTACATATTATATATTAATACATAAGAAAAAAAAATATTATTTAATATATAATTTAATTTAATATAGTATAATATAATATGATATAATATAATATGATATAATATAATATGACACAATATAATATCATACACTATCATATATAATATAGTATAATAATATATATATAGTATATACAATATATATATATATATATATAATATGTAATATAATATATATATATATCATATACCTCTTTTGCTAATGCAAAAGTTCCTTCAGAAAGTTGTTGTAAGAGGATGTTTGTACTCAGCTGCTGGAGTGATGGTGAAAGATGGAGAGCAGTCAAGCCAGGTTCAACTCAGACGGTGAGCCGTAAAGGGTGTGTGCGCCTCACCATCAATTTTTGATGCTGTGAATCCCATTAAATCCCATCAATTAACTCACATAATATCACGCTGATGACATCCCACTACATCCCATCCACCCTGTTTCCAAGAAATGCGGTGGCCCTGTTTTTTCAGCCTCACGCAACGCGTGACGTGACTCCGCGTGCGGTGTTCCCTAGGAATGGCACCTTTCATCGAGCTTTGGGCGAGATCCAAAGCGGAAGGACACCGATTTTTTCGGAGCAAGTGTCTTAAGCATTGGATCACTTGATAGAACTGGTGATTTTATGGGATTTTATGGTCAATAACTATGGTTTATAGGTGATATATCTATAGTTAATGGATGTTAATGGGTTTATAACCAATTTATCTGGGTAAATTATAACGACCTCACTGTTCTCCCTCACTGGAATTCATGGTTAGCAAGGGAAATCATCTTCCGAAGAAGGCCTTATTTCAGGTTAGTGAATTATTATAATTTACCCAGATCACTTGATAGAATGTGGTATACCATAGGAAAACCATAGGAAAATGGTGATTTTTCACCACTAGGAAAATGGTGATTTTCTATGGTTAACAATGGTGAATTTCATGGGATGATATGGGATATTACCCTCTGGTAATTTGTTACATAGCTATTGAAACTGGCCATAGAAATAGTGAGGTTTCCCATTAAAAATTATTTTCCATAGCAAAATGTTAGTTTACCAGAGGGTAACCTTAAATGTTATCTTATTTTTAAGGCATGGTACTTTATGGCTACGATGATAACCTTCTTGGATAGAAATTTACCCTCTGGTAATTTAACATAGCTATTGATATGATGGCCCATTTATAGATGATTTATAGTTGATGACTACCTTCAACGTTAAATGATGATTTTATAAATTGATAACCTAATACATGATGACTATAAGTTGTGGATCGCTTTAAAGATAAACTTATAAATGATGACTTTATTGGCACCACATTTTCACTTTGTCCAAGCTTTGGATTCTACACGATATTTTTTGATCACTTTGCCTGCTGGGATACCAGACAAAATATTATTGTATAGGAATGCCACTGGGATAATAATTGGGATACTCATTGAGATGATAATTGGGATATAATATGATATAATATGGGATTTAACCTCTGGTAATGTAACAAGTTGCTATGGAAAATGGCTTCTCAAAAAGCGAGGCTTAAGACTAGAACCGCCCCTGGACAATCCTGAGTGTGATTCCTCAATGTTGTTTGAAGCTGGCCCTATCATGCCTTATGGTACCTCCCGATGCGTTTAAACATGGGTTGACAGCAAGGTAAGTAGTCCAGCGAGTGATTTCATGCTCAATGCACTGCTGACCACCATCCAGTTTTACTTCAACATCGTCGCTGTCAGGAAATCCTCCTGTTGGATGTGGTTTGTGACGCTTGGTCCGCTTGCAACAGATCCAGGTATTGCGACCCTCACAATCTCCGAGCATTTTGAGGATTCGAAGCTCCAGTTGCCAATGGGTCCCATTGTCAATGGCCATTCCAGGATCCTAAAATGGAATATCCCTACAACATATGGCCTTATATGGTACAGTACCTCCAGTTTAGGATCCTGGAATTCCCATGGGTCCCATTGGGACCCTTGGATTTTTTGGGGTGGCCCAATTTTAGGAGCCACATAGATCCACATTGTATATTGCTGAAGCAATGGCTGAAAAATAGGGTCCCTAAAAAGATCCAGAAGGTAATTCCCTAGCACATCTTTTTGACTTCTACGAATGAATCCGTACCAAACGACGAATCATAGATGATCATAGTCATCACAATCATAGAATGTCATAGATTTCTATATTTGACTACTATGAATATCTATGAATATCCTATTTGACTACTATGACTACTATGAATATCTATAATTCTGTATACAGTCGACATCGGAACGCCTCAGGATCCCATCTCCGCCCTACGTGAAAAACAACATCGAACGGGGCAGTAGCAGCGCCGGCCGCAGATCTGGTGGTTTCAACTGGTTGATGTTCAGAAAAGGATGGTTTTACATGGGATCCCAATGATTTTGCAGATCTTTCGGGGCTTGAAAAAATGCCACCAACCACATGAGTAAACTAGTAAACTACAATTCATATAGGTTTCATCTTGGTTGGTGGTTTGATATTATGGTGTTTGTGTTTTTTTTCTCATCAGGTCCAGTCCAATCATGAAGTCCGGGTGTGATGCCGACCCTGGTGCTTCCACAAATACTTGAGTCTGTTTGAAAATGGGATAGACAGAATTGCGACTTTAATAGTGGATTGAGTACATCCATATATATATGTATATATATAATCTACCCCGCCCACATAGAATATGGAATTGAAATTTTGGCTTCCCAGGGCATCCCCATAATTGAACTTGAAACAGGATACTTAGAATACAGTTGACGTCAAAAAACCTATACTTAGAATATCGTTGGGCCATATAAATTCTTTCACTTTTCCAGACGAATTCGTCATTTTTCCATAGAAATTCTTCACTTTTCTTTATAAATCCTTCACGTTTCCATACAAATTCTTCACTTTTCCATATTTTTGCCACACAAATTCTTTCACTTGTTCAGTCAAATTCATCATTTTTCCATATATATATATATATCTTAATAAATCCTTCACATTTCTATACAAATTCTTCACTTTTCCATATGTTTTCCATATAAATTCTTTCATGTTTCCAGACAAATTCATTATTTTTCCATATAAATTCTTCACTGTCCTATAACAATTCTGCACGTTTCCAGCGAAAATAGTTAACCATCTTTTTAGGAACACCAACTAATTCCATTAGTTTTCATTGTAAACTAGTTTTTTTCATAGTTCTACGACGCCGGTCGTGGGGGGTACCCCTCGGTGAGCTTGAAAAACTCATGTTTTTTTGCAATATGAAAAGAAATTGATCATTTCGGGCGACCCGTTTTTTTGTTGAAACGTTCCAGTTTAGGAACTTCAGACATCCAGGATTGCTGCTCCCCAAAGGGAATTACGTATATAATAATTATACATGAAGGGGACCCTATTCCTTGCAGAACTACATACATAGAATATAGGTCCCCAGTGAAAATATTCATCAATTTTTAAAGGAATGCCACCTAAGTCCATAGGTTTTCATTGCAAAATATTTTTTTTTCATAGTTCTCCGACACCGGTCGTGGGGGGTACCCTTCGGTGAGCCTGAAAAACTCATTTTGTTTAATACAATATGAAAAGAAATTGATCATTTCGGGGGACCTTTTTTTCGTTTGTTGAAACGTTCTAGTTACTAGTTCACGGACTTCAGACATCCAGGGTTGCTACTCCCCAAAGGGAATTACGTATTTAATAGTTAATACATGAAGAGGACCCTATTCCTTGCAGAACTACATACATAGAATATAGGTCCCCAGTGAAAATATTCATCAATTTTTTAAGGAATGCCACCTAAGTCCATTGGTTTTCATTGCAAAATAGTTTTTTTTCATAGTTCTCCGACACCGGTCGTGGGGGGTACCCTTCGATGAGCCTGAAAAACTCTTTTTTTTTAATACAATATGAAAAGAAATTGATCATTTCGGGGGACCTGTTTTTTTGTTGAAACGTTCCAGTTTAGGAACTTCAGACATCCAGGGTTGCTACTCCCCAAAGGGAATTACGTATATCATATACACCCTTTTGTATGGAAGAGACCAAATTCCTTTCAGAACTACATACATAGAATATAGGTCCCCAGTGAAAATATTCATTCATTTTATTGGTTTTCATTGCAAAAATATGCTTTCTTGTCATAGTTCCCCGACACCGGTCGTGGGGGATACCCTTCGGTGAGCTTGAAAAACTAATTTTTTTTATACAATATGAACAGAAATTAAACATTTCGGAGGACCTGTTTCTTGTTGAAACGTTCTAGTTTAGGAACTTCAGACATCCAGGGGTGCTACTCCCCAAAGGGAATTACGTATATGATATATATTGATATATAATCCTTATACTTTTACATGGAAGAGACCCAATTCCTTGCAGAACTACATACATAGAATATAGGTTCCCAATGAAAATAGTTAACCGTTAACCATTCTTTTGGGAACACCAACTAATTCCAGTAGTTTTCATTGCAAACTATTTTTTCTCCATAGTTCTCCGACACCGTTCGTGGGGGGTACCCTTCGGTGAGCTTGAAAAACTCATTTGTCTAATTCAATATAAAAAAAAAAGATCATTTCGGGGACCTTTGTTTTGTTGAAACGTTCCAGTTTGGGAACTTCAGATATCCAGGATTGCTGCTACCCAAAGGGAATTACGTATATAATGATTATACATGAAGGGGACCCTATTGCTTGCAAAACTACATACATAGAATATAGGTCCCCAGTGAAAATATTCATCAATTTTTTAAGGAATGCCACCTAAGTCCATTAGTTTTCATTGCAAAATAGTTTTTTTTCATAGTTCTCCGACACCGTTCGTGGGGGGTACCCTTCGGTGAGCTTGAAAAACTCTTTTTTTAATGCAATATGAAAAGAACTTGATCATTTCGGGCGACCCGTTTTTTTGTTGAAACGTTCCAGTTTAGGAACTTCAGATATCCAGGATTGTTTTACCCAAAGAGAATTACGTATATAATAATTATACATGAAGGGGACCCTATTTTTTCCAAAACTACATACATAGAATATAGGTCCCCAGTGAAAATATTCATCATTTTTTAAGGAATGCCACCTAATTCCATTGGCTTTCATTGCAAAATAATTTTTTGATAGTTCTCCGACACCGGTCGTGGGGGGTACCCTTCGGTGAGCTTGAAAAACTCATTTTTTTAATACAATATAAAAAGAAATTGATCATTTCGGGGGACCTGTTTTTTTGTTGAAACGTTCTAGTTTACGGACTTCAGACATCCAGGGTTGCTACTCCCCAAAGGGAATTACGTATTTAATAATTATACATGAAGGGGACCCTATTCCTTGCAGAACTACATACATAGACTATAGGTCCCCAGTGAAAATATTCATCAATTTTTGAAGGAATGCCACCTAATTCCATTAGTTTTCATTGCAAAATAGTTCTTTTCTCATAGTTCGCGGACACCGGTCGTAGAGGGTAGGTGTAGAGGGTAGGTACCCTTCGGTGAGCTTGAAAAAAAGTTCACGGACTTCAGACATCCAGGGTTGCTACTCCCCAAAGGGAATTACGTATTTAACAATTAATACATGAAGGGCACCCTATTCCTTGCAGGACTACATACATAGAATATAGGTCCCCAGTGAAAATATTCATCAATTTTTTAAGGAATGCCACCTAAGTCCATTGGTTTTCATTGCAAAATAGTTTTTTTTTCATAGTTCTCCGACACCGGTCGTGGGGGGTACCCTTCGATGAGCCTGAAAAACTCATTTTTTTAATCCAATATGAAAAGAAATTGATCATTTCGGGGGACCTGTTTTTTTGTTGAAACGTTCCAGTTTAGGAACTTCAGACATCCAGGATTGCTGCTCCCCAAAGGGAATTATGTATATGATAATTATATGACCTTATACATGGAAAAAATCAGATTCCTTGCAGAACTACATACATAGAAAATAGGTCCCCAGTGAAAATATTCATCCATTTTTTCAGGAACACCACCTAATTCCATTAGTTTTCATTGCATTTTTTTTTTTTCTTTCATAGTTCCTCGACACCGGTCAAGGTGGGTACCTTTAGGTGAGCTTGAACAATTTCAAAAAGGATTTTGATGGTATTTTGGTGGATTTTAGTGGGGTGAAAAAATTGAAACATGACCATTTATGTCCATTTATAATGCAGTATGGGTGATATGTTGATAATTCAAAACAAAATAGTGGGGTGAAAACTTGAAAAATGTTCTTGTATGCTGCAGTACGGATTATATTTTGATAATTCAAAGGATTTTGGTGGGGTGAAAATTTGAAACATGTCCATATATGTCTATTTATGCTGCAGTATGGGTGATATGTTGATAATTCAAAGGATTTTAGTGGGATTACAATTTGAAAAATGTCCATTTATGTCCATTTATGCTGCAATATGGGTGATATTTTGATAATTCAAACGAAAATTAGTGGGGTGAAAAATTGAAAAATGTCCATTTATGTCCATTTATGCTGCAGTATGGGTGATATGTTGATAATTCAAATGGGGAGAAAACACATGAGCACGAAATGGGGGTATATTCTAAGTGGAGTTGCGTTCGAGTTCAACTGCATAATTGGAAAAACGCATATTCTATGTGGGCGGGGTACATTATATATATACATACTGTAAATGATAATTTGGACGTGTTCAAACAAAAATTGATTATGTATACATTATGCTCATTATGTGTAATTACTTTGTAAATCCAATCTTTTTGCTGTGAAAATGATGATTGACCAATGGATGGAATGGGGTACCCCGAAATTCAGATCACTGGCCTGGTGAACTAAGGCCACCGCAAAGCCATAGTCAGTGGCGCCGAAAATGAGCTCTGGAGCGCGGTAGTAGCGCGAGCCTAACGATGTGGCTATACATGTATAAACTGTTGTATGAACATCTATAGGCTATACACATGTATATACATCAACAGTTTATACATGAATCTATAGGCTATACACATAAATAGATGAACTTCTATGTATATATCTATGAATATATATATATATGCATATACATATATGAATGATCCATTTTGGATCTTCTGTCTCGTTTCCAGGGTTTTCCATTTGAAGGTCTTTGGTCTCAAAGTTGTTCACCAACTGCTGCACCAAGGGCCCGGGCAAATGTAGGCAACGTTGGGTTCTCCTCTCACTAGAGGCTTGGCGGATCCAAAGTCGCACAACCTGATCGCTCTTGGGCGGTTTCAACCCCCCAGAACGACATTAGTCAATTCTGGGTCACCATTCCAAAAAACTTCGAAATGACCAGCCAGAAAGTCATAGAAAGCCTAAGTCCATGGCTTCAAAGCGTGCGTATGCCCTTCCACCAGGAGGTTTTGAGGCTTGATGTCTCGATGACAAATCCTGAGATTTCCCATCAATTGCTGGGAAACATACATTTTGCATAGGAAAAGACAAGGTCCCCTGTAACCAACCAATCACTCCTAAGCACCTGACCCCACAGCGTGGATGTAGGCACAAGCACGGCCCATCTGTGCGTTTCCAGGAAGCCACTCTCCCTCTCTCCCTCTATCTCCCTCTCTCTTTCTCTCTTCACCTGTGCACAATGAAAATGACTGACATCCACACCTGGTACGAGTACAGCTGGACGAAAATGTGCGGCACTGGTTGCTTCATCTTGCTGTAGTGCTTCATGACGCGGTAGATCGTGTCCTTCCATTTTTTTTCGTTTCGGTTCTGCAGTACGGCTTTGGCATCGAAACAGGGCTATGGCAAACGGTGGCTGTGCTAAGGCTCTTACAGAGCAGTACTCCATCACAACCTGAGCTTACCAGGTTTTTCCCTTTCCTGTTGCCCGAATGAGAGCCTACCACAAATTACCCTCATCTTTAGATTATTCATTGTTTATTCATTGTTTATCTATGTTTATCTCATCTTTGTCCATTTCTAGTTGCGATTCTCCATTTGCCATCTGAAATTCTCCATCCTATCTCAGCTATCCGGGAGAAAAAAAACTCGATCGCATCTCAGGGGCATTCAGGTACGTCTCCCCGGGCTTTTCCCCTGAGGTGTAGAAGGCATGCTTCAACCTGCCGTGACCGCTGTGGCTGGCTGGGTTCAAAAAAAAGCGATTCGACTTCCCGAGGCTCGTGCTCCACAACGTTGGGATGGCGCAATTCCTGGTGGAATGGTGTTCAAATGGTGGTGAAATACTTTGAAATTGGATGTCCCCAATGATGGAAGGTTTTCAACGCAGGCTTCATCACAGTATATATAGTATATACGCTCAAATCAACTTGTGCTTTGCAGCTCAGGTCCTTCATGATCTGCAACTCTCTGTTCTTGTAACGCTTGTCCTGTGCACGTTGCCCCCATTTTCCACTGTGCTATGTGACAGTATATCCAAGGAATACATTGAATACACAGGAAAGTGAGGCCAGCTCGTGAGCCGGGTACCAAAAGATCCATATCCAAGTTGAATATTTTGAACTTCAGAACTTTTCAGAACCCCCAGTTTTGATCAGTTTTGGCTGTTCAAACCATGGCGAGATCGGTCACTTCCGGAAGGGTTCAAACGGGACCGGGAGCCCTCCTGGAAGACCTTCTTGATGGCCACAGATTCACCCGTCTCCACGACCTGGCAAACACAACCGCGACGCTGTTTATGGGAGATGAAATCTATGTAAATCTGTAAATCTAACTAATCTTATTATCTTCTCCCATAGATTTACAGGATTGGTTCTAATCTAACACTAATCTAAAAAGAAAACTATCCTTATTGGATTGCTATAACTGGTGCACTTCTGGCATTATTGCGGCTTTCGCCAGCGCCTGCCTGGGCCTGGTAGACAACCCCGAAGGAGCCGCTCCCAAGGACCCGCTCCGCGTTGTAGGTGAATGATGTCTGAAGCGCGTGGCTGTGGGTGGAATTGGTGGTTGATCTACCCTCCGGTAACCAAACATGGCTAGCTGGGAAATTTCCCCAAAAAATGCGGGCTCTTAATGGGGAAATCTCATCGATAGATGGAGGATGTTCAATTGCCTGCCACGTTTGAGTACGAGATGGTCAATTCTTTCATCGGTTTGCACGGAGAAAATCGTAATTCTTTACTTCTTTACAAGGACATTTAGATCAACCACCAAGTTTTGATAAAATTGATGGTACCAATTGATTTAACAACAATAGGGGATCGGCTACCAATTTCTGACAAAATTAAGGGGAAAAAACATGAGAGATGTTAAGTCCATTCACCAACAAGTTGCAATACACAAAAGGCCAGCATTCATCCACAGGCCCAATTCAGGAGCCTTCTTGGAGCCATCCTCGCTCTTTCCTCAGCCAGTGTCACCATAAAAAGAATACCCTGCTGCCCATGTTTGGGTTCATTATTGTGAATAGTGGGTGAAACTGCCAGGTGCATCAGCCAAGAAAATGCCAAAACTCGCATATTGCATTGCTGGGGCCTGCTAGGAAGCAGGCCAGAATCCATCTTCATGCTCTGGAAGGAGTTTTGCAATGCTCGCAAGTCACTTGACGCCTCCACCGTGCCACTGTGTCGAGACAGGATCTGTGACAACTCCAACTCGGCACTTGGTGGATGTGCCCAACCAAATTCTTTTGTTGATGTGTTCCTTAAGGCTAGAAACCACAGTGGTGTTGTTTGCCAATCCCAGTATATACTCATGTCGGCACTATGCACATGCTTCGTGGTTACAGTAAATTCACAGTGCCAGCCTAAATTCTAGATTCTAGTTTTGATTCTTAATAGTCAAATGTTTTCGGTCGAGGCAAACCTACCCATCCGTTTCCCCATCCTGCGGATATTCTAGACACATACATATACATATACACATATATACATATATACATATATACATATATACATATAAACATATAAACATATATACATATTGAACGGAGAATATGCAACTCGCTATTTTAGCAGCGGTGTTCTTGAGCCAAAGGTTGGCGTAGCAACTAGTGAGAACCCTATATCCCGTCACCCCTCCTGTACAGAGGCTGGGATTTTCCTAAGCTGATGTACACTCATTCCAAAGCCTTTGCAGCTTCGGCTCTACCATGAGAGTACTCGAACCCCATGCTTTGCATGTGTCTTTCCATCTCATTCGCAGGTAAACCTTTGGTGCACAAATCAGCTACGTTCTGCTTTGTCGGGATCTTCACCAGTTCGAATTCATGTAGTGCAAGCTTTTCTTGCACCCACAGAAAGCGAGTTTGAACATGCCGTGAGCGGCCTAAGCCCTGACGGTTACATGTTCCCAGCGCAGCGGATGAATCTGTGTGCACTTTAAGTTTTGGTTGTAGGCCCCATCCTCGCAAGATCTCCTGTAGCGACATTCCGATGGAAACTCCTCGAACGATCGAGTAGTATTCCGCTTCACCGGAACTCAAGCTGATCGTGCTCTGAAGAGTGCTCGAGGCCTTCACCGTGTGGCGGCCAAAGGTTGCCACAAGTCCACTTGTTGAGCGCCTTGTAAGAAGACACCCAGCGAAGTCGGAGTCCACGTACATGTGGATCGTGTCAGAAAACTTCTGGCGACCAAACTTCAAAAGTACACGTGGTTTCCCTTTCAGAAATCTCACCAAGCGTTTCAGATCCTGAAAGTCAGATTCTTTGGGCTCATGCATTCTTCTTGATAGGCATTTCACTGCCTCCGCGATGTCAGGTCTGTCCTGTGCCACATACGACGCTCTCATCACCAGAGACCGGAAGAAACTTACACGGTCCGGTGTGATGGTCGGGGTGGTCAACTTCAAGTTGGCCTCCGTGGCTGACATTTTCTCAGATGGTGTCTTGACTGGCTTACAGTTTTCCATTTCTAGATCTCGTACCATCTGGTCAACGTGGCGGGGATCCGCCTCATAGGATACAGAGCCTTCCTGCTCGTTGTAGGTCACGATTCGATTGAGCACTGCGAACTGCTGATGCCGTTCTCCAGGACCGATCGATCCATCGACCCGCAGATCATATTTGGACCTCAAGGTGTCCTCAAGGTATTTCTGTCCAGCATCATCAGCAAGCACCACGAAGTCATCTCCGTGTACAAGAACTCGAATACCACCGTAACCTTCATGGTAAAAGCAGGATGGCCAAGCTTGATTCTTGGCAAAACCAGCTCGGATGAGAAGTTCTGTATATGATCTTTGCCAGATCGCTGATGCATCGCGTGTTCCATACATGCTCTTAACGAGCTTGCCACAAAACCCTTCTTGTCGATCTCCTTCAGGTAACTGCACGAAGATATCACGCTCTGCCTCTCCATAGAAGTGAGCGCGTGATATGTCAAGAAGACGAACTTTCAGTGCATTGCCAGACTTGGATCGTCTCAAAGTCACCATAAGCGATAGAAGCAATTTCAGCGATTCCAAAGGCGGCATCGAACTGAAGGACGCATAGTCCGGAATGAAGTCAGCATTGCTGGCCCGTTTGATCTCTCTACAGACCAGACGTGACCTGTAGTTGGGGTGTGTTGCATCCCCTTTGTTTCTGTCAATCCATTTCATGGTGATGACCGGTTTTCCAGACTGTTGGGCTTCTGTGAGTGGAACTTTGATATAGATACCCTGTTTGTGTACCCATGCTAGTTCTTCTTGTCGAGCAGCTCTGACCTTGTCAACATCCAAGACAGCACCGGAGTGTGCGTCAAGCACTGGCTCCACGATGGTGTCATCGCTGTCGGGCAGCTGCTTCCAAAACTCCTCCTCTTCATTGATCACAGGTCCAGCATCGGGTACTGGGCCATGTGAAAGTGAGTGTAGTTCTCCATCACATTCCAGTTGGCGCCTAATGGCCTTGAGAATTGCGTGGACAAGCTTTGGTGGGTATTTCTGGGCAGCTCGGGCTCGTCCATCAACAAGATGTACATGGCGGTGCCAAACTTTGCCTTCTTTGTTTGAACAGCACCCTTGTAGGGTCTGTGCCAGGATTGGAGAGTTCGTGAGCCAGGTAGTTTCTTTCTTCACTGACCCTTCACCTTGGCCATCGGCGGCCTTCATTCCCCAACGGCACATTGGTCCAGTGACCTCATACACCCGTTCATCTGCCCTCAGTCTCTTCACAGCTCTCTCTTCCCACGAAGCGGCCCCTTTAGGGTGCTCATGGTAGAAGTACCTTCCAGCATTCATTTGATGCTCATACGCTGAAACTGCCGTGCGCAGATGTTTGCGACCATCTTTTAGTCTCTGCGCTCGAACTTCAGGTGAAACATTGCCCTTCGCATCCACAATGTTTTGCAGCTTCGAGAATGGCCCACAGGGAGGTGAGCCGCCGAGGAACTCTGGTTTCTCATAGTCAAGCAGTTGAAACAGATCACGAATGTGTTCATCTTTACTCAAGTCCCAGTGAGTTCCATCACCACGCTTTGTCTCCAAGTCAATCGAGAAGCCAGGTGCTAGCCCGACCACTTGGGCTTGTGCAGCCACACGCGGTGGAGAGAAGATCTCAGCAACCTTCCCTTTTGCGATCACATCTTTGAGCAAGGAACACAGATGTAGCATCTCCTGGTTTGTCTCAGGACTTGTTGGTGCAGCGGCAGCACCTTCCGGAACACCAGATGAAGCATCCGGTGCCGGTGGTCCGGCTGACCCTGAAGCCTGAGCTGAAGATTCATTGTAAAGATCTTCAACGTCGACTTGTGAACTCCTTTTCTCTCCTCGGGATTGTTCTTGTTTCTGCCTCTTTGGGCTTCCTTCTCTTTCTTGTTCTCTCTGTCTGAGTTCTCCACGAAAATCGGTGTCGACCAGTGGTTCACCAACAGCCTCACTTGCATCCATTTCCGCATCCAAAGGAACACGGTCTTGCAAGACTGGTTGTTCAACTTCCCCTCCTGGGACAACTGGTGGTGCAGCTTCACCACCTTCTGCCCCACCACCCTCAGGCGGTGCAGCCGCGCCTCTTGGGCGCCTGCCTTGTGCAACTCTCTCTCTCTCGCTCTTTTGATCCTTTCTTGACCTTCTGGAGTCTTGTCAAGTTCGATCTGGATTCTTTGTCTGCACTCAGCATTGTGAGCTCGGCTTGGCATCTCAAGTATTGCTGCTTCACATCCAGGACACAAAGGTGTGTGCCCATGCTTTTCCAAGTCATTCTTGGTGACATAGAGGTTCCTTGGGATCACTTCTTGCACTGCAGGCCTTTCACGAGGCGCTGCAACATCGGGAAGGGCGATCCTCAGTCCACCATGTTCTCGTTCTTGCAACCTCCAAGGAAGGCCACGTAGCGAGTCAAACTGATCATGTTTGAACTGATCGTCAGGTGGGCGTCGATGGATCGAGTTCCCCTTCATGATTCCACGTTCCGTCATGACAAAGACGTCTGAATTTCTGTTTCCAGTTCCAACGTACATCCCAATGGATACCCTTGGAGCAAGGTCATTTCTCTTGCCCCCACGATTGGCCCTCGGCCTATACAGGATGCTTTCACCGAACCTCACAAGCGGAATCCGCCATTTTCGTCCATAGGTCCGCTCAAAAGCGGTCTTTCCATCAGTACCTACTCGGTATCTCGTCAAGAGAAAGGCAGCATGCCGCGGGAGCCAAACCAAAAGTGGATGGCCCGGATCTACCTTCCTTTCCAGCTTGAACTCCAGGTCGCTGAGGAGAGCACGACATTGTCGTTTTATCTCTCGCACTCCCACTTCGATAAACCCATTGGCTTGATGGTCTTCTACTGGGGTTTCCACCAAGTGCACTTCGATGTGGGTCTTTATCTCCTTAACCTTCTGTTTAAGGGATACCAAGGAGGGTTCACCGTCAGACTTAAGGATTACCTTATTAAAACCAGCATCATCCAAAACTCCCCCAAGCCACGCGATTGCGAACGCATCCGCCCCTTTTCCCGGGAGAACGCTCGCCCAAAATCTCTTGGTCTTGTGGCACTTCACCACAATGCTCGGAAGGGTCGCCTCATCCGCAACCTGGTCCTGGTTCATATAGAAGTAGTCCAGGCTCAGCGTGGGCAACTGCGTTTCTGGCTCATCAAGTTCCTTAGGCACATGGCGATCAGCAGTCACACGTGCCCTTTTGCAGTGCAAGCACCAGCTCCGATGGACAACATGTCCAGTGCTTTCATGTTCGTCAACTTCAGCTTGGGATGGTTGATGTGGTTCTTTCTTCACAATGGCTTTCCTCTGTTCTTCACCGATTTCCAAATCAACTTCATCTTCAAAGGCATCTGCTCCGGCTGAAGCAGCTGGAACATCGCCTGAGGACCCTGCTCCGGCCGAAGCGGCTGAAACATCGCCTCCATCTTCCATGGCATCGGCTCCGGCTGAAACAGCTGGATCCTCGCCAACAGCGTTGATTTGTGGTCTTACTCCTCTTGAGGATGCCCCTGAAAAGGTGACACCCAATAGTCCAACACATAGATGCCTCGGCGATTGTGCACAATGGGCATTGAATCGCCATAATCTCGGATCAGATCTTTCATGGCCTTCGAATAGGCCCGTCCCGCAGGAGTGTTTCTTGGGATCAATCTCCCCGAAGATGGTCCAAGGGCGATGTGGTAGTTCTTGGCGATCTCGGAACCTGAAAGAAGTGGCCGATGCACATCTGCAACTCGGCAATCGATTGGGATCTTGTTGCCAGATTCGTCGTATCCCACCAGCTTCACACTTCCCTGATCTTCGATGGGTTCCGCATTGGCTGCCTTGTAGCTTGCTCCATTGGACTCGCTCCTCGGGTAGTCCTTGGCGAAGTCAAGTGGTACTGCAGTGATGGCAGCACCGGTGTCGATGTTCAACTCTGCTCGTTCCCATTTTCGCCAGTCGTCAGAGGCCCCCAAGCTGTAGACTGCAGCAGGAGCCGATCCAGCTCCACCATCGGGGTCTCCTCTGCCTGGTCGGTCTCGAGGCTCATCAGGCTCTTCGATGTAGACCTCTTCCATTTCATCATCATCTTCATCTGCGTTCACTTCAGTGTTTTCCTTCAGAACCAAGGCTGGTCGGTTCTTCCTCGCCATCTTGCGCGCCACATTGCGGTTGCGATTCTTCTTCACCCTGTACCCAACGCTTCGAACACGCTTGGTCATGGGTTTCTTCTTGGGGTCCTTCTGCAGCAACTTGGCCTCGTCGTCCGGGAACTGCCTCAAGGTTTTCCGCTCTTCCGCTGAAAACTCTATCACTGTGCTCTGACCAGCTTTGCCCACAACCACCGTCTCGATGCCCGCATCCAAGTTGTCTTCATCCTCGATTCTCACTATGCCTTCTGGATTTTCTGGGTTGTCAAAGCGTTCATGCCATTCTTTGTCAAGTCGAATCCTTTCAGCCGCACGTGCCTTGACTCCTCCTCGTCGGTGGACGATTGCACGTCTTCTCAAACGTTCATTTCTCCAGGCCACATTGTGTGCAACACCTTTGGCAATCTCGGCATGGTATCTCGAGTCGTGGAAAGAAGGATCGCTGATGTTCTGCTTTGTGATGTGCGGTGCCTTGACAGATCTAGTCCTCAAAGCCGCTAACATCGCATCTGCCTGGCCATCTCCTGAACCAGGATCTTCTTCTTGGACTTTGCGGATTTGTGAACTCAGCGCAGCCTTCAGCATCTGGACAAGTCGAGAACCTGAAGTCGAAGCTGCCGATGATGCCTTGACAGGTGGTGGTGGCTTCACCTGAGAGCTTTGCCATCCCGGTGGTGGACATGGCGGAGTCTTGGGTGAAGCTACTTGGCTTTGCCATCCTGGTGGTGGTCCTGGTGGAGTCTTGGGCGAGGCTATCGGCTGTTGTGGAGGTGATGCAGGCCATGCTATAGGTGTCGGTGGTGTCTTTGGCAAAGGTGTAGAGCTACGAAGAAGTTCTTCTGGAGTCTGTGGCCCATGCCTCAACCTTCTCCTTGGTGGTGGTGTCATCGAAGTCATTCGAAAGCGTCGGAGTGCTGACTCCGGAGTGACTGGCCCTGATCTGCTTGCTTTGCCTCTCTTTGGTGTTGAGCTCTTTGGACTTCTGCCCCTCTTGGGTCTTCCCTGTGGCGTTCGAGGTGCCTTGGAAGACGCGGACTTGGATGTAGTGGTCTCGTGCTCGGTGACCTCCTCCAGTCGAAGCGACCGAAGGGGTCTTGAGCCACTCGATCCACTCGGTCCATCATAGTCGGGGTCGTCCCACTCTTCAGGCCATGACGCACGTGGGTGAGGCAAAGAAAACCACCTTCTGCGACTTGTCGAGGCTTCCGACTCCTCGGACTCGGGATCGACCTGGAAACTTTCGTCGTCATCCTCGTCATGTGGTGGCCCATCAACACCATAGAGCGTTAAACCATTTGCTGCTTGTTGACCATCGTCGCCATCAGCTGCGTCCCAGTCTTCTGCTTCTGGTTCACCTTGTTCGACATTGTTCACAGATTTGCCTCCTTTGGGCTTCTGCTTGTGCTTTCCGGGGCTGCCTTTGCCCTTGCCCTTGTCCTTATTCTGATTGCTGTTGCCTTTGCCACCCGTCCCCTTATGTTTGGGGCCTCCAGGTGCCCAGCAATCTGCCCGCAGATGTCCTGGGCGTCCGCAATTGTGACATGTTCTCTTCTCAGCTGTTGCATTTCCCTTTCCAGGTTTTCCTCCAGCTCCCTTCTTGCCCTTACCTTTTCCCTTCGCATCTTTTCCAAAGCTTCCGACATCCATAGGATCGTCCCCACGGCCATGTGCGTCGTAGGGCTGGCTGTTCACCACCTTGATCTTGTTGCCGGTGGCATGTTCCACATAGGACTGGATCTCGGACAGCATGGACTCGAACGTCTTGAAGCGATCTCGATTGAGAACGAGATGACGCTCGAGCTCTGCCGGCACCAATCGTTCAATCACGTTGATCTTGATGTCTTCTGCCAACATCGTTCGGTTGCCAGATGCGTCTTTGCGACGTTCATAAAGTCTGGTGCTGTCAAGAAGCTTCTCCAGGTTGGACGGCAAATCTTCCATCTTGGATCGAGCCGGTGACAAGATTGCATTGAGGAGAGCGCGTTTGCGACCACCAGTGGATGGGTCGTACCTCCGCGTGAGCTTTCTCCAGCTTTCGATGCCGCATTCCCCGGTGTTCAGCACGATGTCAAAGGGCTCACGCTCTGTCAGCATTAGCAGCGCGTCCCAAAGCTCGCGTCTCAATTCACTGATGTTCGACACCTGGTCAATGGCATCTGCTTGACTCCCAAAAGCCTTGTCGATGTCATCTGCAGTGATTGCATGATCGCAATCTTCGGCCCAAACCAGAATCTCACGAAGGTCTTTGCGAACACTTGCAAGATAGGAGGACGTCTTGATTTTCCATGACAAGAATCTTTCGGCTGTCCCATCAAACTTGTCGGGCTTGCCAAGGCCCTTGTTGTCGACCAACCGGACTTGTTCTTTCGATCTAAGGGCGTCCACAAGCTCCTTTTGTGACTGCACCAACTGTGCCAGTGCACTGCCAGGTCCAGCTGAAGCAGCCGAACCGGCACCAAAAGAAGCGACCTGTGCTGTCAGTTCAGCCTCTCGGCCTCTTAGTCGATTGACCTCGGTCTGTAGTTCCTGGAGCGACTGGAGGACCTGTGCCGCTTGTTGTTGGTCCATTGCTAAGACCCTGGAGCGTATCGCTCCGCTACCATGAACGGAGAATATGCAACTCGCTATTTTAGCAGCGGTGTTCTTGAGCCAAAGGTTGGCGTAGCAACTAGTGAGAACCCTATATCCCGTCACATATATACATATATACATATATACATATATATATATATACATATATACATATATACATATATACATATATACATATATATATACATATATACATATATATACATATATACATATATATATATATATACATATATACATATATACATATATACAGATATATACATATATACATATATACATATATACATATATACATATATACATATATACATATATACATATATACATATATACATATATACATATATACATATATACATATATACATAGATACATATATACATATATACATATATACATATATACATATATACATATATACATATATACATGAATACATATATACATATATACATATATACATATATACATATATACATATATACATATATATACATATATATATATACATATATACATATATACATATACATACATATACATATACACATACATATACATATATATGTGTACATATACATATATATAGATATGTATATATATGTATGTGTGTGTACATATGTTTGTGTCTACATATAAGAATATAAGCGGTATAATACATGTATATATACATATAGAATATAATACATTTTATATATATATAGTATAATTGTATTTATTTTATATATATATATATGTGTATGTGTGTGTGTCTGTGTGTGTGTGCGTGTATGTGTTTGTGTGAATGAGTCCTAAGGCCATGACGTCTCCCTTCGAAGACATGGTGCTGGAATGCCTTAGCCAAGTGGGCGACATTTGGTTCTGCAAGGGGTGCGCTTCCAGATCCACTGGCGGCTTCCAGATACAAGCCTATGTCAGGATGCATTTCTTATCCCAAAGAGCCTATCTATATATATATATATATATGCACATGGTAGCCCCAAAAATGATGCGAAAATCATTTGTCACTATCGTAGTAGGATGTTACCGTTCTATCTTTTCTGGGGTTGTCCAGGTGGTGACTATCACCACAGCAAATTGAAATAGAAAACAAGCGAACCAGCAACCAGTACAGTACACTGATGGCAACACATCTGCCCAAGCCTAGCCCCTAGGCTGCCCAGCCGTCTTGCAGCAACGTTCCAGAGTCGCAGGTCCCAATCAAACAGTTACAACGATGGTGCTGAGCATAGCTGAGCCAAACACAAGGCACCCACCCCACATCCAATCAGAGTTAAGCGGTGGAAGCTCACAGGGCGTTTGTCTCAAGATTTCAAAGCCCAAAGCTCACTCAAAGACACACGCGCCTGCGAAGCACAAATTGCGGATCTTGTGCAAAATGTTGCGCCCGCACCGTGTCAAACAACGTTTTCACATGTGTCACTTTTCCGTCAGATGTGATTGCTCTACTTTCCAATGACTAATTACAGGACATGGCTATGGGTCAAAACCACAGTGCCCCTGGTTTCACATCAACAGATAAGTTTCAACCCCATCCCCATATGGTTGAAAGCCCAATCCAAAGTCCCAATCTCTTTCTCCGCAGATGCGGGGCGGTTGAGGGGCGGCGGCCCGTAACAGCTGATGCCTTCAGCGTTGCAAGGCAACTTGAAAGCGCGGGGTCTCTCTCTCAGTCGGTGCTTGCCTTGGCTTCCAATCTCATTGAATTCCAATGTGGCAAACCAAAAAAAATGAATCTCCAATTTGCAGATGGTTCATGCAACCCATTTAGGGCAAAATTGGGGATAGTGTGGATAGTTATATAGTTTATTGTTGGTTTTACCGCGTTTCAAAGCAATCCAGGAAAGGGCCGAGAAATTTTGGACAATATTTCTGAGTCAGAAATCGTGACTTGGTGTGACATGTCATGTGTTCAAAGGAATGAACGCCCCGGCTGTCTCCTGAGACTGCGACGAGCGCACCGAAATTGGCAAAGCTGTGCTTTTACCGGGGCGAGTTGTGACATAGGTCCGCTCTTCCCTGAGCCATCTGCACATCGGAATCAAATTGAAAGACACAACGTTGGTGTTCCTCAAAGTGAGAAACCCCAGCTGGAGAGTTGCTGTGGTCCTCAAACCTACAAAAATTCATGGGATTAAAATGTGTATGCACACACACACACACCGATAAATAACTAGATATATATATATATATGTGTGTGTGTGCGTGTCTGTGTCCATTAGGTATTGTTAAGTGACATGTGCATCTATGCATCTATGCATCTATGCAACTATGCATCTATGAATGCATGCATGTATGTATGTATGTATATGTGTATGTATGTATGTGTGTGTGTGTGTAACTGTATGTATGTTTGTATGTATGTCTGTCTGTATGTCTGTCTGTCTGCCTGTCTGTCTGTCTCTGTCTGTATGTATGTATGTATGGATGTATGTATGTATGTATGCATGTATGTGTGTGTGTATGTGTGTATGTGTATGCCTGTATGTCTGTATGTCTGCATGTCTGTGTGTTTGTATGTCTCTATGTCTCTATGTCTCTATGTCTGTATGCCTGTATGTCTGTATGTCTGTATGTCTCTCTGCCTGTATATCAGTATGCCTGTATGTTTGTATGTCTGTATGTCTGTGTGTCTGCATGTCTGCATGTCTGTATGTCTGTATGTCTGTATGTCTCAGCAAGACTAAGTGGTGGTGCAGGTTGCAGAAGGTTAGTTACAACATGATTTGGATGATCCGAAAATCAAAAAAACACATTTAAAATCATATATTCCTTTTCTCGCCAGAAAAGAGAAATAAAAAGAAATTGAAAAGAAATAAAACGAAATAAACAGCAATAAACAGAAATAAAAAGAACTAAATAGAAATAAAAGGAAATAAAAAGACATAAATACACATAAAAAGAAATAAATACACATAAAAAGAAACAAATATACATAACAAGAAATAAGTATACATAAAAAAATATAGAATTCAAATGATTTTACTTCATCCTGTTTAATCAGTTCAGGCTGAAGCCTATCAAAACTGATTTTGTTTTGACAACGTTTGTCACGCGGTCTGACAACAACTGACAAAAAAGGCACATCAGGAACCAATGTCGTTTTTGGTCACGTGTAGCAACGTACCTCATCGATCCATCAAAACAAAATCAGCACGATTCAGCACAGGTAGGGACAAGCAATGCAAAGGCCGGACCAAACATGGACGCAAGGAAAGGATTCATTCCTGCCATCATTGGGTCGACTTCTCGATGACGCTTGGCCGTACGGGCCAAAGGACCATTGGCTGAAGACGACATGGGTGAGCGCTGAAATTGAAATGAAAGCGCACAACTGACCACACAAGACTCTGGGATCCAAAATGCCACCAACCAAAGCGCAAAGAATCGTAGAGTTTTCCGCAGCACATCGCGCCAGGAACACCCTTGCAGCACGTATATGATTTCCTTTTTTACACTTTTTCGTCAAAAAAGATCAAACAAAAGAAAAAAAGAGAAAAAAAAGAAAAAAAAATTGACCTCAAGAAACATTTTCTCAATTGAAAACCAAATGCAGGTTATCCCACTGGCGCGAAACCCAGGAGAAAAAAAATAAAAAAAAAGAAAAGAAAAAAACATGTCACCGTTTTGCAATTTGTACCCAATCACCGCTATGCAATTCATGTTTGGAAAATTGTTCCCAGAAATCATGCTGTAGTGATCTGTAGTCACATTTGTTTCACATGTTTATGGTTCATGTCGTTTTCACATGTTTATGGTTCATGTTGAACGGTCTGGAACGGTTTTGCCATTTTTTTGTAGGGGTTTCTACTCAATCACCGCTACCCAGTTCATGTTTGGAATATGGTGGCCTCCAATGTTCACATCTCTTTATCATGCGTTGTGTGTTTTACTGTTTTCATGCATGGTTTATTTCATTTCCTGGTGCCTTTTAATGTTATTTATTTTCATATATGTTCATTTATTTTCATCTATTTTCATTATTTCATTTATTTTCATTTATTTTCAGTTATTTTCATGTATTTTCATTTATTCTCATTTCTTCTTATTTATTTTCATTTCTTTTCATGTTTTTTCATTTCCTGCTTTTTTTCTCTCTTGAAAAAACCATTACCAATCTAAACCACTTGCATGTCGACCCACGAATTAGTTCTGCTGAATGTCTGTATGTATGTATGTATGTATGTAGGTAGGTAGGTAGGTATGTATGTATGTATGTGTGTGTGTGTATGTGTGTGTATGTCTGCGTGTATGTATGTATGTATGTATGTATGTATGTATGTATGTATGTATGTATGTATGTATGTATGTATGTTATGTAATGTAATGTAATGTACTGTAATGTAATGTAATGTATGTATGTATGTATGTCTGCGTGTATGTATGTATGTATGTATGTATGTATGTATGTATGTATGTATGTATGTATGTATGTATGTATGTATGTATGTATGTATGTATGTGTGTGTGTGTGTCTGTATGTATGTATGTATGTATGCATGCATGCATGCATGTATGTATATGTATCTGTATGTGTATGTGTATGTGTATGTGTCTGTGTGTCTGTGTGTATGTGTGTATGTGTGTATGTGTGTATGTGTGTATGTGTGTATGTATGTATGTATGTATGTATGTATGTATGTACGTACGTACGTATGTATGTATGTGTGTGTGTATGTGTGTGTGTGTATGTACGCACGTACGTATGTATGCACGCACGTATGTATGTATGTACTGTATGTACTGTATGTATGTATGCATGCATGCATGCATGCCATGTATGTATGTGTGTGTATGTGTGTGTGTGGATGTCATACATATAGATGTCATACATATATGTAGATGTATACATATATATATATATATATTATGCAATGACAATGGCTGACTGTTCTGACTGTTGCAATGAACCTTTCCTCAGCACAAAAAAGAACGCCTCTCTTCTGGGCATGCCTCAGCCAGAAGCCCCCGTTTGTCCCAACAACTCCAAACGGCAAGCGGGAAAAATGTAAGAAAGAGGTATTGAAACGCGTCTCATGTTCACTCTCTGACAGCAATCAACTCTTGAATGAACTGGTTGGAAAATTGTGCACTCTGAATTTGAGCATCCTTTCTGGGGTTGTTTTGCTTGAGGGCAGCGCAGGAGAAGCGTTGATTTGTTCTTTGCCCCCGCTTGCCGCTGACGAACTGACCTCTGGATGCGGCAGCACGGTGCGTCTTGAGGACTTGTTTCAACTCGTCATTACTCGTCCCAGGAAGCGTGAAGAAACAACCATTATATTTGCAAATAGTGAATATAATTGAAATAGATAAATATTTAAATGAAACAATTGAAATAGATTGAAATAGATTGAAATAGATTGAAATAGATTGAAATAGATTGAAATAGATTGAAATAGATTGAAATAGATTGAAATAGATTGAAATAGATTGAAATATATCATGTAAAACACCATGGCGGTGTTGCAGTCATGCTCTTGCATTTCAAAACTGCGAACGCTTCGCAGAGTCGTTGCCGTTGGTCCCCACATGTCCCCACATGTCCCCACCTCCATCGAAGTGCACTGCCCAGGCAACCCCTGAGTCGCAGCATGTCGCAGCAACTCACTCCCAATGACTGTCCGGCACCAGTAAGGCCCAAGCAACTTGACCCATCGACCCATGCGTCAGGGCCGCAAAAAAAGAAAGCACAAAGCGTCAGTTAGAGAGTGTCAGTTGAAATGTGGCAAAGTTGTCCAACTGCAGTGGAGAGCGGCTCACAAGTCCTCAACATCTTTTCTATATCAGTGGGCTGTAAATTTGGTGAGCGGCTGGATGGTCTTGTTTCCAGTCGTATCTGTGTGTGATCTCCAGGTGATCTCTTTGCAATTTGATGTGGAGAGGTTTCATTTGATACCATGGCAGCCAGAGGAAGTGAAGCGAGCGGGATCCTTTGCGGCCTTTGCTACTGCATGCTGCAGGACCCCAAAACATTTACTGAATCTTACCTGTTCATCAGAAATCGCCTTGTATTGATTGAAGTCTTGGCTCTGGATGTTGAAATGGTTCCTACTCAGTCTGGCTCGTTACGACTTTCTGCAAACGCCTTGGGCCAAGCTCCTTGCACCTTCTGTCAGCCGCATTCTAAATCTAATTGTCCAGCAACTTTGGGCTGGCAAAACTACCACCATGGACCATGCCTTCCTCCCCTTGGTGCTGGTGAAACTGTGGTTTCTAATCGCCAGTTGCAACTTTGGCAAATGGGTTTTCTGAACTTTCTGATGGATAAGGAAAAAGCCTGAGCCCCAACTGCCTTCATTGAGACATGAAGGGAGCCTCGGCATCCGACTGCGGCAATTCTTCCCGACTGTTGCGCGACAGGAAGCTGGTTCTGACTTGACTGGACTCGTAGCGGCCAAAGCGACCATAGCTGAGGCGGGCAACCAGGCCCAGCAGAGCCAACATGCTCATGGAGCCGGCCACAAATGCCACCGCGACTTCCTGGCCATGCTGACCTTCCAACAGTTCCGACTTCCGTGCCAGGCGGTTATACTTTTCCAGCAGGTTAGAGTGATGCACCTGGGCCAAAGGAGCTCCATGTGGGGCCTTGTCACGGTGGCCGTAACCGTTGGTGAGGGCATTGTAGTCACTAGGACTCAGCCCATACTGGCTGATTTGGTTGTATTCTGCAGGAGAAGGTAGGCGAACCATGTGACGAACGCGCTTCCGCTGGCTTCCAACTCCACAGGACATGGAACATTTTCCCCATTGTTCCCAGGAGGCCCAAGAGCAAGTGAACTGAGTATCACACGCATGGGGGCATGCCTTGACTTCTGCCATATCAGCTTGAGGACATGGTCTGCCACCATTCTTAGCGTAGATCAAGATCTGTCTTCGACGGCTGCGTTCACCGCCGCAGGCATTGCAAGCACCCCAGGAATGCCAATCTCCTGAGTTTTGCAAGGTTGATGCGCTGATGCTAAACATTGGCTGACAAAGCATTCCAAGTCTTGACATGTTGAATCTGAAACCACATGGCATGTGGAACACGTAATCATTTCCGTCATTTGTCAACGTGTTCTGCATTCTTGCAACCGTTTAAGCTAGGGGCCCAGAACGCAATCGACCGGAAGATGCACAGCATGGCAAGCTTCTCGGGCGCATTCCACGACCTCTTCCAAAGGCTCTTGGCAACCAAAACCTCCATTGAAGGCTTCTTGTGCCAAGGCTCTGCTCCTTTTGCTCTCCCCACCGCCACAGGAAGAAGAACAAGCTGTCCATTCGCTCCAAGTGGTGAGTTCACAATCCACTGGCGGACCTTTCACACACTGATCCTCCATACCTTCGTCGAAGGCAGGATTGCAGGGGGCCACTTCTTTCAAGCCGCCAGTGCAAAAGGACCCGGAGCCCGAGCCAAAACGAGAGACGGCCCGTTGACGTGACGACGCCCCATCCTTAGAATAAAATGAGGGCAAAATTGAAATGCCCATGTTTGATGGAGCCAGAACAATATAGAGATCTTCCGTACCCAAAAAGGTTCCAAACAACTCCAAGCATCGCAGGTGCTGGAGCATGGCTGCCATGAGCTCCAAGGGCCAAAACTACAGTCCTTGGACCCTTCGCACGGGATGTGCAGATTGCAGAAACGCGTCTCCTTGCTGTCTCCCGTCGCAGGGCTGCCACAGTCATTGGCCATGCGGATCACGTCGCGGTGCCGGAACATCTCCTTGTTTGACACCAGCTGGGCGCCCCTTGGCCCTCTGATCAGGGGAGAATAATGGCCATCTACTTCATGTGCACCGTAGGTTCATGGTTGCAACCGATTGGGAAAGGATGATTAGCAGATCTTTCCAATGGGATGTTAGTGAGGACGGAATTGTAAATTCTAAATACGACACAAGACTCCAAGATGAAAAATTCATCACAAATCTGCACATCATCTTCGAACACTCGGCACCATCCAACACACAATTGAGAACACCATTGAGAACAAGCAAAGTGTGGGTACAACACCCACAATCCCCCCCAAAAAAAACAGTCCGTTCCGCAATCCCTTCCGCCTCATATCAAAATACAGCGCTTAGAACCCTTGGTGCAAGATCTATTTATTCATTTTGGGCCCCTCTCTCTTTGGTATTTCGTATTAGGCACGTGGGATACGGTGCCGTCATATCCCCATGTCATGGAGCCCCCTATGGCCCCATGCATCAAAGATGCGCCACCGTCGCAGGAAGTGGAACATTGAGACCAATCTTCCCAAGGTCCCCAGAGTCCATCGATGCACAGCGCACCACAACTATCCACACCACAAGGCTTTACCTGCGGGCGTCCCCCCGCGGTGACTTCAGAATGGAATGGGGAAAACATTTGGAGAGGTCGGATTGATAGTTTGATGTTGGAGGTGGGAAGGTGGAATGTTCCGAACATCCGGTATGCAGAGCGTCAAAACAGCAAGATCAACAAAGGATAACAAAGGTGATATTGTCCTAAGCTTGTCAAATACGCAAACTGAAAACTGACCACGAGAAGTCAGAGCTGCTTCAGACAAGGAGTTGTCATCACAAACTTTCCCTCCAGCTGTGGGTATGGATATCAAGACCCTGTTCCTCCTGGCGGTTCCTCCACCACAGGTTTTTGAACATTCGGTCCATTCCTGCCAGTCACCCCACTCACACGCTTCTTCGCACTGCTGTTCGATGCAGGCCCTGTCTTCCGCCAGAGAGAAATAACAGCCCTCGCCCCCCGGATCACGAAGGTTTGCCACCACACGCATGCGGGACTGATGCCCACCACCGCATTTTGCTGAGCAACTTCCCCATTCAAACCAGTCCTGATTTGCTTCAAGGATCCCCACCTCCCCAAAAAAAATGATTAAAAAAGATTCAGATTCCCTGTGTGTGGTGGAACTCACAGCGGGAAAATAACTGGCAAATCCAGGATTCAGAGACCCGACAGTCATCTGCATGGCAAGGGTCCAGGACACACGACTTGATCTGCAACAAATCTTCAGGGCACAGCTTTCCACCAACGCCGGGGAACTTGGAAATTTGTCGCTGACGTTTGGTGTGTCCTGCCCCGCAGCTTTTGGAACAGGAGTCCCACGCAGTCCATTCAGTGACCACACAATCCGTCACCTCGATGCAGCTTTCGATCTCCAGCAGGGAGCCCTCGCAAGCCTTGCCTCCGGCTTGAGCAGCCACCATGTCTCGTCGACGTTCCCGCTTCTCCTCGTAGTCGCAATGGCTCCATGGATGCCATTCGCCGAGTTCACAGTCATGTTTGACGTGAGGGTCGCAGTCATCGTGCCACACACGACACGCCTGGATTTCGTGGAGATTGCCATGGCATTGTCGGCCTCCATCCTCTGACATTTGATGGATGCTGCGGCTACGCCACTGGGTTCCCTCGCCACATCGGGCTGAGCAAATGGACCAGCTCTCCCACACTGAGAAAGTGCAGGGCTCTGGCATTTCACTCTCACAAGCTCTGGTCTGCAACAAGTCGCCACTGCAAGCAAACCCTCCACGCTCTGGCTTGCTGACAATGTGTCGACTTCTATAACGTTGTCCTCGAATGGCGGCAGAGGTCAAGTTAGTACAATTGCTCCATGTGGACCATTCCGACAATTTGCAATCAACTGCATGACCGCAGGTCGTATGACAATGCTTGGTTTGAAGCAGAGGCCCCCGGCATGGAACTCCACACTCATTGTTCATCTGAGCAATGACGCGTTGCCTCTCACAGAGCCCAACGCAAGTTGGCTCTGTCCAATCACTCCAAGCATTGAATGTGCAGTGGACCGGGGTGCAGGAACCGTCACAGCTGGGCATAGATGGACAGTGTGTAAGATTGATTTGCGAACCGAAGCACGCTGTGTGCTGACCCCCCACGAAGAAACGATCTACTGAAAGGGTCCCCTGAGGCAAGCGTTGCAGAGTTCGCGTTCGCAAAGTTGAGGAGTCGCCACACTGATTGGGGCACTGCACATGGGACCATTCGGACCAGGCACATGCATGCGTGTCATGGCAAATAGAAGTGCAATTGGACACCTCCTTCAAAGTGTAGCTCTCGCACAAGTGACCCTTGTAGTTTGGAAGGCTGGTGATTTCACGGTGCCGCCAGCGCTGACCCCCGCAATGGCTGCAACTGCCCCACATAGACCATGGGCCCACATGGCAATCTTTGGTGCCTTCTTCCACACAAGGCTTCAAATTGCACTGCTGTGTGACCATGAGATTGCCATCACACGCTTTACCTCCAGCTTGCGCCTGCTGCAGAATATCTCGTTTCCGCTCCTGCTGTCCAACTCCACACGTAGATGAACAATCACTCCATTCAGTCCAATCTCCAATGATGCAGTCTGATGGCCTCTGGTTGCAACCATAAGGAGGCTTTTCGCCCTCAATCGGATTGCAATGCTCAATGGCCTTCAGGGGCATGTTGTCACAGGGTTGCCCTTGACCTCTCGCATAGGCGGTGATGTGGCGGTTGCGCTCTCGGATGCCATTGCAGCTGCAACTGCAGTGAGACCAAGGGTCCCAGGTGGAAACCATACAATCCGAATCTTCGGCACAAGATGGCATGCTATCGCAGAGTTCAAACTCCTGGCGATGGTGGGTAATATTCTACATGTGCATCTATATATATATATGTACAATCTACACAAGATCATAAAAAACAAAATTGTTGTTATTATATATATATATTGCATTTTATATGATATCTAATTATATATTTATATGCTTATACTAAATACCATTAAATACCACATATACATTGAAAATTCTCAAACACTCCTTTAATGAGAGCATTCTACACCAGCGGGATCATCTCTGTCCTTGTGCTCTCCCGAGGGCAAAGATCCACAGGCATTGGGCAAGACATCCAAAGTCCTTCGGCGCGATCGATAGCCATTGGAGCAGGTGGCAGAGCATTTGCTCCAGTCGAGCCAAGCACTCCAGTAGCCATCTTCGCAATTCTCACTGCACTTCTGAGTGTTGCACTCTGCAATCACCTCCTTGTCCTGTGGATTGCATGGCTGTCCACCATTCTGTGGCGACATCGCAATGGCTCGACTTCGCCGTTTGGAGCCTCCTCCACAGGAGCAGGAGCATCCACTCCATTGACTCCACTCGCCCCATAAACAATCGATGGCCTCAGGTTCTGCCAAGCTGCAAGGAAAGATCTCCTTCATGACCCCAACACATCCATTTCCCTGTGGCCCAGCAGGTGACTCCACCTCGCGTTTCCGATAGGAGACACCGTAGCCAACTGTACTGGAGCAGGTCGACCAAGATGTCCACTGGCTCAACTTGCAGTCGTGAGAATGAGGGAAGCAAGGAAACTCTGCCTGATGCATTTTTATGCATTTTTGTTCAATCTCTAGAGAAGGTAGAACCGGTGGATTTGGATGTAAGTGCGTGCGTGCATATAGGCATGTTGCAATTTGAATGGGAAACCCTCCACATTTCACACGTTTCAATTGATGCATTCGCTTTTTTGCTACCCCACAATTGGCCCGCCATAATAAAGAAAATCAACGAAAGCTGTGAGCAGGAGTTTCACACAACCCAAAAAACAATGGTGAAGTGATACCCATGGAGTTGATATCCCGATGCCAACTGAAATTTCCCTAGGAAATATAATATGCGTTAATATATATATATATATATTCATGGATAATCTGGTTCCAAGCCACACAGGGCGCGGTCTCCTTTAGCTTCACATCCTGGCACCCAGAACTGTCGTGCAGCAGCTCCCGCTGTCGAAAGGTTTGCCCTCCATGACAGGTGCGGTCACAGGTGGTCCAGCCAGACCAGTCCGACACTTCGCAGTGCTCACCTTGCGCCTTGGTTGAACAGCCCGCGGTCTCCACCAAACTCACGTTGCAAATGCTGCCATAACCTTGGGGACTTTGAAGCACATGCCGATGTCTCATGCGCTGCACCCCTTGGCTACAGAGGCTCCACTGGGACCACGCGGAGATCTGGCAGTCGCGGATGGGACACGCCGCCACGCGACAGGTATCTGTCTCCAGGAGCGAGTCATCACAGGTGTCACCATTCAAATGGCCCTCACTGACCACCTTCCGGAGCCGGGTATGCCGACCGGGGCCACAGGATGCACTACAAGTGGTCCAATGCTGCCATTCACTGAGGGTACATGGATGTGGGTGTGGTCCCCCACAGGCTTTCGTTTCAGAAAGGGCACCCATGCAAGCTTCTCCAGCTCCTTGCGAGGGCGTTTCCACTTTCCGAGTGCGAATGGACTGGTCCAACTCGTTTTTACAGGTACTCCATTCACTCCAGAAAGACAAGACACAGTCCTGGGGTGGAATCTCGCACTCCTTGGACAAAGACTCTTTGGTCTCTGTGTTGTCTCCAAAGCATGGCAAGCCACAGGAGTTGCTGGCAACATTGATTGCCCTGTGACGGGTCTTCAGGCCAAGACAATCATGACCCCCAAGGCCATGGAGCCCCCATTCACCCCATTGGGTGAACATACAATCCACTGGCACGCACTGCTCACACTCTGGGAGGTCATCACAAGCGGAAAGCTGCTCCTCATGTCCTTGGCATTCATGGGACTGATGGTCATGGTAGATCTCATCAAAACTGCCAGGACTGCCAGAAGGGCTCAAGGATTCAGCTGAAAAGCCATAGCTGAGAACCACCTGCCCTGCTGTGGCATCTGCATAGTAAACAGCTTCCCTCGCATGTCTATGGTGAATGGTCCCTGGCACTCCAATCTCAGAAGGACCCCTCAGATAAGTCGCATCTGGCACTGTCACCGTATGGCTATCATGCATTGCATGCGGCATTCCAACTGTGGGATCCAAATCCCCCATCACCACTGTGTGCCTGTGGTGAATGCTATGTGGCACCCCGACATCCGCAACATACCTGCCATAGCTATGACTGCTGTGCACTACCCCTGGCGTTTCGGAAGCAGCCGTCAGCCCCACATCATCGCCATAGCTGCCATAGCTGCCATAATCGGCCGGTGGAACTTCCAGGGTCTGGCCTAAAGCCCTGATGCAACAAAGAGCCAAAGTGAAGCGCCAGCTGTTCATCACCTCGCCAGGGAGTTCAACGGACAGCCCCAAGACCCGGCCCAAAAGCAGCTGCCAAACACTTGGCCAACCAAATCATTGCCATCAAGTTCCCATATGTGGATATATATATATATATATAAACCACCTGAAACCGTGCCTCATGGTATCCGATCTGCACCTCCCAGCTGAAATAGGTTTGAGCCAGAGCAACAGGCGCATCGCATGCCGGCAGTCAAGCCGTCAACAAGGGACCGTGTGAGAACGCATACTGTTTCCAGCCAATTAGCTTATTCCGGAAGTTCAAGCATTCGGCATACAAGGTAACAAAACCCCAAATATGGTGGATTGGTGCCTAAAAAGCTCTAGTCATGCCTATGCTCAAACACTTCCACTCTCCACCTCGTTTTGACCCTGGAAACTGAAGATTCCTGCAGCTTTAAAGCCTTTGGCTCAAACAATTGTGCCCTATTGAGTCTATTCTGTGAAGCTAAACGTGGCCTCTCATCTAGACGAACTCGAATTTGTCATGTTTGCGGCCAGTGGGCTAACCTCAGTCTCATTTTTGGTGGGTGCTTCCGTGATGGGAACCTGCAAAACCCACGGAGTCCATGAACTCGTCAGTAAAGTCGTTGTGGTCGTCGTGGGCAAAGTCCTGGTTGTTGTGCTGGTGCTAGTTGCTGTGCTTGATGTGCTGGAGGTTTCAGTGCTTGTTGTTGTCGTTACTGTCACGGTGCTTGTGGTCACCGTCGTTCTTGTTGTGGTCACAGTGGTGGTCGTTGTGGTGGTGCTTGTTGTGGTAGCTGTGGTAGCAACCATTGTAGGAGGTGGGTGGAGGAGGCTATCGTCAAACATAGCGCAAGGCGGTCCGACATCGTCAGAACAACTTCGTCCAGATCCAACAATGGCTCTATGACAACAACTCTCGCCTCAGCTGCTTGCGCAATGCATCACCAGAGTGCCAAGTCTTCTGTTGGCCTGTATCTAAGCGCCTAGTGATGAATGAGACAAGACCCTCTCTAGCAATCCGACCTGACAATGGCATAATGGCCACGACGTATTTGCAGATCATTTTGCTATCAGAGACTGTGCTTTCCCATTGCCATGACCCAAAATCATCCAAAATCCTAAAGGAATGTTCCCTCACAGGCCAAGGGACTACCACCAGGACGATTGCTGCAAGCAGGCCCTCCACACACTTCGCAGCTATCTGGACAACAAGCCGGAATCGATGGTATGCCATCACACCTGAAGTGACCCAAATCCAGTAAATGGCAATTATATAACTGGTCAGCATATGCCGGCATGATACAAACTCCGCCAATATCCCCCATAGTCTTATTTTTCCCGGCAATAGATGCAACAGTTCCCAACTTCCCAAAGTGTGGAACCCGTCACTACGTCATTTGGGGTTCAGGTCTCAGGAGACCACATCACCGCCAAGTTTCTCGGATTTTGGATCTTTGCCTTCTGGAACCACGCAAGGTGCCCCAACATCTGCGGAACCTGCCGAGAAATCGTGCTGAAATCGTGCTGATCCTCCTGACTCATCTGAGAGGGTGCCAATGTGTTGGCACCATTGGTAAGTCAATTGCCAGACAGCACATGAAGGATCAGGTACGAAACTGAGCTTGCAACACTCGCGATTTGACTGGAGAATGTTTGCAAAGCAACAGTTCTCACCTTAGCCAGGAAGGAGTCTGCGCCAGATCTTACAGAAGCCAGCGATCAACTTGACTTCTTGCTTCTACCATACTACTGTACCTATTTGTCTTTCGGGATAAACGTCCTCGGCTCCCTTGGTTTCCCCTGTGCCAACCCTGGCTCTCAACCGCCCAATATCCCTGGCTGTGCCCCATCGGTGCCCAGCGACTACCTCCAGCTAATAGGGAGCAGATGGGACCGCCGCAAGTCTGGCATCTGCTGGGGCAGCAAACACTTCTTGACTGCAGCCCAGCGAGGCACCTGCCAAGTACCCTTCATCCCATGGCAATGACTCACATATATATCAAATGGTTTTGGTCCGATACTTTGGTACGAATAACTCCATATATATATATATACAATATACATATATATATATATATACATTATGTGTGTATGTGGATAAAGATATAGATATAGATATAGATAGAGATAGAGATAGAGAGATAGAGAGAGAGAGATAGAGATAGAGATAGATAGAGATAGAGATAGAGATAGAGATAGAGATAGAGATAGAGATAGAGTTAGAGATAGAGATAGAGATAGAGATAGAGAGAGATAGATAGATAGAGATAGATAGAGATAGATAGAGATAGATAGAGATAGATAGAGATAGATAGAGATAGATAGAGATAGATAGAGATAGATAGAGATAGATAGAGATAGATAGAGATAGATAGAGATAGGTAGAGATAGATAGAGATAGGTAGAGATAGATAGAGATAGATAGAGATAGATAGAGATAGATAGAGATAGATAGAGATAGATAGAGATAGATAGAGATAGATAGAGATAGATAGAGATAGATAGAGATAGATAGAGATAGATAGAGATAGATAGAGATAGATAGAGAAAGATAGAGATAGATAGAGATAGATAGAGATAGATAGAGATAGATAGAGATAGATAGAGATAGATAGAGATAGATAGAGATAGAGATAGATAGAGAGAGATAGAGAGAGATAGAGAGAGATAGAGAGAGATAGAGAGAGATAGAGAGAGATAGATAGAGATAGATAAAGATAGATAGGGATAGATAGAGATAGATAGAGATAGAGATAGAGAGAGATAGAGAGAGAGATAGAGAGAGATAGATAGAGATAGATAGATAGATAGATAAATAGATAGCCATGTATCATTGCCATTTGATTAGGCATTGTAGGCACAATGATGATACTGATAAACCATCAGATTTTGCGGTGCTCCATGTTCAATCAAATCCATGTCGTTGATTTTTGTTGCATCGAAAAATGCTGGGTCTTCACATCCAGCTTTGGTGCCAGCCAGCGCCGAACCTCTTGGAAGACTGTATCAGCAATTTCTGGGACTGGTCGTTGGTCACCTGCGGGATGTGTTGTTTTTTCTCCCGCGGCAGCGTGATGAAGCGTCTGAAATCAAATCTGTCTGTTTCTGACGCTCCCCCATTTTACGACACAAACAACTGAGTAGAACTTAGAAACAACTGAATTTTGTGGCTTAGGGGCTGTTTTTGCGGGCACCTGAGACCGCAAGAACGGGCGTCGAAGATCTCCAGTGGGCCCCACCTCACAGCTGGTAACCCCTGATAGCCCTGTTCATTGGAAACAACTAGGTGGCCTCAAGAAGATGTGACCGGCTGCGGGGCTGCTCAGCTGCACCTGGCGGAATGTAGGGTGTATGTCTCCACGTGTGGCATCTATGATGGATACATTCGATTTAGATTCAGCTTAAATAGATAGAAAGTGTAGGCTCGGCTAGTCAGGCTAGGCTAGATAGGATAGAAGAGGATAGGATAGATAGATGGAAAGGTGGATCGGTGGACAGAAAAAAGTAGATAAAGATTTGGATATACATGTAAATCTGGAAAATGACAAAGTTATATACTCTAGACTCGAGACTAGATTGTGTTTGACTTATGTTTTATTTAATTTAATTTGATTTGATTTGGAGGATGAAATAAGCTAACTTACTAGCTTGATTATCGATTACATGGATCGATCAAACTAGACTTGATTTAAATTTAGGCTTAGAATGGCTTAGACTGGTTTGGTTTGACTTGCATTTAAGCTAGATTAATATAAATACGCCGCCGTTACAGATGAATAAATAGATAATATACATACAAGTTAACGGAACTGGCCATTGGATCCTTTAGGCCTGTTGGTTTCAATGGAAAATTGCTGAACATCTGAGATTCCGACAATTCAACAGCAGTGAGAACAACACAGCCCGCTGCATAGACCTCGGAAATTTCAGCGCGCAGCAGTTGCAAGGCATTGCATCAAACATTTGAGGCTCAGACCTGCGGATGCTGTAAATAGCAGACTCATTAGCTAGGCCCAGCTAGGCCACGCGATTAGCTAGGCCAAAAATGACTGCAGGAGATGGAGCAGTGCAACCCGTTCGCGTCTGTTGCCCTTAAGCTTTCACATGTTTTGTTTTTTGTTCGCGGTGGCTCAATGTGCAATATAATATACATCATGTACTATGCAATCAATCAGAAGAACAATCCGAAAGTGTAAACGTCTCAGCTGCTGGCGTTGCTGATTTCACCTTTTCTCCAGCTGCCAGGTGAGGGTCTTTAGATTTTATCAGAGTTACTTTCTCCTTCTCCTCCTTCTCCTCCTTCTCCTCCTTCTCCTCCTTCTCCTCCTTCTCCTCCTTCTCCTCCTTCTCCTCCTTCTCCTTCTCCTCAATTTCCTCCGCCTCCTTCTCCTCCTTTTCCTCCTTCTCCGCCTTCTCCTCCTTCTCCTCCTTCTCCTCCTTCTCCTCCTTCGCCTCCTTCTCCTCCTTCTCCTCCTTCTCCTCCTTCTCCTCCTTCTCCTCCTCCTTCTTCTCCTTCTCCTTCTCCTTCTCGTCCTCCTCTTCCTTCCTCAAGTGCGAGCTCCAGATCTCATTGGGGACTGCCAGACCTCAACTGCCGGGCACTGCCCACTGAGATCTGGCGCTCCCAGTTGAGGTCCCGCAGTGCCCATGTCAGAGAGAATGTCACGTCAAATGTCAGAAGCCAGATAGAATGCCTGAATAGAATGTCAAACACACAATGCCAGACAGAATGCCAGAATAGATCCCACCAAGCATGTCGGAATAGATGCCAGCTAGCATATCAGCAAGAATGCCAGACAGAATGCCAAAGAAAATGTCAGAATAGATGCCAGATAGGATGTTGGAATAGATGTCAGATATAGTGTCAAAATAGAATGTCAGAACATATATACATACATACATACATACATGCATACATACATACATACATACATACTGAACGGAGAATATGCAACTCGCTATTTTAGCAGCGGTGTTCTTGAGCCAAAGGTTGGCGTAGCAACTAGTGAGAACCCTATATCCCGTCACCCCTCCTGTACAGAGGCTGGGATTTTCCTAAGCTGATGTACACTCATTCCAAAGCCTTTGCAGCTTCGGCTCTACCATGAGAGTACTCGAACCCCATGCTTTGCATGTGTCTTTCCATCTCATTCGCAGGTAAACCTTTGGTGCACAAATCAGCTACGTTCTGCTTTGTCGGGATCTTCACCAGTTCGAATTCATGTAGTGCAAGCTTTTCTTGCACCCACAGAAAGCGAGTTTGAACATGCCGTGAGCGGCCTAAGCCCTGACGGTTACATGTTCCCAGCGCAGCGGATGAATCTGTGTGCACTTTAAGTTTTGGTTGTAGGCCCCATCCTCGCAAGATCTCCTGTAGCGACATTCCGATGGAAACTCCTCGAACGATCGAGTAGTATTCCGCTTCACCGGAACTCAAGCTGATCGTGCTCTGAAGAGTGCTCGAGGCCTGCACCGTGTGGCGGCCAAAGGTTGCCACAAGTCCACTTGTTGAGCGCCTTGTAAGAAGACACCCAGCGAAGTCGGAGTCCACGTACATGTGGATCGTGTCAGCAAACTTCTGGCGACCAAACTTCAAAAGTACACGTGGTTTCCCTTTCAGAAATCTCACCAAGCGTTTCAGATCCTGAAAGTCAGATTCTTTGGGCTCATGCATTCTTCTTGATAGGCATTTCACTGCCTCCGCGATGTCAGGTCTGTCCTGTGCCACATACGACGCTCTCATCACCAGAGACCGGAAGAAACTTACACGGTCCGGTGTGATGGTCGGGGTGGTCAACTTCAAGTTGGCCTCCGTGGCTGACATTTTCTCAGATGGTGTCTTGACTGGCTTACAGTTTTCCATTTCTAGATCTCGTACCATCTGGTCAACGTGGCGGGGATCCGCCTCATAGGATACAGAGCCTTCCTGCTCGTTGTAGGTCACGATTCGATTGAGCACTGCGAACTGCTGATGCCGTTCTCCAGGACCGATCGATCCATCGACCCGCAGATCATATTTGGACCTCAAGGTGTCCTCAAGGTATTTCTGTCCAGCATCATCAGCAAGCACCACGAAGTCATCTCCGTGTACAAGAACTCGAATACCACCGTAACCTTCATGGTAAAAGCAGGATGGCCAAGCTTGATTCTTGGCAAAACCAGCTCGGATGAGAAGTTCTGTATATGATCTTTGCCAGATCGCTGATGCATCGCGTGTTCCATACATGCTCTTAACGAGCTTGCCACAAAACCCTTCTTGTCGATCTCCTTCAGGTAACTGCACGAAGATATCACGCTCTGCCTCTCCATAGAAGTGAGCGCGTGATATGTCAAGAAGACGAACTTTCAGTGCATTGCCAGACTTGGATCGTCTCAAAGTCACCATAAGCGATAGAAGCAATTTCAGCGATTCCAAAGGCGGCATCGAACTGAAGGACGCATAGTCCGGAATGAAGTCAGCATTGCTGGCCCGTTTGATCTCTCTACAGACCAGACGTGACCTGTAGTTGGGGTGTGTTGCATCCCCTTTGTTTCTGTCAATCCATTTCATGGTGATGACCGGTTTTCCAGACTGTTGGGCTTCTGTGAGTGGAACTTTGATATAGATACCCTGTTTGTGTACCCATGCTAGTTCTTCTTGTCGAGCAGCTCTGACCTTGTCAACATCCAAGACAGCACCGGAGTGTGCGTCAAGCACTGGCTCCACGATGGTGTCATCGCTGTCGGGCAGCTGCTTCCAAAACTCCTCCTCTTCATTGATCACAGGTCCAGCATCGGGTACTGGGCCATGTGAAAGTGAGTGTAGTTCTCCATCACATTCCAGTTGGCGCCTAATGGCCTTGAGAATTGCGTGGACAAGCTTTGGTGGGTATTTCTGGGCAGCTCGGGCTCGTCCATCAACAAGATGTACATGGCGGTGCCAAACTTTGCCTTCTTTGTTTGAACAGCACCCTTGTAGGGTCTGTGCCAGGATTGGAGAGTTCGTGAGCCAGGTAGTTTCTTTCTTCACTAACCCTTCACCTTGGCCATCGGCGGCCTTCATTCCCCAACGGCACATTGGTCCAGTGACCTCATACACCCGTTCATCTGCCCTCAGTCTCTTCACAGCTCTCTCTTCCCACGAAGCGGCCCCTTTAGGGTGCTCATGGTAGAAGTACCTTCCAGCATTCATTTGATGCTCATACGCTGAAACTGCCGTGCGCAGATGTTTGCGACCATCTTTTAGTCTCTGCGCTCGAACTTCAGGTGAAACATTGCCCTTCGCATCCACAATGTTTTGCAGCTTCGAGAATGGCCCACAGGGAGGTGAGCCGCCGAGGAACTCTGGTTTCTCATAGTCAAGCAGTTGAAACAGATCACGAATGTGTTCATCTTTACTCAAGTCCCAGTGAGTTCCATCACCACGCTTTGTCTCCAAGTCAATCGAGAAGCCAGGTGCTAGCCCGACCACTTGGGCTTGTGCAGCCACACGCGGTGGAGAGAAGATCTCAGCAACCTTCCCTTTTGCGATCACATCTTTGAGCAAGGAACACAGATGTAGCATCTCCTGGTTTGTCTCAGGACTTGTTGGTGCAGCGGCAGCACCTTCCGGAACACCAGATGAAGCATCCGGTGCCGGTGGTCCGGCTGACCCTGAAGCCTGAGCTGAAGATTCATTGTAAAGATCTTCAACGTCGACTTGTGAACTCCTTTTCTCTCCTCGGGATTGTTCTTGTTTCTGCCTCTTTGGGCTTCCTTCTCTTTCTTGTTCTCTCTGTCTGAGTTCTCCACGAAAATCGGTGTCGACCAGTGGTTCACCAACAGCCTCACTTGCATCCATTTCCGCATCCAAAGGAACACGGTCTTGCAAGACTGGTTGTTCAACTTCCCCTCCTGGGACAACTGGTGGTGCAGCTTCACCACCTTCTGCCCCACCACCCTCAGGCGGTGCAGCCGCGCCTCTTGGGCGCCTGCCTTGTGCAACTCTCTCTCTCTCGCTCTTTTGATCCTTTCTTGACCTTCTGGAGTCTTGTCAAGTTCGATCTGGATTCTTTGTCTGCACTCAGCATTGTGAGCTCGGCTTGGCATCTCAAGTATTGCTGCTTCACATCCAGGACACAAAGGTGTGTGCCCATGCTTTTCCAAGTCATTCTTGGTGACATAGAGGTTCCTTGGGATCACTTCTTGCACTGCAGGCCTTTCACGAGGCGCTGCAACATCGGGAAGGGCGATCCTCAGTCCACCATGTTCTCGTTCTTGCAACCTCCAAGGAAGGCCACGTAGCGAGTCAAACTGATCATGTTTGAACTGATCGTCAGGTGGGCGTCGATGGATCGAGTTCCCCTTCATGATTCCACGTTCCGTCATGACAAAGACGTCTGAATTTCTGTTTCCAGTTCCAACGTACATCCCAATGGATACCCTTGGAGCAAGGTCATTTCTCTTGCCCCCACGATTGGCCCTCGGCCTATACAGGATGCTTTCACCGAACCTCACAAGCGGAATCCGCCATTTTCGTCCATAGGTCCGCTCAAAAGCGGTCTTTCCATCAGTACCTACTCGGTATCTCGTCAAGAGAAAGGCAGCATGCCGCGGGAGCCAAACCAAAAGTGGATGGCCCGGATCTACCTTCCTTTCCAGCTTGAACTCCAGGTCGCTGAGGAGAGCACGACATTGTCGTTTTATCTCTCGCACTCCCACTTCGATAAACCCATTGGCTTGATGGTCTTCTACTGGGGTTTCCACCAAGTGCACTTCGATGTGGGTCTTTATCTCCTTAACCTTCTGTTTAAGGGATACCAAGGAGGGTTCACCGTCAGACTTAAGGATTACCTTATTAAAACCAGCATCATCCAAAACTCCCCCAAGCCACGCGATTGCGAACGCATCCGCCCCTTTTCCCGGGAGAACGCTCGCCCAAAATCTCTTGGTCTTGTGGCACTTCACCACAATGCTCGGAAGGGTCGCCTCATCCGCAACCTGGTCCTGGTTCATATAGAAGTAGTCCAGGCTCAGCGTGGGCAACTGCGTTTCTGGCTCATCAAGTTCCTTAGGCACATGGCGATCAGCAGTCACACGTGCCCTTTTGCAGTGCAAGCACCAGCTCCGATGGACAACATGTCCAGTGCTTTCATGTTCGTCAACTTCAGCTTGGGATGGTTGATGTGGTTCTTTCTTCACAATGGCTTTCCTCTGTTCTTCACCGATTTCCAAATCAACTTCATCTTCAAAGGCATCTGCTCCGGCTGAAGCAGCTGGAACATCGCCTGAGGACCCTGCTCCGGCCGAAGCGGCTGAAACATCGCCTCCATCTTCCATGGCATCGGCTCCGGCTGAAACAGCTGGATCCTCGCCAACAGCGTTGATTTGTGGTCTTACTCCTCTTGAGGATGCCCCTGAAAAGGTGACACCCAATAGTCCAACACATAGATGCCTCGGCGATTGTGCACAATGGGCATTGAATCGCCATAATCTCGGATCAGATCTTTCATGGCCTTCGAATAGGCCCGTCCCGCAGGAGTGTTTCTTGGGATCAATCTCCCCGAAGATGGTCCAAGGGCGATGTGGTAGTTCTTGGCGATCTCGGAACCTGAAAGAAGTGGCCGATGCACATCTGCAACTCGGCAATCGATTGGGATCTTGTTGCCAGATTCGTCGTATCCCACCAGCTTCACACTTCCCTGATCTTCGATGGGTTCCGCATTGGCTGCCTTGTAGCTTGCTCCATTGGACTCGCTCCTCGGGTAGTCCTTGGCGAAGTCAAGTGGTACTGCAGTGATGGCAGCACCGGTGTCGATGTTCAACTCTGCTCGTTCCCATTTTCGCCAGTCGTCAGAGGCCCCCAAGCTGTAGACTGCAGCAGGAGCCGATCCAGCTCCACCATCGGGGTCTCCTCTGCCTGGTCGGTCTCGAGGCTCATCAGGCTCTTCGATGTAGACCTCTTCCATTTCATCATCATCTTCATCTGCGTTCACTTCAGTGTTTTCCTTCAGAACCAAGGCTGGTCGGTTCTTCCTCGCCATCTTGCGCGCCACATTGCGGTTGCGATTCTTCTTCACCCTGTACCCAACGCTTCGAACACGCTTGGTCATGGGTTTCTTCTTGGGGTCCTTCTGCAGCAACTTGGCCTCGTCGTCCGGGAACTGCCTCAAGGTTTCCCGCTCTTCCGCTGAAAACTCTATCACTGTGCTCTGACCAGCTTTGCCCACAACCACCGTCTCGATGCCCGCATCCAAGTTGTCTTCATCCTCGATTCTCACTATGCCTTCTGGATTTTCTGGGTTGTCAAAGCGTTCATGCCATTCTTTGTCAAGTCGAATCCTTTCAGCCGCACGTGCCTTGACTCCTCCTCGTCGGTGGACGATTGCACGTCTTCTCAAACGTTCATTTCTCCAGGCCACATTGTGTGCAACACCTTTGGCAATCTCGGCATGGTATCTCGAGTCGTGGAAAGAAGGATCGCTGATGTTCTGCTTTGTGATGTGCGGTGCCTTGACAGATCTAGTCCTCAAAGCCGCTAACATCGCATCTGCCTGGCCATCTCCTGAACCAGGATCTTCTTCTTGGACTTTGCGGATTTGTGAACTCAGCGCAGCCTTCAGCATCTGGACAAGTCGAGAACCTGAAGTCGAAGCTGCCGATGATGCCTTGACAGGTGGTGGTGGCTTCACCTGAGAGCTTTGCCATCCCGGTGGTGGACATGGCGGAGTCTTGGGTGAAGCTACTTGGCTTTGCCATCCTGGTGGTGGTCCTGGTGGAGTCTTGGGCGAGGCTATCGGCTGTTGTGGAGGTGATGCAGGCCATGCTATAGGTGTCGGTGGTGTCTTTGGCAAAGGTGTAGAGCTACGAAGAAGTTCTTCTGGAGTCTGTGGCCCATGCCTCAACCTTCTCCTTGGTGGTGGTGTCATCGAAGTCATTCGAAAGCGTCGGAGTGCTGACTCCGGAGTGACTGGCCCTGATCTGCTTGCTTTGCCTCTCTTTGGTGCTGAGCTCTTTGGACTTCTGCCCCTCTTGGGTCTTCCCTGTGGCGTTCGAGGTGCCTTGGAAGACGCGGACTTGGATGTAGTGGTCTCGTGCTCGGTGACCTCCTCCAGTCGAAGCGACCGAAGGGGTCTTGAGCCACTCGATCCACTCGGTCCATCATAGTCGGGGTCGTCCCACTCTTCAGGCCATGACGCACGTGGGTGAGGCAAAGAAAACCACCTTCTGCGACTTGTCGAGGCTTCCGACTCCTCGGACTCGGGATCGACCTGGAAACTTTCGTCGTCATCCTCGTCATGTGGTGGCCCATCAACACCATAGAGCGTTAAACCATTTGCTGCTTGTTGACCATCGTCGCCATCAGCTGCGTCCCAGTCTTCTGCTTCTGGTTCACCTTGTTCGACATTGTTCACAGATTTGCCTCCTTTGGGCTTCTGCTTGTGCTTTCCGGGGCTGCCTTTGCCCTTGCCCTTGTCCTTATTCTGATTGCTGTTGCCTTTGCCACCCGTCCCCTTATGTTTGGGGCCTCCAGGTGCCCAGCAATCTGCCCGCAGATGTCCTGGGCGTCCGCAGTTGTGACATGTTCTCTTCTCAGCTGTTGCATTTCCCTTTCCAGGTTTTCCTCCAGCTCCCTTCTTGCCCTTACCTTTTCCCTTTGCATCTTTTCCAAAGCTTCCGACATCCATAGGATCGTCCCCACGGCCATGTGCGTCGTAGGGCTGGCTGTTCACCACCTTGATCTTGTTGCCGGTGGCATGTTCCACATAGGACTGGATCTCGGACAGCATGGACTCGAACGTCTTGAAGCGATCTCGATTGAGAACGAGATGACGCTCGAGCTCTGCCGGCACCAATCGTTCAATCACGTTGATCTTGATGTCTTCTGCCAACATCGTTCGGTTGCCAGATGCGTCTTTGCGACGTTCATAAAGTCTGATGCTGTCAAGAAGCTTCTCCAGGTTGGACGGCAAATCTTCCATCTTGGATCGAGCCGGTGACAAGATTGCATTGAGGAGAGCGCGTTTGCGACCACCAGTGGATGGGTCGTACCTCCGCGTGAGCTTTCTCCAGCTTTCGATGCCGCATTCCCCGGTGTTCAGCACGATGTCAAAGGGCTCACGCTCTGTCAGCATTAGCAGCGCGTCCCAAAGCTCGCGTCTCAATTCACTGATGTTCGACACCTGGTCAATGGCATCTGCTTGACTCCCAAAAGCCTTGTCGATGTCATCTGCAGTGATTGCATGATCGCAATCTTCGGCCCAAACCAGAATCTCACGAAGGTCTTTGCGAACACTTGCAAGATAGGAGGACGTCTTGATTTTCCATGACAAGAATCTTTCGGCTGTCCCATCAAACTTGTCGGGCTTGCCAAGGCCCTTGTTGTCGACCAACCGGACTTGTTCTTTCGATCTAAGGGCGTCCACAAGCTCCTTTTGTGACTGCACCAACTGTGCCAGTGCACTGCCAGGTCCAGCTGAAGCAGCCGAACCGGCACCAAAAGAAGCGACCTGTGCTGTCAGTTCAGCTTCTCGGCCTCTTAGTCGATTGACCTCGGTCTGTAGTTCCTGGAGCGACTGGAGGACCTGTGCCGCTTGTTGTTGGTCCATTGCTAAGACCCTGGAGCGTATCGCTCCGCTACCATGAACGGAGAATATGCAACTCGCTATTTTAGCAGCGGTGTTCTTGAGCCAAAGGTTGGCGTAGCAACTAGTGAGAACCCTATATCCCGTCACATACATACATACATACATACATACATACATACATACATACATACATACATACATACATACATACATACATACATACATACATACATACATTACATACATACATACATACATACATATATATATATATATAGGCCACAGACACTTCCAAATGAGATGTCATAAACTATGACAAAATAAATCACAGTGGGGATCACTCGAAGTAAAGTAATTTTTCCAACCGCACTCTCCACGGTTCGCATGGCTCCAAAAAGGTAAGACATGCTCGCTAGGCGAACAGCTTCAATGCCATCAGGAGTCCCACTGCACCCATGCCACACCGAGAGCTTGATGCTTTCAGCTCCTTGCGATGAAGTGGACGGGTGGGGAAGAGACAAGACCATGGCAACCCAGAAGGTGAAGAAGAGTAAGAAATGAAAATTGAACAATTCATTTGCATTTGTTTCAAATGAATATTTAACAGTTGTTAAACTAATATTGATTTAGCAGTAATGTCGTACATGCATGCAAGAACTTTGCAATGTTCCAAATGGAGCCCAGGTTCTGTCGTCGTCGTAGTGGTGTTGGTGGTGGAAGTGCTAGTGGTTGAGGTCGTGGTGGAAGGCTGTTCTGTAAACACCACTGTGGCAGTCTGGACCTCAATGTTGGTGACGACAATGGTTCTGGTTGTTGGTTTTCTAGAGCCATCTGAATCCAGTTCCACTTTCTCCGTCGTTGTGGTGGTGGTTGTTGCTGCCGTTGTCGGTGCCCCAGTGGTTGGGGCCGCCGTGGTGGCACCTGCAGTCGTTTCGGCACCGGTGGTAATGGCGGCTGCCGTTGTTTCCGCAGCGACCGTCGTCTCGGCCGTCTCTGGTTCTTCCTTTTCGGCCTCAGAAATAGGCGGTGGATGGGTCCCTTCTATGTCTTCCATATTCGTGGACATTCGTGGGCTCACCATGATTAACCGTCCTTTCCTCAAACAAGGTGAAAGATTAATGATTAAGAGGAGACATCTATAGAGAACCTTCATGGATCAGCATCGAAATCAGCTAGGGGAACGACCCTTTCATGAGCTCGAATGCCAACCAGACTGCTAGGATGTCCCTGCAAGCCCTGCAGGCCATATGGAAGCACTAGTCGCAGCATGCTGACCGCAGCTTGAAATCTTGGTGCAATTCACTTTCAAATTCCAATCAATGATGTGCGAAATGGGTCTGTTCATCAAGGTTTTGGCATCAAAACCGTCCTCCGATCGCATAACCACGTGCGCCTCAGAAAACCCGCTCGGTCCCCTTCTGAGACTGTCACTGACGCACCGAACTCTTGCAGTTTGATGATTTTGCTGATCACCATTGACAAGCCTCTGCCGCATTACCATACTAATACAATTCTTACTCGGTTTCATGATGATGTAACACTCGGGGTTGAATGAATCTGGTTGGTTCAACACAGAATGGCAACCTTTTTGAATAGCGCGCCGTTACATTATGGAACTAACTCCTGCAAACAATTGGTTTCTGTTTAATCTCTCTACAATTTGTTTCGTCTCTGCTGAGATACAGCGGATGTTGCATTCAAAATTTCTTGCGAGCTGCATGGAGGTGCGGTTGTACAGCTCCAACAGCACTCACTTCCACCTGATCGCGAGCATGACCTGGACAGCAGCCACCAAGGCCAAAGTTTTACATTCTCGGTTCCAAGTTGGGACTGAAAATGGTTGGTGACAGAAACGTTTTTTTTTGGTGGTTCAGCTCTAAAGTCCAAGACTGGGCAAAACATTTTGCCAAGGGATTATGTGGATGAAACCAGCATGAACTCGTATTCACTGCGTTTCATTCTAGCCCCCTGGCCTGTTGACAAGAAGCTAAGAATAGTGAAAACACCGCGAAACTTCATCTTGTCGTTCCTGAGCGTAAACATGTAGCACATTTTTGGACAATAGACTCTGTCGCATGCTGGCACATTTTGAGCACGGCACGTTGATGCAATCCAAGGTGTATATGCAGACCATACTGAACGCTTTATGACTGTCGAGCCATTACGGCTGCATCACAGGGGCAAGGGTGACAACACAAAGTCGGATCACAACGAATACACAGTTTAGATTTTGACTGTTTTTAGCCCACAAGTGCCTGGACTCATGGACATATCTTCGTGCATTAAAAGACCACTCAAAGGGAACACCATTAATTATGCTGCCATAGGCCCCAGGCAGCTGTTAGGTGAAAAATTGCGCAGCCACGTTCTGACCATTTTGTGAAATCAACATCAAAGATCATCAAAGAGGTTTTAAAAAATTATTCTGCATGTCCCAAAATGAAAACTAGAAAGAAACCGATGTAGAACAAGAATCGTAATCTTCAGGACCGGAGACATGTTGTGAAGAAATTGACGCAGCATTGGGCATCAAGGCAATGAAGAATGCAAATGCAGCATCCCGAGGCAGCGATACCAACAGAACTTGAGGCCCGGGGGGGCGCGAGAGCTATGTACACAATGGGGTAGTGATTTTTCACTGGGTGGGCTGAGGAAGCGGGATGACGAGAGATGTGGAAAACGGTGGAAAATGATGTATGAGATGATGAAATGCGATAAGATATGATATGATGCGAGTGGATGGGATGCGCTTGAAGGGATGTTATGAAACGAAACCATGAGATATGATATAATGAGGTACGTTGACGCTGACATGAGATACATTGAGATGAGACATGATCAGATAAGATGAGATAGGATGAGACGAGGTACATTGAGATGAGACATGATCAGATAAGATGAGACAGGATGAGACGGGGTACATTGAGATGAGACATGATGACACAAGATGAGATGAGATGAGCCATGAGCCATGAGCCACGAGCCATGAGCCATGACAACACACGATGGGAAGAGATGAGATGAGATGAGATGAGATGAGATGAGATGAGATGAGATATGAATGAAACTGAAAAATGGGCGTGAGCCTGAGAGTGAGAATGAGAGTGAGAGCGAGAATGAAAATGAGAATGAAATGAAATGAGACCAGGAAACGAGGAGACGAGGAGACGGGGAGACAAGGAGACGAGGAGACAAGGAGACGAGGAAACGAGGAGACGAGATGCGATGGCAAATAAATAGGATACCAGTAGTACCGCACAAGGCGAGGGCAGAAGTTTCAAAGATAAGACACTGTAGGAGAGGTGAGTGGTTGTGATGCATGGATGGCAGAGCAAATCCCTTGATGGACCGAAAGGCGGTTGGAGCTGCAATGGTTGCAATGGTCACCTCACCCACAATTGCTGGATGTAGTGTGGTGTAGGGCAGTTGTACTTGTAGCTGTAATGCAGCGTAATATTGTGGAGTTGTAGCTGTAATGGAATGTAATTAGTGTAGTGTAGTTGTGGTCGCAGTTGCAGTTCTAGTTGTGGTGTGGTGTAATTAGCGTAGTGTAATGTACTGTTAGCGTAGTATACCGTAGTGTTTTGTATTGTAGTGTGGCAAAATGTAGCGTAGTGTAGTCTACTGTAGCATGGTGTAAAGTAGTGCAATTGCAATTGTAGCTGTAGTTGTAGCGGTAGTTGTGGTTGTAGCTGTAGCCGTGGTTGTGGGTCCAAAATGAGAAGGGGAACAGCAGAAGCAACGAGAAGCGAAACAAAAAAGAAGACGAGGGATACAACCAGAAGCATGGTCGTATAAAGGCAGCTGCAGCATCCAACAGCAAGGCGAAGGAACACGGAACAACAAAGGAGCCAATGATAGAAACGGAAAGCAACTTGAGAAAAGCAGTGAACAAACCAAAACAATACCCCAAGGCAGGGAGAACGAGGCAACAAGGAGAACATTAACAGAGGCGTGAAAGGACGCATGATGGAAAAGAAAACTGAAACCCCCAAGTCCAAAAATCAACTCCAGAGCTGAGTGTAACAAGTACACCGGTAGGAAGTCAATGTACCACATACGAGCAACAGAAACTATGGAACAGTAACGGCTGAGGTTGGACACTAGCGCAACTGCAGCTGCAGCAGCAGGACCGTCTATGCATATCTATAAAGAAGAACTCACAAGATGTTCATACAAGAACTTCCTATGACTATGGGTTAGTTAGCCATCAGTCTGGGAATCTTGACAACATCTGGGTGATGTTGTCCTCGCATTATGGTACAAGATGAGTGAAACAGACACCCGAAACGAAACCCTGCACGGTCCACGACAAGTTTGCCATGGAGAGTGAAGGTGCTGCATGATACTGCTGGAATGCAGCCCGTGTGTCATTCAGCTCATGTCACAGCCTCTCTCCGAACGAACGATTTGCAGCAACTGCTCGCGTAGGACCGACAAACTGGGATGTTCAGGCAAATGCAGCAAGGTCGCGCAGGTGGAAGCTGTGGGCAGACGTGACGGGCCACCCTTGCAAAAGCACCAAAGGCGGACAGCGGCACGAGATCCGAAGCAGCCAGCTACTCAATGCGACGAAGGACTGCCCGAGCATTTTCGCGCTGCAGCGCGATGCTAAAGGATTGCAACATCCGCTGCAGTTCAACGCTGGCCCCTTCGCCACTTCGAGAAGACAAAGCCGCAGCCAGCAGCTGCCAAGTTTTCGAAGCAGTAGGGCCCCATCCACCAGCACAGCCTTCAACAACCAAAGGCAAGAACTGTAGGCCCTCGGTTGCGCAGGCCTGCCATGTGTTGAGGTGTTGACATTTGCGCTGCTCATAGTCAAGGGTAGCCCGCCCACCATCGGCAATGGAATGCGCCAACTGCCCTTGTCGCAAGCCAGAGGTGACTGCGAGATCAAACGCGGCAGGGCCGTGCAGGTTCCAGTTAGGTACCCAGACATCGGCCGGCCGTCGCTGGCTCGCAGGCTGGTGGACAACATGGGGAGAACCATCCTCGGCGCCGCCCTGATGCTCAGGCCGCGGTGGCAGCAGGTTTGCCTTTTCAACTTCGGGCTGGAGGCCCGCGGTTTTGGCGCGAGCAGCCAGAAGGTTCCGGAGCTGGTTGTGCCGTTTGACTCGGTCGCCTCCACAAGGGCACACCCGGGCATGGTCCCCATATCTGTCAGCGGTGCCATCGCACAGCGGGCAAGCGAGGTCGGAATCAGCAACGGGCAAGCGCAAGCGGAGGCGCACCATGATCCGAAATAGCGGTGTCACCACATGCAGACCCAGGGCTGGGCTGGGAACAGCATGAAGCCAAGCCCCCGCGCCGGGTTGCTGAAGAAGTTGGAAATGGGCCCGGTAAGCTTCCTTGCCAGCAGCAGGAGCAGCCAACTGCGTGACCACCACACGGTCCAGCGCCTTGGACAAAACTTGTTGTCGTAAGGAAGGCGGCGCGGGGACAGGGAAGTGGTCAGCAGCCGGGAGACCGCCCCGATAGGGTAGGGGTCTCCTACTTCTTCAAGGGGGGGGTGGCTTCTTCAAGGGAAAGCTTCTTTGAAGGGAGGTCTTCAGTGCGGGGCAGGCCCCCCCCAAGAAGAAGAAGAAGGGGGGGGGCTTCTTGAAGGGGGGGGGGGGGGGGGGGGGGCTTCTCAAGTGTCGGGGCCCCCCTCCCCAAGAAGAGAAGAAGGGGGGGGGGCTCTTGAAGGGGGGGGGGGCTTCTTCTTGAAGGGGGGGGGGGGATTCTTGAGGGGGGGGGACCTTCTGAAGAGGGGGGGGCTTCTTCTCGAAGGGGGCGGCTTCTGCTTGAAGGGGGGGGTCTCCTTATGAGGGGTTTGGAAGCAGGGAAGGTGGGTTGATGAAGGGACGGGGGGGAGCCTCGGAAGAAGAATGGGGAAAGGGAAGGTGTGAGGGAAGAAGGCTGCCGTGGCGTCGGCGGAGGAGGCGAAGACAGAGACAGGTTGAAGGATGCGGCGAAGAAGGACGGTGGAGGGGGAATACGAGGAGGAGACGGGGAGGGCGAGACACGGACAGGGGCGGACGAGAGGGGCGCCAGCAGGACACGAGAAGGAAAAGAGACAAAGCAGGAGGCCAACAAGGAGAGGAAGAGGAAGCGCGGACATAGCGTTCAAGACAAATAAGGATCATTGACCAACCAACCGGAACTAGCACAACATGGTGGGTTTCTTCTTCTAAGAAAACAAGGTGCTTTTTTTTGTTTTCTTCTCCCCTTTCGCTGTTTGGCACAGTTCCCCCCAGAGCTTCTCCAGATAAACACTACGCAAAGAAGCCGAGAAGAATTTGAAGGGGCCTAACCTGGTTTATCTCCAACATCCTCGAGAATTGAAATGAAGACTTTGGGGGACCCTGGGCTTGGAGCTTTCCGATTCTGAAACAACTCTCTAGCTGAACCGCAAGTGGAGAAGATATCCAATCACACGGGACTGCGGCAAGCACCCACACACCTAACAACATGGACCGTTGGCCCGTTTTTCCTGGCAAAGGTCTCAGTACTGACCACTCGTCGCTGCAGCACTCATGGCTGTAAAGACAAGCATGCCGGAAACATTGGCCTGGGGAGCACATGCAACTGTCCAGGCAAGGCAGTACTGGAGCGACTCTTGGGGACCCAGTCGCGTGGAATACGGACCCATATAGGGGAAAAAGTTAGACATGGGAGTCAATGAAAAAGGTGAAATCCAGTGTCACGGCAAAGTTGACATGCAGGAAACTACGGACATGGCTGTTCACACACGTGGTTCGTGATGCACGAAGACTGGCAGGCGACAGGCTGCCAAGGCCAATGTCAAACAAGTAGAGAAGGTTATCCGGTACACCTTTTTGGGTACGGACCACTGAGCATGCTTCCTTCTCGCCTTGGCCCTCATGGCCCGCAAAAGAAGCACAGTCGAAACAGCGGCCAAAGGATCCAGGCATGAAACAGTTACATATAAATATATATTTTTTTAAAGCATGGTGCTGTATCACGTTCTGAGGGGGTCTCTTTAGGGGCTTCATGCTAGCAACTATCCCCTTAACTTTTCCCCTAAAACATGCTATCTTTGGAGTAAATATCCACTTAAGTATCCCCGTAAAAATGCAAACTATCCACTTAACTTTCCCCCGTAAAGATGCTAATTTTGGAGTAAGTATCCACTGAAGTATCGCCTTCACAATGCAAACTATCCACTTAACTTTCCCCCTAAAAATGCTATTTTTGGAGTAACTATCCACTTAAGTATTCCCTTAAAAATGCAAACTATCCACCCTAAAAATGCTATTTTTTGGAGTCACTATCCACTTAACTATCCCTCCATCTGGCAAGAACATGTCTCCAGAATGCCAAAAAAAATCACCTCCGGACTTGCCGAAAATCGACCCCCAAAAAGCCGAAAACCATCCCCGTATTAAGTCGATAGTTAAGTGGATAGTTAAGTGGATAGCACCCTATTTAGCTTGCAGAAACCGAAAATATCCACTGAAACTATCCCCTCAACTATCCACTTAACTATCCCCTTAACTAGCCCCGTAACTGGACCCTTTGGGGGTCAATTTTGGACCAGTTTTGAGGTCAATTGTTGGAGCAATTTTGAGGATAGGTAGGGGGATAGTACGGTATAATAAGTGGATAGTCAAGGGGATAGTCAAGGGGATATTTAGTTGAATAAGGGGATAGTTAAGTGGATAGTTAAGGGGATATTGTGTATAATTGAGGGGACAGTTAAGTGGATAGTTGAGTGGATATTAGCCATGAGATTAGGTATAATAATGGTTTAGGTAAGGGGATAGTCAAGTGGATAGTTAAGGGTATATTAGGTATAATACTGGGATAGTTAAGGGGATAGTTAGGGATAATAAGGCCTAAAGAAAACGTGGTAGAGCGACATGCTAATATATAGTCCTAGAGTGCCGGACGTGAACAGCAACGCATTCTGCAGAAGGCAATTTTGGAATGTGGAAATGTGGACTAGACTGTGCAAATACGGTAAGCTGAGTTTACCTCTGGATCCCCTTGGCATCACGTCCAATTGGCATCTCGGATCGCATGCACGCAAGCGGCAGCTGCGGCACTGGTGGAAAACCGAACATTGAGGCAGTTCGGGCCATCGTAGAAGGAAGCGAGGTCACCTTGGATGGGAAAGAACCACAGCGGTGGCTGTACGGTGGGTGCAGGTTGCACCGACTGGGTCGGATTGTCTAGGCCCCGACTGATACCAAAAGAAGACATCGTAAGCATGACAAAGTGCATTGGGACTGGATTCTAGAGGGAGGCAGTCGGGTCTTCATGGATATCCAACGCCACAATCACCAAATGCAGATGTGTCTGTCATGGTGCAAACTACGACTCAAGGGGTGGGAGGCGCGAGAAGAATCGAAGCCAAGGCACCAAAGCACCGAAGGCGCTGCATCACCGCAGTGTCGGCGAGGCACCCCCGATGGTCACACGGGTTCGCCTCTCTCGCCTCCCTTGCCTCTCTCCCCTCTCTCGCCGTTCTCGCCTTTCCGATCGCTCACGCCCCCGATCCGCCTTCACAGCGGTGACACACAGGAACCACGTCGCCGAGCAGCAAGATAGCTCAGTGGGCGTACAACTACAACAACTGGGGTTTACGGTAGTTATAGTAATACCTACGGTTAGAAGGGTTTTGAAACCAACTTATAACTAGGGTGCTCCACATGCTAAGCAATGTCGCCGAGGTGCATGGGTCAACTGCAATAGGGAACCCATGGGTTGGAAACACGCAGTGTGGCAAATCACTCACTGCAGACGTGGCACACGTCGGGTACTGGTCAAAGTCGGGACGGAAGATGGAGCCTGGCGCTCACAAGAAAGAAGCTATGCAGCAAGTTTTCATGGCCATAGTTCGAAAGGCACACTTAAGAAGGAATGCAGGGATTTTGGTCTCATGCTTCTTTCGTCTTTAGGGAACCAGACATACGCATCATGAACGCCTGATTGACACGTATTGACACACACTTGCAAGACCGTATGTCGTCGAAGATTCTTCAGTAAACTCTTCAGAGTTGTGGGACCAAATGCCCGGAAGAGCGTATGTCGCCAAAATTGACTTGCCATGTCCTAGCTTCGCCGGTTGACATGGAAAAAGCAGGTACCAGTACCCAGATTGGCGTCCCAATCTGTCTTACCAGATCAAATGGTTCCCTTCGTTGGTCGCGGTCCCAAGTGATCTGCCGGTACCCTCTGCTCGATGAAGTCGCACGAACACGAATAGACCCGAAGAAACCGGGCTTGACTCACACACACCCACACACTAGACAAGAATGGATCATTATATGATCCGGCAGGAACTGAATCCTGAAACATGCAAATTAGATGAAGAAGGTTCTGATGCAACCGAACAGGAAAAAATAAATCATTGTGTTTGGGGTACTTGGCTTAGCCCCTTCCCATCACGGAAAAACTCGGCAGGTACGTCGATCCAGCGTCCCGGATCGATATCACAGATGACACACTGGCGTCTTCGTTGGTGCCAGTCCAGTGTGCATCCCTGGCACCCCCTGCATTAGGTTTAAAAAGGGAGAAGACAGAAGGAAGAAAAAGAGAGAAGTTTGACATCTATTTAGATGTTACACACACACACCCGGCCGGAGCCGGGTCAACCCTGAAAGGCAAGAGGAAGAAAAAAGCGGACACACGACGGGCAGACGGCCAAAAACAGCGAAGGGGGGGGAGGGGAACAGACGGACCTCCGGAACCAACCGACACGGCGAAACGGACCTGACAAAAACAGCGCACACACCTAGACCCCACGACACAGTACGGAGAGGCACGCGGGGAAAATTAGGGACCAAATGGGGGACTAGTTGGTGACAGAAAAGAGAACCAAAACAATTAGTTAAACAGCAGGATTCAGTTCCTAAACCTAGGAGTCGTGCGATTGTGCCACAACAGGCCCGTGTTCAAGTCGTGCCCCAATGGCATAGAAACGGCTTTCAAGTTCCAATGAATTAGATGCACAAAATGATTGACCTCACCAGACAACCATCAAGAGAAAGGAAACCACACCTGCAAGTCGTGTACCTGCCTGGTTGTTCATTCATGTCCGGGTATGGTGCTGCTGCGAAAATGCTGCAAAAACGGAGGTTTCTGAAGTTCGGCACAGCTTCACATGAAAGAACGAAACACTGGGATCCCTGGGACCACACGAACCGCGGGACATCATCAAAGGCGCCAAACGGTAAGGCCAGCTGTTACACTTTACTTAGACGAATCACTAGATTAAAATGTGTGAATTCGGAGTTCAGGTCAGTCATCATTGACCCTAAACAGGGTTGCCTCAAATGGCCCTATGGCACCATGTCGGAGTCACCACAGGAATCACACTAGACAAGAATGGATCATTATATGATCCGGCAGGAACTGAATCCTGAAACATGCAAATTAGATGAAGAAGGTTCTGATGCAACCGAACAGAAAAAAATAAATCATTGTGTTTGGGGTACTTGGCTTAGCCCCTTCCCATCACGGAAAAACTCGGCAGGTACGTCGATCCAGCGTCCCGGATCGATATCACAGATGACACACTGGCGTCTTCGTTGGTGCCAGTCCAGTGTGCATCCCTGGCACCCCCTGCATTAGGTTTAAAAAGGGAGAAGACAGAAGGAAGAAAAAGAGAGAAGTTTGACATCTATTTAGATGTTACACACACACATACTTGCTCAGAACTGTCCTAGCGAACTTTGATGTGGAGTGCATCGTACGTGCAAAAACAATCCAAGTAAACCTGACAGGAGAGAGTCATGGACATCACCCGAGAAACAGCGACATGTTCCCTGTGAACAGATTGCGAAGACCGTGCAGGCACTGAAATGACACGGCACGGAACCTGAAGGTTTGGTTTGGTTTGACACAGTGTGAAATACAAAGCGGCAAGGTGGTTCTTGGGTTAGCCACGTCCCATTGCAGGAAAGGAACATGAAATGAAGCAGGTAGTACGTCGATCCAGCGTCCCGGATCGATATCGCAGAATGTCATAGCCGTCTTCGTTGGCTGCAGAACTATGACAGTCCCTGCAGCCCCCTGCCTTTGATATATATATATATATAAATGAGAACAGTAAAACCTGGACCTCACGAGCCTACCTAAGGGAAAAGATGAAAGCCTAAGCCTGAGATGAACATGAGTAGATGAGATGAAACCTACATAAAAGAATATATATATATATATATAAAATGGAGACCCTTTACTTTAGTAGAAGTTTTACATCAGTCCGTAGAAGTTTTACATCTATTCAGATGTGTCACACACACACCCGCACCCTTCGTGGCAAGGAACAGTCTGGCTGGCCGCAGACACAGGAGCACTCGACGGATGCAATGCCTGCAGGTTTGCCTCGGCGCACTGCGTGCGTCACTGCGTAGGGAATATGTAACAGCACCAGAGGAATCCAGCTATAACGCAACTAATGGACAATGGTGTATGCAGTTGAAGTGGCACATACCATATGGAAGGTGCCGTGGGCAACAAGCAACACTAGAACTATCCAAGGGCAGTTTCAGTCGACCCCAGGGGCTCATGACCCGAGAATCGGCCACCAGGACATGTAGAAACAATACGAGGAGAACACATAGACATATGTAATGATATGGACAAACACCTACCTAGAGCAAGCTGACCGGAGGAAGATCCCAAGAGTATCCCGGGCTGGTCGTACAGTACAAGTGGAAAGCGGTGAAAACGTTTACATGGGATGTAGCTGTGATGCTAAGGAATTAGATCTTGAGAAACACATGTCGGTGGCAAAAGAACCCGAGGAGTATCCCACGATTATCGGGGGTTCATCTGAGAATTGAAACGTGGTAACAAGGTCTACGTGGGGCGTAGGTGGCGATTCTGTGGTGCCAAGATATTATGTGGCATTGGTTTCTTGCAAGAAAGCAGTCACAACGTCTCCAACTTCTTTTGACAACTTAGAATGCGCGCAGTGTAGATCGAAAACAGAAACATGTGTCAAAATGTCGTTGGTCTCACCATGGAATCTTTATCCTTGTATCCTTGGCCTGTTCCAGGGGCCCAGGAATGCGGTTTTGCACTGGTGTACGTCGAAGGCAACACTGCCACGCAACCAAGTCCCACGAGATAGCACTGCCAAGGAACCACCGTCAGGGCAGGAGTCGCCAGCACCTGACGCAGGGTCTCTGGTAATTAGTGGTCGCAAGGCGCCCAAGTGCCACAAATTCTGGGAAGAAGGTACGCAATGAAAACACAACACCGGCTCACCCAGTATTAGAGAAGCGATCAAACGCCGCGACTATGGAAAAAACAGGAGGAAGGTCACAATTTAATGGGAACCTGGCGTCAACCGGAAAAGCGATCCCAGGTAGAATTATCCATGTGACATATCGGGTGCTCCACCCAGCAGTTCAGGACTGGCCTGCACACGATCAACAGGCGTCCAAACCCCTGGCTCGGGGCGGTCGAATTGACCTGAGATCTGGGGGGCCTCAAAACGCCCAGACTGAAAAAGGAAAGGTCTGATGCGTATGCTTCCACTAACATCCGCCCAGCATGGGTGTGCAAGTCAGATGCTGCTCCGCCGCATCAGTACTACGTCAATACAGTTTCGTGTTCGAACGGAAAAGTCGCTCATATATATATATACGCAAAGTAGACATGATCAAGACAGCCAACAGCAAACAACATCTATAGAGGTGACAACCCACATCGCAGTGATCCAGCCAACGCAACCCAAAGCAAAGCCTTTCACCCAGAATGTGCTTATACCGCAATTCATATGGAGGTGCAGAGGGATGGTCTGCATCGCAGAGCGCGAGGCTAATGCAGCCCAAGTTGCTGCGGGACACCTGGACACATCCGTCCAATCGGACGGAGTATACGATCATGAGGCGATCATCGCACAGCACCCGTGCGCCCAGTGGGGGCAAGGGCGCCCCGAGATTCATCTCGGCGGAGGGGTGGGCTCGGGCCAAAACTTGCAGTTGCAACGAATCGGCCTGCATGCAAGTTTCCTCGACCCTCCACTTGCCGAGCAAAACATTCATCATCATCACGTCCATCATCATCATCATCATCTTCATCATCATCAGCATCATCATCATCATCATCGTCATCATCATCATCATCATCGTCATCATCATCATCATCATCAGCATCAGCATCAGCATCAGCACCATCATCGTCAGCTTCTGCAGCATCATCACCATCATGGTCAGCAGGATGAATAGGAGCAGCAGCAGCAGCAGCAGCAGCAGCATTTTAGTATCAGCAGCATCATCCACTTCCATCCTCATCATCAGCATCATCACCATCAGCTTCCGCGGCACCATCCTCATCCTCATCATCAGCAGCATCATCACCATCATCATCATCATCCGCATCATCATCGTCAGCAGCAATTATCTGCAACATCATCATCACTTCGTCTTCGTCTTCGTTCCTCGTCTTCGTCTTCGTCTTCGTCGTCGTCGTCGTCGTCGTCGTCGGCGTCGTCGGCCGTCGCTCACACTCGTTCCTCGTGCTCGCTCCGACCTCCTCCTCCTCCTCCTCCTCCTCCTCCTCCTCCTCTCGGGCTTCTTCTTGACGGGGGGGGCGGCTTCTCCTTGAACATGGAACGCTTTGCGGGGGGAGGCGCTGCGCGCTCCCCCCGCGCCCCCCACCCGCTTTTTTTAACAGACCTCCTTCTCTGCATCCTGCCGGCTCGTCCTGCTCCTCTTCCTCCTCCTCCTGCTCTTTCTCTCTCTACTTCTTTCATGCCCGTTGCCTCCTGTCCAGGGACATGGACGGCTTTGCGGGGGAAGACGCTGCGCCCTCCCCCCGCGCACCCCCCGCGCTTTGTTAGTACGCCTTCGCCTCCTTCTCCTCTCTCTCTTTCTCTGTCTCTCTCTCTCTCTCTCTCTCTCTCGCTCTCCCTCTCTCTCACTCTTTCTGTCAATTGCTCTCTTGCTCTCTTGCTCTCTAGGTCGTCTTGTGTCGAACACATCCCTGCGGTCATCTCCCCGTCACAAGGAACATGGAATGCTTTGGGAGGGGAGCGCTGCACCCTCCCGCCCCCCCTTTTTGAAAACAGCTCCTGCTCTGAATCCTTCCGCTTCCTCCTGCTTCTCCTGCTCCTCCTGCTCCTCCTGCTCCTCCTGCTCCTCCTGCTCCTCCTGCTCCTCCTGCTCCTCCTGCTCCTCCTGCTCCGCGTCCGCCGCCGCCTCCGCCTCCTCGCGACTACTACGACTACGACGACGACTACGACTACTACTACTACTACTACTACTACTACTAGTACTACTACGACTACTACTACGACTACTACTACGACTACTACTACTACTACTACTACTACTACTACTACGACTACTACTGCTACTACTACGACGACGACGACGACAAGCCTGTGGCAGCCTCTGCTGCAAGATTGTTTTTGGGGTGTTGGTTGAAGGTCTCCGGGAATTTATGTCAGGCGAGGGAGGGTCGCATATTTCTTTTGGTCTCGTAAATTTGATGCCAGTGTTGTCATCGCTTGTTGGTGCTGGGAACTTCAACCACGTCGTTGATGGTTGAAATTGGCGGTTGATGCGGTGCCGTAAAGAAGTCTAGATCTACAAAGATGACAGTGAATGTGAGGGTCTGCTTATTTCGCCCTTCGCTCCCCTCAGCATCCACTGCCACCTTTTGATGAACCCTTCACTACACAAGTGCGAGAACGGAAAGAAAGTGGAGAACGGACAATAAGGATTGTTTAACCATAGAACCCACGAACCCGGAATGCTTCGTTGGAAATCCGCCACCATCAACTGAGAGATGTGCTTTTGAAACTTCCGCACCATAGAGCGTGTCGCTCCCTCCCAGTCGATGGATTTTATAAACAAGAAATACCTACTGTCCGTTGCTTCTTGCCATCTTGCTGTCCGTTTTCTCGACAGTGTAATGAGTAATGGAGACGCACAGCTTCCGCCGGCGCGCAGTTCTCACAGTTCTTTGACTTCTTTGAATTTGTCAAGTCTGTCTCTGTTCTCACTGCAGTTCTAACTGCAGTTCCCGCGTTTTCGGCAAGCACCCACACACCTAACAACATCGACCGTTGGCCCGATTTTCCTGGCAAAGTTTTCTCAGAACTGACCACTCGTCGCGGCAGCACTCATGGCTGTAAAGACAAGCATGCTGGAAACATTAGCCTGAGGAGCACATGCAGCGGTCCAGGCAAGGCAGTACTGGAGATTCTTGGGGACCCAGTCGCCTGGAATACGGACCTATATATGAGAAAAAGTTAGACATGGGAGTCAATGAAAAAGGTGAAATCCAGTGTCACGGCAAACTTGACATGCAGGAAACTACGGAGATGGCTGTTCACACACTTGGTTCTTGATGCCCGGAGACTGGCACGCGACGGGCTGCCACGGCCAATGTCAAACAAGTAGAAAAGGTTATTCGGTACACCCTTTTGGGTACGGGCTGAGCATAGAGCTCATCGGCTCATCGGCAGCACCAGTGCAAAAAAAATCAACGTATCAAAGACTCGGAGCAACTTCTTCAATCAACACATCCTTTGCTCGGGTGTGCTTCAGCTTTAGACGATACTTCACTCTTCTGACATGTTGTAACATGTTCCTGCGTGTTCTAACAGTCAAACGAGCTATAGCAGCGAAACCGTGGCATCACTTGATTTCACAGGCGGTCACTGATGCCCTTCTTCTTCAGTTCGTCAGCATGAATTGGATTCCTCACCTGAGTCGCCAATCCGAAACTGCGTCCCTTTCTGATAGAGGACTCGTGATTGTTTTGAGGTACCTCTACCGATGTTTAATGTTCAAAGAAATTCCATTTGCATCGCTCGTGTCTTCCCACCTCTTCTATCCCATCATCTCTCAAACTGCACAATTATTCCACACCGCAAACATGTTGATCCCACGCTGTCAGACAAGGTGCATAATTCAGGAAATGTTCCTTGGTCACTGGGCCCGTTCCATACTTGGTCTCTAGCTTGCAGAAAGCCTCGTTGAGCGAAACCAAGGTCGGAGCGAGCCGTGGGGTAAGTTGGCGCCGAAGTGGGATGGGCCGCTCAAAGTGGACCAACATCTGGGGGTTGACCCCCAGGTTTGTCTGAAAATTGGCTACCCCAATATCCTAGAGCAAATTCGGGCATCTCCCACTGGGCCCAGTCTGCGGCACCGTAGCAGGAAGTGGGGAATGATCTATAATAACCTATTATGTATACGTATAAATAAAGATATATATATATATATAAATATATAAAAATGTTATATATATATAGATATTAAAACCATAGACAGTCATCCCATTCCCCCAGTCCCTACTAAGCACCACCAGGATACTTCACCTAATCGTTGCCCAGCGCCACTCTGCTGAACTCAGCATCAGAAATGCCGTATATTTTCGTCCATTGGTGATATCCATTGGTGCTTATGGTATGTTCATTCGTCCATTCTCAACATAGGCGACTCAGCCGACTCGCCAGGTGAAATTGACCGGGTAATCAACGTTTACAGTTTGCGACATAGAAGCCATGGCCCATAGAAAGGTCGTTGATTTACCGAACGTAAAGATGGTGATTTTCCATTCAAAAAGGTGATTTTCCATATAAAAAATGGTGATTCTCTATATAGAAATGGCGCTTTACCATGGTTTTCCCATAGACAAATGATGATTCTTCCATAGTTTTCCCACTAAAAATTGTGATTTTTCCAGAGTGTTCCCATTAAAAAGGGTGATTTTCCATAGTTACTTCGTTACGTTGACCACATCGTGACCCAAGTCTCCAGGACAATCATCGCTTGGCGAAGCTTCAGGAGACCCTCGATGAACTCTCGAGATGAAAATGTGACCTGGAAGACTTGGACAGTTCGAAGAAAGACACACGCATTTTAGGATCTGATTATTTGGAGGAGTTATATCAAGTACATTATCATTTTATTACATTGGTTATATTGGTTGAGTAATGTGTCTATAGCCATGTTGGGCCATAATTGTGATTTAGTTGGGATACAATTGGGATACAGGTGGAATGACGATAAACCAGTGGATGGTATTCGAACACGTGAGAGATTCTCCCAGGCGGTCTTAAGTGAGGTGGAACTCCAATGAACGAATTCTATCCAATCCTCGTGAAAAAAAATGTCCGAAACATTCAAAAAGGAACATTTGGCTGGCAGTCAATTGCGCACAAGACAGGTAGCCAAAGTTGATGCCATAGTCTCCAATATCCCATCAACTATATAATAACGAATTCACAGCACATAGCGATGTAGAAAGAGCCGTGGCTGCATTGTCCTCCCCCTCCGAGACCAAATTCCACACCTGAATCATCCACATACATTCGCACGAAACGGAGCGTCACGTCTCCCACAACCACGCCCAACCTTAGAGTGTGTCATCTCGTAAAGATTCAGAAGGCCCGTCAGAAGGCCGGCAAAGTGGCTTTTTTCAAAGGATTTTTTAGCCCAAAGTTGATCCCTACCATCATGAAGCTCCGTTTCGGTTGCGAATTCGCCCATTGGAGCTTTCGCAGGACGCTTCAAAATGCAGCTGCGACACTCCTCCAAACTTGCCATGCATGCATGCATGCATGCATGTATGTATGTATGTACGTACGTGTGATAATCAAAAATATACATATATATATATATACATACACATAATACAAACATATAGTATACATATACATATATATATATATACATATATACAATATATATATATATACAAATATATATATATATACATACATATTCAGCCCAAGTTGCTACGGAACACCTGGTCACATCCGTCCAATCGGACGGGGCATACGATCATGAGGCGATCATCACAGAGCACCCGTGATTCATCTCGGCTGAGGGGGTGGGCTCGGGCCAAAACTTGCAGTTGCAACGAATCGGCCTGCATGCAAGTGTCCTCGACCCGCCACTGCCGAGCAAAAAATGGTCGTTCTAAGAACAGAGGTCACACAGCCCAAAAAATGAGTGACATCGGTCCAAACCCCGAGGATCCAAAGTATGGACTATTTGCATGCCTCAGAGCGTCCGACCAAGCTATTTGCGGTCCGACCGGAAAAAGAAAAGCATGATTTGCGGGGGTTTGCGGGAGCTTTGCCGAAGCGCAGCAAGCAATATATGATATATAGTGCTGAAAACGCACACAGGATCCTAGGATAGTATTTATTGCAAGTGCAACACATTTATCTATGCATCTATCGTTCTATTGATCGGTAGAACCTCGTAATATATATATATATGTATATATATATATATATACGCGGGATACGAGATACGCAGGTCTGGGGAGCGGACCCAACCATCGCGAGGGGAACGCCGCACAGCAGTGGACGAGCAGGGGGGACGGAGGAGGGTGGGATCAATGTATCCCTATGATTCCCTATGCATATATACAGATATCTCAATGTATCCGACCGAACTGACGCGTCAGTATATGGCGTGCTAGTTCCTCATCCGCCTCATCATCATCAGCATCCTCATCCTGATCATCATCACCATCATCATCAGCATCATCATCCTCATCCTCATCATCATCATCATCGTCATCATCATCCGCCGACGACCACTACCACTAGCACGACTACACCCAACACTACTGCCACTACCACGTCTACTAAGACCACGACTACGACTACCACTACTACGACTACTACGACTACTACGACTACTACGACTACGACTACTACGACGACGACTACGACTACGACTACGACGACTACGACTACTACGACTACTACGAGTACGATTACGACGACAACGACGACGACGACGACGACGGCGATGACGACGACCACCACCACCACCACCACAACAACAACAACAACAACAACAACAACAAACAACAACAAACAACAACAAACAACAACAAACAACAACAACAAACAAACAAACAAACAAACAAACAAACAAACAAACAACAACAACAACACCAACACCAACACCAACAACAACGACAAGAAGAACAACAAGAACAAGAACAAGAAGCAGAACAATAACAACACGAGCAATAGCAGCAGCAACAGCAGCAGGAACGGCAGCATAACACACCATCTGGATGCAAGGTGAGCGGAAAGGGCAGAACATGACAAGGCCGAACGCAGCAGCTGAGCAGCTGAGGTAGCAGCGTGTCAAGCGGCACCTTTTCTCACGGCGCAGCTGCTTGCTCCACGCGTTGTCCGCCCAGAAGCTGGCGCCAAGATTCCGCGTGCCCCGCAATGGTACGACGAACATCTTCGCCGTCGAGGTCTGGGAAAGATATCTCTGTCTGGCTCTTCATGCGACCCTCTCGGAGGCGCTCCAGGGTCCACGAAGCGAACGGGAAGTCTGGCGGGAGTTGCAGCGCAGTGCGGGACACTTGCAGGGCCACATGCCGCCAATCATCCGGAGGGCGTTTGGTGAACCACAGCACCTTCGTACCGGTTGCATTTGTGCTGTGCGTCAAAACCCCCAAGCCGAGCAAGTCCAGAGCCCGCAAGGCTCGCAGGGCATGTGCGAGGGCAAGACGATCCTCAAGATTCAAGGCGAGCACGCTGCGCAGATGCAGCACATCATTGTGGCGCAGAATGGGCTTCTTCTGCGATTCCAAGACGGCAAGCATCATGGTTCGCAGGTGTGCGGGATGGATGCCGGCTGCGAGGAGCGACGGCATGGTCGTGCAGGCCAAAATGCTGCGAAGGTCGGATGGCGCAGCTGGACGCGCTGCTGCGGCGGGATCGGCGACAGAAGGCGGCGGTGCCGCGCGGAGGAGATCCAGGGTAGCAAAGATGCTGTCCATCCATGTACTAAAAGCGAGACTTGCTTGGGCAGCTTGCAGGGAGATCTCAAAGGACCAATTGTCTGGGGCAACGCCATTGCAAGCCTGCATGAGGTTGTGCAAAGGGAGCGCCAGACGAAAATGTCTCGTCTTGCCCTTGCCTGCGCGCTTTGCAGCCTGTTGATCAACTCGATAGGCGGCCTCTTGCTCTGAAGCGCGCTCATCAAAGTTGTCCCAGAATAATGTAGCTGCATCAGCGGCGAAGGTGTAGTGCAGCCAATTGTAGTTGAGATCCCGCGTGAAGCGTTCCTTCGGCGGGTGCGCGGGATGGTGCACCACATGAAGGTTCCAAAAATGGTTTGCAAGGAACCCATGCAACGTCGCCGCAGGTATGGCTGCGCAGGCATCACGCAGCGCAGCAGCACGGGCAAAGCGCGGTCTATCGTACATGACAAGCAAGCGCTCCCGCAAACCCAGGGGGTCCTCAGTGCCAATTGCATTCATCACCTCTTCCATGTGGACAGCGGCACACACCCCAAGGAAGGGAGCATCGACCATGACTGTGGTGCGATCCTGGCAGAACATTGCAAGGATAAAAGAAGATGACGGAATGCGTTAAGAGTCAGCAAGACCAGTCGACAACAGAGAAAAAGACAGAATCAGAAAAGGAAACAAACGTTCGAGAAGCAGGCCTTCACGGTGACCTTGTCCCAAAGAATCCGATCGGTAAGCTGAGTGATGAGGCCTTTATGACTGGCACATTGATCCGAGATCCAGCTCAAGAAGATGAGCCCCTCCGCCAAAAACGCAGCAGCCCGACTCAGGTTCTGCGGTTCGGCCATGCGTCCCACAACACCATCGATGGAGCCGGATGTGAATCCCATGTGCATGGGAGGCGGAGGGGTAAAGCGGGGTCTCTTTGTCACCTGTTCATCGCTGCCCGCAGCAGCAGGCTGCGCCCCGTCTTGTTGCTGCCGGAAGGCAAGCTTGGCCTGCGCTAGCTGGAACTCATCTTCCCAGAGCTCAATCTGGCGCAGTGTGCGATTGTAGGCGGCCATGGGGCCGCTGGTTTGGGTGGCACCAGGATGCAGAATGAGTGCCCAGGGCATGCTGTACAATGGCAAGGTTTTGGTCGGTAAGAGGACCGAGGTTGGGGCCAAGAATGCCGCTGTGCACACCTCTGCGAGAAGCACCCAGGATAATGGAACACTGAGGGAGTCGGCCACAGCAGAGCAGTGTTTGCAGATCGCAGGCACCAGCTTCTCCAGGTCGGCGAGCGGGAACGGAATGTCTTCTGCAGCTGCGAAAGCCGCCAGGATCTCCGTCTCCGTGAACTTGCGACCGGCACCAAGGATCTGGGCCGCAAGAGAAGGAACCAGTGCGGTAGGCACTCGCACCAGTCTTTGCATGGAGATCGTAGCTCCTGCCAAGGCGTCCGGAAACAGGACCGCGGCGTAGAAGTGCGCGTGCTCGTAGTAGATGAGGGGTAAGGATGGGAGAAATTCGAAAATATCCTGGGAAATGCGGGGATAAGCAACGCAACAGCAGGAAACAAACTGGAAGGTCCCAACAAGCAAGTCGGTGAAGCACCGTAAGTAATGAATGTTCAATGGAGCCAAGCCACCTCGGGAAGAACACTTGCAGGCGGAAAGCCGGATCGGAAGTGGAGCAGTGCTCCCTCGCAGTGGAGAAGCAGTAAGCCGTGTGGAAACCACGCAGGCAACAGGTTGACGAAAAGCTGACAATCGAGGCCACACACAGGGCAGGTCGTGGAAAACAGTCGCAGGAGCCGGGTCACCACCAGTCGCCCCAGACGAGGCGGCAAGGCGTAGGCAGATGCGAGCGCATAGGTCAACAGCACGCATCGGTCGATGCCCAAAGCATCAAAGAAACAGTTGGCATTGTCAGCAAATGGGGCACTTGCATCCCAGAACGCAAAACAGCAGGAGGACAAGGCGATCTGCCGCGGCCACTCTGGTGCGAAGGCTCGCGGCAGCTGCAGCCATGAAGAGAAGCGCCCCGCAGCAGACCTCAGCAAAAAGCCATGCGGCGGGGTGTCGCGCGTGATGTGGCAGGGTTGACAACAGCCCTGGGGCAGAAGCCATGCCGATGGAGGCTCCATGCATCGAAGGACCACCCCATCCGGAAAAGCAGCTTGACCCAGCGCAGCGACAAGAGCAGCCAAGTCTTGAAGCCTGCAGGGCACGGAAGCAGACATATCCAATCCGGCCGCGTGCAGTGCCCCCTGCAGCACATCTGCACGGAGCGGCATCAGGCAGCAGAGGCCAGCGAGGAATGACATGACATCATGTCGATCTGATGGAAGCGGACTGCAGCCTCCCTGTGGCGCGCCATGTGCACCGCCCACGCCGAGCTCTTCTGCTGCTGCATTTGCTGTTCCTGTGCCCTCTGCCTCGGCCGATGCCACGCCGAGCTCTTCTGCTGCTGAATTTGCTGTTCCTGTGCCCTCTGCCTCGGCAGAGGCTGCCTCGGCAGATTCTGCCGCCCCGCTTAGCGAGCAGTCTGCGGAGTCAACCCCCGCTCTTGTTGGCATGAGCCACCCAAACGTCCAGTAGCCGCCGTGGTGGCACAATGCAGGAAGAGGCATTGCCGGATGCAGAGCACCGTCCGTCGGAAATGCTGTGCGGGCTCTGGCCGTTGGCAGGTCGAGAATGTGCAGGTGCTCTGTAAGCACAGATCGAAGAACGCTGAGCAGAGGGTCCAATGGCACAGCGCTGCAACCATTCAAGGTGAGCGCAAGGCTGCGTTGCAGCTGCGGGTCGAAGCGTGCGCCATGACAAAGGACTAGGACGAATTGCTCCGGGCACAGGGCCGTCGCAAGATGCAATGCACGCAGCAGACTTCCCGTGGTGTTGGAGGAAGAGGACCTGGAGGAAGGAAACATTCAGCAGCTCAAGACGAACATGAAGCTGAAAGCAAAGGAGAAGTAATACAAGCGTGCGAGAAACCACAACAGTGGGGTTTGCAAACAAGACACACCAGAGGCAGCAACTCGCTCGGCAGGACGTCCAAGAAGTAGTCCACGTCGACGTCAGTCGACACATCGCCGACCGATCGGTCGGACAAAGCGAGCAACGGGAGGCCGGAGGCCTGGACAGGCCGAGGAGAACATGCTGAGAGCAAGGTGCCGAAGAGCAGCTGCAATGCATCGCGGATCGCAGCGCCAATGGTCGCAAGCCAGAACCATCCGCAGCGGCAGTGTGCACAGAGGCGCTCCCGTCGCTGAAGCGCGGCAGGACCTGGGCACCGTGCAGCAGAAACCAGGAAGACAGTATAAGCGAAAAAGTAGGCAACAACAAAGCAAGGCTTTGAAGAATCCGCGAAGCATACGCGACAACATGTGCAGACCAAGGCACGGGTCCGACCGAGGTGGAACAAGGCACGAGTTTTGGCGCTCGTGGGGCGGCCACGGCGAATTGAGCGGAGTCCCCAGTAGAACACACAAACAGCTGTCCAAAACAAGGCGCTGCAAGCAAAGAAGGCCATGGTAGCGAGAGGATAGACACGCCGTCAGACGGAATGCACCGGAAAGAGCCAACACGACTGACAGAAGGCACATGTGTAGACACGAAGGTCGAACCAACGGAAGCACGACAAGGCAAGGCAGGAACAGCTGCAAGCACGAACCGGCCCGAACGCGACAGAAGCGCACTTTTACGGTGCAGCAGGGGAGTCAGCACACGGCATGGTGAAGCATATAGGCGCATCACTTCGGATGGCGGCAGAAAACGAATTGGTGCAATGCAGACTGGATCGTCTGAATTAAACGCAAGCGCCCGGGGAGAAGCAACCATTGCGAAGGCACAGCTTGGCACGAGGCTCTTCATCTCGGGAAGTCAGAAAGCGCCAGCGCTTCGGCAAGGTGGCGCCACAGGCAACGTGATTCCGGGAGGCCACTCGGTGCAGCTTGCGATCGCGAAGATTGAGCAGGAGCGGCGGTACCGGGTTGGCCGGCACCATGGGGTCATCCGGAGGATCCGCCGCCACAGGTACGTCATGGGCGACCTGCTGAGGAGGATCCGCAGCAACCTCTGGCACAGGTGCGTCGCCCAGTGGCCCTTCATGCACGTCAGCAGTGCGTGCAGCACCGCGCCACAATCCCCACGCACGAGGGCGTCGACGCCGGGGCATGGGCCGGGCAATGTCCCGGTTCTGATTTCGCGCCAAGCAGAGAAGAAGGAAAAAGAGTCGGTGCCGCACTGGGGCCATTGGGTTGGCCACATAGACTAGCCAACGAGCCCAAGCAAAAACATGCTCCTGTGCTTCAGTGTTGATGCCCTGAAGTTCGGGGTGCTGACTTTTCCGCACCTCTGGCAAAAAGTGGACGTGTGTGGGGTCCAGGCACGCCGTGTGGCCCCGTGCGTGTGACTCTGGCAAGATGAATTGACAACCCTGAAAGATGCCCATCCGGTGCGCACGGACTGGGTTGCGACAAAAGCGCGCCAGGGCACACGCATTGTCATAGCACAGGAAGCGCTTGCCGTTGGTGAGACGCAGCGCGAAGCAGAGGGCAACCTGTGGCAAGCTCTCTGACCCCACCAGGTGATGTACGTGGACGATGTGCCCGCAAGGGAGTACGATGACGAAGACCCCAGCATAGCGACGAACGGCGAGCCGCTTTCGCTCGTCCTTGATGCAATTGCATGTCTGAATGAACTCATAGTCAGTAGCGTCCATCTGAAGCAGCTCCTGTGGAAGGCGCAGGGCAGAAGAACAGTGCCCATGCCCCGGGCCACGGCAATGATGGTTGAGAGGCTTTAGTCAGAAGGGAAAAGCTATAGGACCGGGTAAGGGGGGAAAAAAACGCAGGATCAACAGTGAAAACGAAATCGCCTCAGCAGGCGCTCCATCACGCTCGCTTCCCCCAAAGCGGCCCGGATCTGCGGTAGCATAGTCCAGAAGCGCCAGCTTAGAGTCATACTGGCGCAACCGAGCAGCAGCCACCTGCTGCAGAGGCAGGAAGTCGGCGCTGCCGACGTAGCGGAAATGGATGTGGCCGCTGATGCGTTTGTGATCCCGAATCTCCGGCGGAAGCTGGGGGGAAGGCGGCAGTTGGTGGCCGCGGCAAAACACCGACTTAGCTTGGGGCCGCTTTGTGCACCCCAGCGTCACGCGCAGCCCCAACTGAGAGTCGGTGAACGAAGCAGAGGTGCGTTCATTGCAGAGCGAGGTGGTAAGCTTCATGCCGCCGTCGCCAGCAAGCACCGGATTGGAGCAATGCACGCAAGTATGGGAAGAAGCGTGGCGGTGAAGCAGATCATGCAACCACGGCTCATGCTGCGCCAAAGTCCGATCCAGTGCATCGAGGCGTACATCAAAGACGGTGCCAACCCGAGACGCAGCCCAAGTGTGCTGAAGTGTGTTGTACAGGAACCAGCCATGCTCAACACAACGCTGGCAGTCGTGATGAGTTAGATCCGGTCCAGGAAACATGGCTTGAACCGTCTTCACCAAGCCAGAAAACGAAGCACGCAAGAAGAGGAAGGCGGTGGACATGAACCGCAGATATTCGGTGTGCAATGCCACGAAACTGTCTGCATGCAGGCGCTCCCGAAAGAAGAACCAACTGCACGCAGTCGGATGGCAAGCTATCACCACGCGGCTTTGGCCACCGTGGGGGTATGCCCAGCAGCCCAAAAACCATGCGCGACAAGACGGGCAACGCAGGCGTTGTGCCCGGAGACGAACGAAGCCTGTAGCATACGACAGCCCCCACACAGCTGGTGTGTCGCCTTGTGGTTGAAGTGCCGATCCCGCCGTGCAGAGCGGGCAATGGCGCAGGGGCGACGATACGAGCTCAGCAGCCATGGCGTCCATTTGCACCCATGCAGCTGTCGCACGTGGTTTGAGCAAAACTGCATGGGCAACAAGCAACCGAGGTTCGAGCCAGGACAGCGAGCAAAAGAAATGATCGGAGGGAAAGTCAGCAATGACCGGAAGCATGCCTGCATGCAAGTACTTACCAGAGCCGAGCCGAAGCGAGCAAGGTGAAACGCGCAGGATGACAGGCAAACGATCTGGCAGCACACTTTTGCCCAGAGAAAGCTTCGATCCGCGCAAGATATTCCACGGAATATCCGGAAGCAAAGTAGAGACATGTTTTCGAGGTCGATTTGACACAAAGAGCACTCCGGATGCATTAATCAGAGTCAACTGCCACAACAGCAGCTGGGGCAGCTTCAAAGACTAGAGCAAAGCGGAAGGTGTCCAGCAAAAGGTAGACAACGAAGTACCGTGAGCCAGTGCGCAAGTGATAAAACTCAAAGCGGCGCTGTTGGTGCAAGCGTTCATCAGTCAAAAGACCTGACAGAGACACCCATTGCGGGGTGTCGTGGTTGCACAGATGCCACGCAGCCACGGGACCGCCAGCACCATTGAGCAGCATGGCATCCAGAGGTCGAAGGTCTCCAGGTCCAGCGCCAAGCAGAGTTCTCACCTTTGCGACCAACGAAGTGGCGGCCGTATCAGCGCAAAATATGCCGCCTGGGACGTGTCCAATGGCGGGGCAGTGCAGGCCTCCCAGTAGCGCCGCAGAGGCGCAGTCCATGACGAAATTGTAGGGACGATTGTGCTGGCGCAGAAGGTTGATTTGCTGCACCAGCGACTACATGCGCGCAACCCCGAGCAAGAGCAAGAAGCTCGGGAGCGGCGTGGCCGCGCGTACGCTGGGCAAAAGATCCCCAGCAGTGATGATGACGAGCAACGAAAGCGGCATGATGGAGCAGGAAAAAAGGCGAACGCGGTTTGAGCACAACTGCGCAACTTGAAATAGGTGAATGGTCCAGCCCAGGTAGCGAGCAAAGGAAATGACACAGAAGGAATGGCAGCGATGGTCCAACGTTAGAAGTTTACCCCATGCAACCACGTGAGAACCAGAAAGGAGTCACTTTGGAATTAACATGTGCAGGGCCACAGGCAGAAGATCTGGCAGCCCCTTTTTCCACCGAGACATTTTGATCGGTACGAGATATTCCACGGAATATCAGAAAGCAAAGAAAGCTGGCAACCACAGGTCGCAGCCACGGCAGATGCGAATAGGAGGCCGCTCAGAAGATCTCATAAGTGCAGCACAACTCATGTGAGTCACCTGTGCACTCAGATGAAGAAGTGCAGCACAACTCATGTGAGTCACCTGTGCACTCAGATGTAGAACCCGGCGGGGTCCACCTCTGGCTCCTCAATCGCCAGAGCCCCCTTCGCCAGAGCCCCCGCAATGCCGAAGACGTTGAATTGCAGAAAGCATCTTGCCGCACGATCTGTCTCGCAATCTCGGGGGTAGAAGGAAAACGCGTAGGCACCGCGGTGGAGCAAAGTGATCGCATCCTGCACGGGCGCGAGGTTGTCCGAAACATTGAGTTCCAGCCATGCCTCAAGAGGATCAGATGAAAGGCCCAAGTCCAATGCCAAGTAATCCGACAAGTCCAAGCGCTGGTTCGCAGGAGGCACCCACATGGAAAGGCCTCCCACAGCATCGGTTGTGTCCCGGTAGGTCGCCCAAAAGACGTGCCCCTGAGCAGCCTCATTCATCCCGGGATAGAAGAGGTCGAGTTCAGCGACTGCTAGCAGTGGAGCAGCCACAGCGGCCACCGCGGCGGAGCACAATGCGCAGTACATGTGCACACGGGAGAAAAAGGTGAAGCCGCAGGGCACCTCTGTTTCAAGTAGGACTTCGAGCAGCTCCAATTGTGCTCGGGCATGTGCCACGACCACGAGAGGAGTGACGAAGGGAGCAGTCCAGGCAAAGACAGGCGCGACCTGCAGACCCAAGAGAATGTGCAATCGCAGCAGCACATCGGCTGGCATCATGGCAAGGGTCGTAGGAGGCATGAGGAACGTGTCACGGACGTGCGGGGCTATCAAGAAGCTGACTGGTTGAGACTGAGAACTGCAAAAGTAATCACATGGATCGAAGCTGCGGGGGTACAAGTGCCAACATGGAAAGGAGGAGGCATGGCGAGACAGAGCCAGCGTGGAACAGCGCCGATGCGAGCAACAACAACAACAACAACAACAGCAACAACAACAACAACAACAAGAACAACAACAACAACAACAGCAGCAACAGCAGCAACAACGACGACAACAACAACAGCAGCGGCAGCAACAACGATGACGACAACAACGACGACGAGCGCGCTGTGGCACGGAAGGAAAAACAGCGTGGAACAGCGGCCGAGGATTGCCGCTGTGAGGGGTGTATCCGACACCGTCTCACATTGGCGCACCAGGACCGCCCGAAACCATGTGCCTGGATGTGCGCAATGGCACGAAACGGCGGCAACAAGAAGAACAACAACAACAACAACAAGAACAAGAACAAGAACAACAACAACAACAACGACGACGACGACGACGACGACAACAACAACAACAACAAGAACAACAACAACAAGAAGAACAAGAACAAGAACAAGAACAAGAACAAAGAAGAAGAAGAAGAAGAAGAAGAACAACAACAACAACAGAGAGCGTGGAACAGTGTGGAACAGCGTCGAACAGCGTCGAACAGCGTGGAACACCGGCCGAGGATTGCCGCTGCGAGGGGTGTATCCGACACCGTCTCACATTGGCGCACCAGGACCGCCCGAAACCACGTGCCTGGATGTGCGCAATGGCACGAAACGGCGGCAACAAGAACAACAACAACAACAACAACAACAACAACAATGTGCGCAATGGCACGAAACGGCGGCAACAAGAACAACAGCAACAACAACAACAAGAACAAGAGCAAGAACAACAACAACAACGACGACGACGACGACGACGACGATGACGACGACGACGCCGACGCTGGCGACGACGACGACAAGGACGAACAACAACAACAACAACAACAACAACAACAACAACAACAACAACAACAACAACAACAACAACAACAACAACAACCACGACGACGACGACGACAACAACAACAACAACAGCAGCGGCAGCAACAACGATGACGACAACAACGACGACGAGTGCGCTGTGGCACGGAAGGAAAAACAGCGTGGAACAGCGGCCGAGGATTGCCGCTGCGAGGGGTCTATCCGACACCGTCTCACATTGGCGCACCAGGACCGCCCGAAACCATGTGCCTGGATGTGCGCAATGGCACGAAACGGCGGCAACAAGAACAACAGCAACAACAAGAACAAGAGCAAGAACAACGACGACGACGACGACGACGACGATGCCGACGCCGACGCCGGCGACGACGACGACAAGGACGACGAGTGCGCAGTGGCACGAAACAAAAAGAACAGCATTGGATGTGCGCAATGGAACAGCGGCCGAGGATTGCCGCTGCGAGGGGTGTATCCGACACCGTCTCACATTGGCGCACCAGGACCGCCCGAAACCATGTGCCTGGATGTGCGCAATGGCACGAAACGGCGGCAACAAGAACAACAGCAACAACAACAACAACAACAACAAGAACAAGAGCAAGAACAACAACAACGACGACGACGACGACGATGACGACGACGACGCCGACGCCGGCGACGACGACGACGACAAGGACGACGAGTGCGCAGTGGCACGAAACAAAAAGAACAGCATTGGATGTGCGCAATGGCACGGAACGGCGGCAACAAGAAGAACAAGAAGAACAAGAAGAACAAGAAAAAGAAGAAGAAGAACAACAACAACAACAGCAACAACAGCAACAACCACTACTACTACTACTATTACTACTACTACTACTACACTACTAGTACTACTACTACTAGTACTACTACTACTAGTACTACTACTACTACTACTACTACTAGTACTACTACTACTACTACTACTAGTACTACTACTACTACGACTACTACGACTACGACTACGACGACTACTACGACTACGACTACGACTACGACTACGACTACTACGACGATGACGAAAACTACTACTACGACGATGACGACAACGACGAGCACTACTACTACGACGAAGGGCTACCGACGAGAGTAGTAAAGCCTATACTACGACTACTTCCCCCCCGTTGAAGAAGAACCCCCCCCTTGAGAAGTCCCACCTGCCCGTCCTGAAGAGAACCCCCCCCCACCCCCCTTGAAGAAGTCCCCCCCCCCTCCTGAAAGAAGCCCCCCCCAACCCTTGAAGAAGCCCCCCCCTCCCTTAAGAGAAGCCCCCCCCCTGCTTTGTTTAGAAGAGCCCCCCCCCCCTTGAAGAGCCCCCCCTGTCCTTTTGAAGAAGCCCCCCCCCCCTTGAAGAAGTCCGGTTCCCCTCTACCGGGGAGATCTGAATTTTGATCAGCCTCCCTCTTTTTGAACAATAGTGATTAGGCAATGATGAAATTCAAACTATGCTAAGCCATGCTATTCTGTGTAGTTAATCATAGTTGAAACCAACCATCATTTATCAACTCATCGCATCCCGCCAGGTCCGCCAGGGGACGAAGAGGGTCAAGGCAGCTTCCGTTTTGGAGGCCCAGGTGGCGAAACTTTCCAGCAACTGGTGGGCTTCTTTCACCTTGGCCGCCAGATCTGATTTTTTGGGGGATTTCATGGGATTTTCCAAGGATGTGATGGGGATTTTATAGGAAGTTTATAAGGATTCAATGGGGTCTCATGGCATACAACATGGGATTTATTGGCATGTAGTGGGATTTCAAAGGATTTTAAGGGGATCTAATGGTGATACGATGAGATAATTATCGGGATATGATGGGACAACAGTGATGATCATGTATCACGGTAATGGACTCCTAATGGACATGATGGTATATAATGGAAATGACACTTGAAACATGAATGATGGCGTACCCTCTGGCAATCAAACGCTGCAAGCTGGGCAATCCCCGAACTAAATGGAGGTTCACAGCTAGGAAAATCATTGAACGATTGCTGGGAGATCCCCACTTGCAACGTTTAATTGCCAAAGGGTATTGATAGTTATCCTACATGATGATAGTCATTGCTGGTTGAAAGGTTAAGTCGAATAAGTTAAATCAAGTTAAATGATGGTTGGTTTATGGTTATCATTCGAATCCATTTAAATTCATTTACAAAAACGACACGGAAAAGTGAATTCCTTTCTTCGAGTCATCCCTACCATGACATTCTATCTGACATATATATTCTGACATTCTTTCTGGCATTCTATCTGGCATCTATTCCGAAATTCTTTCTATATTTTATCTGGCTTTCTATCTGGCAGCTATTCTGACATTCTATCTGGCATCTTGCGCTCGCGGTTGGGGTCCGGCAATGCCCACTGAGATCTGGCGCTCGCCGTTCGGGTCCGGCACCGCCCACTGACATCTTGCGCTCGTGGTTGAGGTCCAGCAGTGCCCACTGAGATCTGGCGCTCGCGGTTGAGGACGAGGAGGAGAAGAGGAGAAGAGGCGGGAAAGTTTGTGATAAAATCTAGAGACCCTCACCTGGCAGGTGGGGAATTTGGGGATACCCAATGTACAAACAAATTCATAGAAGAAGCACACCCAGGCTGTTTTTGTTTCATGGCTTTGGTCTGACCATCAGCTAACCAGCATTGTGGTTTCCTGAATAATTATAGACCCATCAACAGTACTGGTTGGTAGTTTCACCCCCTGCAAAATGGAGCTGGGATCATCATCCCAGTCAGCCAAACATAAAACAACAAATTAAAATCACCAACTGCTCATACTACTTACTACCCATTCTTGTTGTAGGTTTGATATAAATATATATATACATACATAATTTATTCTGTATAATATACATATATATATATACAGCAATAAACATACATAACTATGATTATGGTACTATATTGGTACTATAATTCATGTATATTCTCATAGTCTACCTGCTTCCCACATTGCATCCCAGTACCTGTTCCTTGACCTCCTTTAAGATCGCCTTGCAACTGAGCTATCTGAGCTGTGGGCACCCATCGGGGGCACTGGGTTGAGCATCCATAGTATTTCCCATAGTTTTTCTCAAAGACTTCGAAGATTTTCCCAGTTCACCCAAGAGTTCCTAACAAATCTAACAATTTCAAATATTCCCCACAGATTTTTGAAGACATTCATAGTTCCATGGCGCCATATTAGCTTCAATGTTGGGTTTATTTCCCATAGACCCATAGATGTGACATGTTCTTCAAACATGGATCCAGAAAAGGTGGATGCAGGTCAATTTCGATGAAACCACCACCAGCCAAAAATGGCATTTTAGCTGGGGAAACCCTTCCTTGCAAAACTCACGCGCAGACTTTCACAGGTCAGGCCTTTGGCGCATGTGAACACGCAACACGTATTCCTTTAGGCTCCATAGTGCGAATGAAATATTCACATCAATGCTTACGTACTATTCATTCTTGATGCATGCAAGTGAATCAATGAAATACTATGGGGTTCCTGAACATATAGTATCATATAATATGGTGAATAATATAAATAAGTTATGGATAGTCATTTATACTATATATATATGTTGGTAAATGCTATATAAATTTCTATTTATAAATTTGTATATATATATATTATATATATATTATATATATTATATATATTATATATATATATAACTCATTCCCTTAAAGTCTTTTTAACCTCGCCCCATCTCAGCAAGTGGCCCTGGTCTCGTTCTCCACCACTGCCTCAGTGGTCGAAAAGCGGCTCAGATCACTGACGTGGGAATCAAGTTTTCTACCGATTTTAGTTTCAAATAGATGAGCAGATCGAATCAGACTATGAGGATGGCCGGAAAACTGTTGGGTGATGGGCTACGGGTTTTACCATCTGGTTATGACTAACATAGCCATGGAAAATCACCATTTTTAATAGGTAAACCATCTATAACTGGGCCATCTATACCATGGCTATGTAACAACTAACCAGAGGGTACATGGTTTTACTATGGTAATTTTACCAACATGCATAGTCGGGGCTGGCCGAGTCTCCATGATTTCCATGATTATCAATGGCTGACCATTAAGACCATTACTAACATCAGCAATCATTAGTCATGGAAACGACTATTTAGGTGACCATTACATAATAAACATTAATAAACCATCCTGATGTCGATGACTAACTATTATTTCTCTATAAAATTAGCATCAGCTGCATCGCTGATCTGCCGCCTCTGAGAGACCCTGCCAACTTGGGATGTGTTGCACGGTGCAACGAGATCTCGGCGGCCGAGACCTTCTGCCGGTGTTGCTCCACCTCTCGGCCTGCGGATCATCGGAAGAAATTTGAAATCAGCGAGTTGCTAAGTGAACATGCTATGTGTATGTATAGTGTATGTATATATATCTATGTGTGTGTGAGTATGACATATATATACATATATATATTATACATATACATCCCGGCGGATGCGAAACCGCGCGGGCGTTTTGATGGTTTGCTGAATAGGACCGTCAGAATCACCTATAATTTTCAATGTAAAATGCTGTTCCGAACTCTTTTGATAACTTAATTTTGGTGAAAAAAAGTGGCTTCAAAATCTATTGAATTTTGACAAATCCTTGCAAATACCATGTGCATCAGACGTAGATTCGACGAGTTTTTTTAACACCCATCGTCGGCTCAGCGATCCATCAGTTTGGAAGCTGTCTTCGACAGCAAGTTGCCATTATGGCACTCATAACGCCGTTGCCAGCAACGCAGGTACAACATGACATCTTTGTTCTGCCCTGCTTTTGTCTGCAAATTGCAAGGCACAATTTTGTTAGCCAAATTCCACAGAGCGTGTTAGAAGTCAAGTGGAAACAGTGCAGAGCGTAACATCCAGAGCGTGTTAGAAGTCACATGGAAACAGTGCAGAGCGTGACATGCAGAGCGTGACATGCAGAGCGTGTTAGAAGTCACATGGAAACAGTGCAGAGCGTAACATGCAGAGCGTGTTAGAAATGAAGTGGAAACAGTGCAGAGCGTAACATACAGAGCGTGTTAGAAGTCACATGGAAACAGTGCAGAGCGTGACATGCAGAGCGTGACATGCAGAGCGTGACATGCAGAGCGTGACATGCAGAGCGTGACGTGCAGAGCGTGTTAGAAGTTGCTAGGCAAAAGACAGAGCGTAACATCCAGAGCGTGCTACGCAGGTGATGTTAGGCAAGAGCGTGTTCCACGCACTCTGCACATGACGTTAATACCCCATCCCACCCCAACCCCAAGACAAAGAGCAATCCTCAAAAAAGTAGCAAAACGCACGTACGGTTTTGCAGCCGTAGGCATATACATGGATAAACCAATGAAAGGACTAACTATAGATATTATTCTATTCATACAAGCCATTACAAGCCACTAAAACCTGGGAAGCGTACAATTCACTTGGGTGATCCATTAACTTGGAACTGCATGATTGATGGATTTTGGATGGTTGGTGTGTGTTGGTACGTACAATCTTGACCAAAATGACCAAACAAAACCTTTGCCACTACATGGCCTAAAATTTCTGGAATGGCACTTCCAACCATTTTGGCTAACTGGATCAGGCTGGATCTACCCTCCAGTAAGCTATCTAACCACTTCAAACCCAGGAACCGCAATTTCACCATCTTTGCCACGTTACCACAAGGCATTTAATTTAGAGCATGATTCCAGTGATTTAGCGCTGGAATAACCCCTTCCAAATTGGTTAACCTGCTCATCGAAGATGGATGAAAATCCACCATTTAGATCCATCTATTGTTCTTTTTTACATGATTTGCCCACATAAATCTCGGGCAGTTGGGGACTTTCCCAGCTAAATAGCCATCTTGACCCTGGGAATCCCCCAGGGGGCACCGGGGATAAACCCATCGTGTCGTCCCCGACTACTGGGCATCCCAACGCGCTGTAACGACCTGAAAGAGCTCCCGACTGTGGAGGCTGTGCCATTTGCCGTCCTCCTGCGAGTCCTGCGAGGACGAAAAGCAAGAGAGGACCTGGAAAAAACCATCATAAAACTGATGGAAATTAACATGTTGAACCAAATGTCTAGACAAATTACTAGCAATCATGAACCAGAAGTAGGATCAATGGTAGATGAATTGTGATATATCAAAATCCATTTTTGCGATGACTTCCACAATCAATATGATATCGTGAAAACCAGCACAGTTCAACACGGGACCATTGGCTGCCATCAACAAGGGCAATGAGTTGTTCATCACAACACAAAACAAAATCTGGTTAGTTGGTGGTGACAATTGGCAATGTTAATGGCAATGGCAGGGGATCATTCAACATGATATGATTAGCATTGGGATACAATGAACTTACAATGACTTTGAAATTTTGAACTAAAAAGTCTTATCCTCCCGCAATTATTTTTAGATCCTGGCTTATTTAAAGGGTCCAAGAAGATTACCTTCCACTAAAAGCATGCTATTTCCAGGGTCTACGATGTCTATGTTGGAGAATGGTAAGCCCCCCTTACCCGGAAAAGAGCATCCTGGCCCGACTTCTCTTCCTTCCGCTCTCCGCGTTTTAAATCACCTGGGCCCAGGCAGCCAGGCACAAGTTGGCGGCAATGGCACCGACCTGCTGCTAGATGTAGTGGGGCAATCATGGTCAATCATCTTAGAAAACGAAGGAAAACATCCGAAGAAATGGATACCTTTACGTAAGCGGTTTCCATCGGTTTCCTGTTTTGGCTTCACAAAGAGGCCAAAAAACCCATTTGCATCATTCATGGGTGCAACTTGGATATATGATCGTCACAGCTAGTCAGCGGTGTTTTTTTTTCCACTTTTTTCCTAATGGTAAACTAGTATCATTCTTGCTTAATATTTTTGAGGTTCCAGGTTCCACGTTACCGTCTGGTTATTTGTGGCAAATGGTCCATTCATAGATGATCAGATGATTTTTGGTGATTAATTACCTATGAAAAATTGTGATTTTCCAGTCTGCAAACCATTACAACCAGAGGCTAACTACCTTTGAACTCATAGTAAATCCCATAAAACATCAAAATCCATGAAAAATCAGTCTTATTGGTGGGTAAAATTCAGCCCCCGGGTGGTTTTCCCGTCCCTGGCACATGCTTCCTCTAGGAAGGTCTTCAATCGGATGGTTTCACTTCTCAACTGTCGGGCCCTGGTGCACCAATGCAGCGAAAACGTTGGATCCACCTACTGTGGAAGAGACAACATTTTGGGTATGGATCACCTACTGTAGTTTTTTTGACATTGACACCCTGCGTTGTAACGGCGTAGGACTACGAATGACATGAAATTACATCTGTGGGGTATTTTGGCGCATACAAACATTTCAACAAATATCAAGGGGCACTGAACCTCACTGTCAATTCTTGGGAGCAATTTCGCTGCTCAGCTCCAAACCAGTGAGAAGAAGCCTCCGTTCTCCCCATCCAAGCAATTACCCCGGCCAAATGTCTCGTGCCTGTTTTCTTTTCCTTGACTCATCAATTGCGCCTTTACCCTTGGAAGCAATCACTTTCAAGGGGTGGCGGACCAGCCAGGAGCAAATATACTGATGAGCCGACAACATACAAAAGTGAAATCCGAGTGATCTTGCCCCTTATTCTGATGTGCATGTATCTCGAGCTGGGTGCGCCGCACAAACATATGCACCCTGCCGCCGTTAATAATCTCCACTAGGGTCACAGGAGGGATCTTGAGTGCGCCCTTCAAGACCCCAAATGTACCACCACTCTAGGTTTGGATCCATGTGCAAGGAAATCTATGAAGGGAAACACAGTTGATATCCATTTGATGTGTTGAGACACAACAAATAAAAATCATCCCAGACCGTCGTAGACCATGACAGGCCGTGGCATACCTTGACTACATGCAGGTGTCCTTCTTAAAACCAGCATTTATCTGAAAATGACCGAGACAAACTGTGAGAGACCCTGACTTGCCTACTGTGAAGCATCTTTGAGCAACTATTTTCGTGTAACTGTATATATATATACACATACAAACACTATGTGTATATGTATAGCACCAACTTGTGAGCAGAACGAACAAGTCAACAGAGAAAAATAGTCATTGTGTAGAAAATCACTGCCTTTAAGCAGGTTGTCTTTTTGCCCGGATCTGTCCTAAATTGGAGGGCGCCTATGGTTGGACAATCCCCGATGGGTTCAGTTTCCGATTTGCTGTTGGTACATCAATAAAAATCAAAACTGGGGTGCCCTGGTGAACATGAAAACAGCTGGTACATGGATGTTCATACTCATACCTTCCAAATATGGTAGCATAACATAACGTAGAAAAGGTGTTCAATGGTTTTAACATGTTTTAACAAACACATGCCATACCCCTTCCATTGTGCTCAACCCAGGGCGCTCCAGGTACCAATTGGCTTCCTCTTCTGACAGAGTCACCAAGCGCCGGTACAACCTGCCAGGTCAGCTACCAACTGCTTATGCCGCTGAAGAAGCTCATCCCCTCATGTGAAATACCCATTAAAAAAAAAAACATAAATACCCTAAGTTTGCCCTCAAACATAAACATGAAGAACAGTAATACTAATCCTGGGGTTCGTTTGGCATTTTTTAATATTGGACATTCCCCTGTCAGAA